TTACTATATATTTAAATATTGTAATAATTCCTCTTATAATATGCATTAATTTATACTTTTTATATAAGTGCTTAATTAAGCTTAATATAATAAAAAAAAAGTACCTTATGATTAATATTATAGCTTTTTAGTAATTATATAAAAAGCATAAGGTTTTTAAAATTTATTAAATTGCTAAAGATTATAATTTAGCTAATGCCTTTATAAAAAGTACCCTTAATAGCACTCTTTAGCACTTTATAAATATAAATAATATTATAATTAAGGTATAAGGCTATATAAATTATAATTAAAAAGATAAGGTAATTATTTAAATATAGTAAAAAGTTGGGAAAATTATAATATATTAAGGCTTAAATTTAAATCGCTAAAGCATAATTTAATAACTTATTAATAAATTATATTAATATAACTTTAAATATTATTATTATACTATATATTATAAGATTATTATATATAATATTAATATAATTAACTTAAGTATATATATTACGTAATTGCAAAAATAAAAAGATTATTAAAGATTTTTAATAAGGAATAATAAAATAACTTTTTTAATTAAAGGCAATGCATAGTAAAAGTATAAAAGTTTAATTTATATTTATTAATTATTTGCAAATTACTTTATAATGTAATATAGTTAGCTAACTTTAAATTATATTCCTTTTAAGGGTAAACTTTATATTTAAGATTTTTATAGTAATGCTTATGCATTAAGGGTTTAAGTAATAAGGGTTATTATTATCCTATAAGCACTTAAGTTATTAGCTTATATTTAATAAGCGTTCTTAGTTAAATTTCATAATTTAATACTTATATATTAAAATTAAGAGTATTGCTATTTATTAACTTAATTAATAATCTTTATTTTACACCTTACTTTTCCCTTTATTTAAATACTTTATTTACTAATTTTTATAACTTATTAACTTTATTTACTTAACCTTTATTTTAACAACCTATCCTTTAATTATACTTCTTAATTTCTTTATTTAATAAGCGGCATTAAGCATAATGAAGCTTAAGCTAAGTTAAAACGGGAAATTTTAATTATTTAAAGATTAAATAATTATGTTAATAGTTTAAGGGTTTAATTTAATCCTTATTTAACTTAGGCGCTATAAGTAATAAAAGCATAAGTTTATAAAATATATTATAAATAAAATGTTTATATAGTAATCGCAACCTTTTAAGCTTTTTAACTTTATATGATTAAAACATTTTAATGTATATATATACTTAATTAACCTCTTTTTATTAATTGCATACTTTAATGAATTAATTAATCTTTAACCCTTTAATAATAACCCAGGCCTTTTTATATGCTTGCCTTTTATAATAATATGGCGTAGCGAAATGATAGCGTACTTGCAATTTAACTTATATACGTAATTAATTAATTGTCTTTTAACCTTAAGTTTAATTTAACTTAATACCTTTCTTTCTTTTATACTTTTTGGAAGTAATACGCACTTATAAAATAGAGATTGCTAGTGTGGGAATAATGAGTATTGTTTAAGGACTGTTTAGGATTAAGCAGCTTTGGCCCGTTAGGATGCCTAGCAGGCAGCAGCCTTGACGCTGCATATAAAATAGCTAACATAATTAAGCTTTTTTGCCTTCCTTCCTTTTATAGTTAATAACGATCAACTACTACACTACTAAACGTTATATTACAATACGTAACCCAGCCAATAGTTTTTTAATATATCTTTTTAATATAAAAAGATATAGTTAACCTTATATTATTATTACATAATAATAAGCTTATTAATAAGCATTAAACTTAATGCTTTATAAATATATAACTTAACTTAAAGATTTAATTTAATTATTCTTATAATTATTAAAGGGCGCTTTGCAAAGATTTAAAAATCATTAAGAATTAATTTAAGCTTTTTTACAATATAATAGCTAAGTATAGGATTATAAATAATAACTTATATAACTTTAACAAAACTAACTTTATAATAAGCATATTAATTATATTAATAATTATTATATATATTAATAAATATAAAAAGGTTAAATTAATATAAGTTAAAAATTAAAAATAAATAATAATTATTAAATGCATTAATATAAAGAGCTAATATATCTCGCTATTTTTAATTATTTAAGGAGCTTATTACCTTATAAGCTAAGCTATAAAATTAAATTTCTTAAAGAATTAAATTATTAAGCTTACTTTAAATAAATAAATAAATAATTAAATTAATTGAAAATAAGCTTAGCACTTTAAAAAGCATATAAGATAATAAATAAAGGGTAGATATTAAATACTTATTTTAAATAAATATAAAAACTATATATTAATAGATTTTAAGAATTATTATAAGATAAATAATATTATTATTATTAATATATCATTGCATTTATCTTACTTACTTTAATTATTAAATATTGCATTATATTCGCTCTTAAAGTATATATATAGCAATTAAATTAATCTCTTTATTTATGCATTCATTAATTATATTATTAAATTAAAGTTGTTTTTTATCTTTAAGATAACTTATAATAAAACTTTTATAAAGATAAACATTAAGTTTATATTTAAGGAAGCTGGAATTACCCCTTAAAACTTAAATTTTATTATTTTTAAGCTTAATATTTACTTATAAACGCTAAACCAATCTCTTTTTATTTTTCCCTAAAAATAAAAGTTATAAATATCGTTTAATATTTAGCAAATTATTTAATAATTAAGTTTTATTAAAGGCAGGATCTTAATATATTAAGAAAGCTTCCTTATATTAATTATTTTAATTATTAATTAGCTATTAAAGGGTTTATAAGTAATAATATATAAAATTATAATTTTAAAGGATTAAGTTTATATACTTAAGAATGCTAATATAATATTTATTAAGCATAAAAGGGCTAAAAAGAGTTAAATATAGCTTAAAGGGGCATTTATTATTAAAGATTCCTAAGCGATAATTAAGGAAAAATAAAAAGGGAAGCGGTTAGCTAGTAAAATAAGTGGTAAGATAAAGAAGGCGATCCGCAGCGAATTAAGCAAATGATGCTATAAGAATTACGGCAAAACTAAGCATAATGTAAAAATATATAAAAAAAAGAAAAAAGGGTTTAATGAATTAAATTTTAATTATATTATAATAAATCCAGCTTAATTAATATTAATTAATGCAAATATATTTATTTTAATAGTTTATAATAAATTGCGTTTTTAATAATATAATTAGCATTATTTAATATAAAATGCATGTTTTTTATTAAAAGTAACTTAATTTAAACTTATATTATACTTATGCTAACTACTTTAAATTAATTAAATTAATTAAAAATAAGTAATTTAAAGTAATTAGCATTAATTAATGCTAACTTTTATTAAATTAATTGCATTAAGTAGGTGCTAAGATTAATAAAAGTTAGTAAATTAATAAAAAGTATTCCGTTAAGTGATTTATCCCCCTAGGTGGTGCACCACGTTAAATATAAATATAAATATAAATATAAATATAAATATAAATATATATATATAAATAAATAAATATAAATATAAATATAAATATAAATAAATATAAATATAAATATAAATATAAATATAAATATAAATATAAATATAAATATAAATATAAATATAAATATAAATATAAATATAAATATAAATATAAATATAAATATAAATATAAATATAAATATAAATATAAATATAAATATAAATATAAATTATAATTTAACTTTAATAAAAAATATATAAGCCTTATATAAGTTATATCATAAGCATTTTTTAAAAAGTTTTTTAAAATATATATATAATAAAAAGGTTAAATTAATAATAATAACCTTATTAAAAATTAATAATTAAGAGCTTAAATTAAAGCTTATTAAAAAAAGGTTTAAATTTATTTAAATTTAACTTTTATTAATATTAAGGCTATGTATTATACTTAAATAAAAATAAAAAAAATAAAAAAAATAATGCCTTTAAAGAATTAAAAATGTTAATAAAAGAGGGATTGTACATTACTATGGCGGGTAATTAAGGGCGATGATAAGGATGTTTATGGGTGCCGAGGGCGGCCGGGAAGCGGGGGCGGCCGGAATCGGGGCCGGGGATGTTACGCTTAGACTGCTGGCATGAATATCCGAGTCAGTCTTCGAAAGTGTGACGACATCATGGACTGCATTCAAGCCCTTTAAGCCCAAGCGAGTCATGAAATGCAGCTCATATCAAGCTACACCACATCATTCCCTCATGGCCTCATGGCTTCCACAGCCGTTTTGGCTACGGAAGCAACCGAGGTGCGTGGATCTCGTTGCTAGGAAGCCCTCGCAAGGCATGGGTTTTTAGATCCATCCGGCGTCGGATCTTCGAGCTAGGCACCTGGGCACTAAAATGCTGACCAAACGGTGAGACTAACTACTCACTGGATGCAGAAGCACCCAATAGAATGCCTCGTTCCTCCTAAGCAAGTCGTGCATGTAGATTATGACATTTGGGTGTTGTGGTGCCCTACTTTGATGCACGCGCCGATGGAGGCCGTGAAGTCTCTGGACGCAGCTGCCGAGGTATCCGAGTCTGTTCAAATGTTGCCCGCACACCTCAACCAATTGCTAGTCAGCACTTTTGTAATCCAGAAATATTCCCATGATTCGAGGAAGAGAATTTCGGTATCTTAGACCAGATACAGCTCTCAACAAGGGAGACTCTACACATTTTCAAATAACATATTTCTCGAGGACTGTTTCCTCAGAAAATGCAACACCGACCCCTGTCACAGATCAACTCGCAGGCACGCGTCCAGTATCTCAACGCGCCGAGTAGATGCCGTCTGCGCGTTCAAAACTCTCAGCGTTGCATGCTACATCCAGCCGGGTTTACTAGACCACACATCACGCGTCGCAGATGCTCTGTTCAAATTTACCTTAAGGTTCGCATCACCCAACGTCGAAAATTCTCATCTACCCATCAATTAAACCACAGAAGAAATTCGTTTCCCACATTCAGCTGACCACATTAAGCATCGAGGATGGAATCAAGTACCAAATTCCGCGGCGGCACGTGGCAGCGCTACAAGCTTGGACAGGCACAGTTCACAAAGTGGCTCAGGCAAACGGCAGATAAATTTACTTCCGCAACAAGCACAACAGGCGGCGTGGCTTCATCTTCAAGCCCACACAAGAAAGCACTGAAGGCGGCATCTAAGGCAGCCATCGACAGCGATGTCGTTGTGCACTGGCGTGAGCTGGAGACGATGGCGTCTAACATCGTCGAACTCGCCAAGCCCGAGGACATCCCCAGTGCACCTGTCAACATCTTACGGGATGTCATCGGGCTGAGGAAGAAGAGCGCCAGGTTTTTCCGTCGCAGCACTGAAGACGACAATGAGAGTGCGCGGGAGAAGAATGCCACGCATGAGCATGTCATCAAGGTTCTGGAGAGAGTCTTGGGCAAGTTCGAAGCCCTGATGGCCAAGGGAACCAAATCAGCGGATGCGAGGTCAAGCGATCGTATCAAAATGGATCTGGCTGATCTCAACAACATGTTTGAGAATCTCGAGCTGCAAACATCGCCGGCTGACGACGATGTGGCCTCCGACATCGAGAATCAGCCTGAAAGTTCTGTCCCAACCCGGAAGACCACGAAGAAGTCAAAGAAGGGAGGCAAGAAGCTACAGAAGGGCGGTAAGCCCAAGAAGCAACAAAAGCCGCAATCACAGCCTCAAGAGCCACGGGACGCATTCTGGCTCGATGGTTCAGAGTTCGATCTGGACTACGACGATGGAGATAAGGAGTTCGACTACTACATGATGATGTACTGTTTCTTCGAAGACTTCAACATCATCCGTTCCTACATCTGCGAGCGGTGGTGCGACTACTTCTACGACCGGTCCATCTCTCTCAACACCCTCGCGGTTATTACCAACGCTGCCTTCGAGCTCTTCCACCAGATGGAACACCACCTCCTCCTGGACATGCAGCGAATGGGAACGCGGGGCCGCACTTTCGGATCGTATGAGTTCATGATGATGGGGCTATTCACCGAGTCTGGGCTAGAACACGTCGATTATGATTCTTACAGGAACTTGTCCAAAGAGGACTCCGACGCACGCAGTAAGCATCCATCCGTATCCGTCATCTTCGCAGCCAATTTCAACATTAGCTTCCGAGCCATCCGCTAGACTGCGGCTTTCGAGGCAAGCTGTGAGCGAATAGTGTATTCCTCCAACCATGCTTTGGTTCATACTTCCTTGATGCTGTGATAGCTAATTTCTGAATTACGCAGTGTGGACCGACGAATGGGACTGGCTGGCCAGTCCGGCGTTTGTCGCCATCCGAGGCATCCTAAGCCACATCCTACCTGGCAAAACGCCAATGATGAGGAAGGCTGACAAGACCCCGCCGACTTACGGTGTGACCAACACCGATGACTTGGCCCGCTTCAACGAGACCTGTATCAACGAACTCTTGTTTGATGTTGTATGCGTCAAAGCGCTCAAGACAAAGGGCCTGGCACCAGCCTTGCTGCCGGCTGAGTCGGAGCTCCTGCTGGGCTTCCAGGATGCCCTCCGGAACAATAATTTCACCTCTGCGTTCATCTTCTCGGTGCAGCTTTACTGCGATATCCGATACATCCTGGAGGACCGCGTCTCCCACCCGTTTGAACAGCTGCAGAAGACCACGCAGCAGTTTGACCAGGGCTTTGACCTGGTCTACACGAGGGCAGTTGGTCCAAGATCCAGCCTCCGCTGGGAACTTCGGCAACGGAGGAAGGAGTTCGACCGGTTTATTCTGTCAGACGTCGTCCTGGAGGACAAGCTGCCACGCTATATCATCGCTGGTCTGGACAGGGAGGATCTTGATGATTTCTTTCTGCTCAAGCACGAGCCGGTCTGGGCTGGTCTGCTTGACCTCAGGGTCAGACTTGTCACGAACGAGCTGGGCCACGAATTTGTGCACCTGTCATTCATCGTCGAGGCTGCTGCCTACCTGTATGCTGCTGCGCGTGCGGCGTCAAAGCAATTTTCCGAGCAGCAGGAATTCCCTGTTTGGGACCACATGGAAATGTTCCTCGATACCTACGTCGACGACAGCCCCTTCAAGCGGGGCATCTTGGACGGCGGAGACGACCCCGTCAAAATCATCAAGAATTTCAAGGCCATCATGCCTGCCAACGTCTTGGTGCCCAAGCCGGACAATTGTCCCTTGGACGATGGAAGCGACCGAACTCCAGACTTCAAGCAGGCCGTCCGCGTCCGCCAGCTGCTTTCGAAGCGGTATACGAGCTCTGACAGGGAGAACATGTTTTTCATGGAATACATGCAAGGCCTCATCCGCGAACGCCTCGAGCACGAGGTGGAGAACATAGAGTCTGAAGAAGACCTGTCTACGGTACTGCAAGACATCAGTGCTAACAAGTTCGGCGGCCAGCCCCATTCTCAGGGAGTTCTCCCCAAGGAGCGACGTGAGCTGGCCCGGGAGAGGATTAAGCTGAAGCAGATGCAGCATAAGCGCAAGGCGATGCTGGCGCAGCTCTCTCCTATCCAGCAGATCCATATCCTGGAGAATATTGTCGAAGAACAGGTGGAAGACTTGCTGGCGCTTGACTTCATGACGCTTTTCGACATGAGTTGGGTTGTCTTGTATTTCGTCGCTAGGAACCAGCGCAGGTCTATGAGAGACAAATGCGGGTTCACTACCAGCTCCATCGCAAGCTTTGAGACGGCGGCCAACTTGCCTCTAATCATTGGTGATCATTTGACAGCTAAACCGGCAAGAAACGCGAAGCTGCTGTGGAACCTGGCACAGGACGTCAGAGGGATCCTCGAGAAGCCTGAGGGGGCGGAGGCTTTGTTTGGACTACCGGATGATGAATTTGCCGAACTGATTGAGGACAGGGCACCACTAGGTCGGCAATAATCAATCGTGGCTCGAGAGTCTCAAAACCAAGCTTGCGCACTTGGTCAGCAATTGGTGTCAATTCGACATGCGGGCAAGAGACCAAGCCTTGCTTTGGTTGGTCGGTCTGTACGAGCTGCACTACAGGTGTGATCGATGGTACCCGGGTATTACAATGATTGTACTAGCTGAGAACAACTGTCAATACAATCAATTTAATTAAACACAATGGAAACCCCAGGGCGAGAGCTCCCGGGAAACAAACCTTCTCCTGCAATACCTAGGTAAGAAGGGAAATCGAGTTGATCACAGAGAGAAGCCATGAGCTCCCTACCTGCACCACGCCGTATTGTGACCTCCAACCTCGCGGTTCCGGAGGGTCTCAGCAAAGTTGAAGACTCAGAACCGGCGGTTGAAGTCGTCACCGAGGACCTGCCTCTTGTCTCAGAATTAGACGGGCGATGGTCCGGACGGCCCGTCTTCACCCACGACCGCGTACCAACATCCAACGCTGGCTCCGATATCAGCGTAAAACCAATCCCCGGTGGCAGTATTCGCTTGCCCCGTGGAGCAAACATCAGGTTCAACGAGGTCCCGCCCGGTGGTGGAACCCCCATGGTAGGTTGACGAAGGGCCCCTTCTGTGGCGCGGCTTGCCGAATACTGACAGCGCGACCCAGCACCGGACCAGCACAACTGATTACAACATATTTCTGACGGGCTCCGTGGTGCTCATAACGCCAGCGGAGGCCTACGATCCAGCCAATGCCGACTCGGAGGGCAAGCTGCAGGAGTCGGTCTGTCGTCCTGGTGATGTGGTCGTTCAGCGTGGCACGATGCATGCGTAAGTTTAAACCCTAGTTCAGTCAATACCTTGAACAGTATCTTACAATGAATCGACAGGTGGGAGAATCGGTCAGGAGAGTGGGCGAGGTTTATCTCGGTCATCCTTGGGGCGGAAGACACGACGGTGGAGCGTGCGGAGGGAATGTCACAGAAGCTGGCTGATGTTTTCAATGTTGTCCTTTAGACTTGTGGCCTGACCGGAATGTGTTTTGTCTCAATGCTGAACTCTTCACAGACTAGTCAACTTTATTTCAATTTTCTTTCCTCAAATCAATGTCGATGCTGCTAGTCTTGTCTCACCTGTGACGACATTGATAGTCGAATAATAAACCAATGTGCCTTCATAACGGCATACATTCAATGATGTATTGCTTAAGCTTAGAAAGATGTAAAAACTCTTCAGGCTAGAAACCCAAGACATACGAGGGGTGATTACAATCCACTGTCTGCAAGCTGTCTTCGAGCAACTCTTAACTAGGAATAGCAAATGCCCACATGTTGTTCCCACTTAGCAAAAAGAATCTGATCCACATACGTAGCAAAGGAATCAATCCTACGCTGTGATATCCACTGTTGAGAACTGACCTGTGTGGGCATGAAGCGAGATCACAATGCTGATATTCTGATTCGTCCGCCTGCCTCACAAAATTTTGGGAGAGGTCGCACTCTCCTGATCATACTCTATGGGCGACTGCATTTTCTTAGCAAGGAAACTCACATCGTTGCCAATAATTCTAGTGATGAAACACGGGCCCGTTTTCTACCATATTTCCGGTCAGCCTGATCGGATTAAGAGGAAAACAATACGTAAGTGCCTGCATTTAGTGTGTTTGACGTTCCTCCAACTGCTTAATAGGATCAATGCCTTGACCAACATGCCCTGGTTAATATGACTTCTCGCGAGGCTGCTTATTGTGATTGGCAACCGTGTGTTGGCTATTGATCCTTCCGAGACCTGCCCCCACAAATCCATCTGACCACCACCCACTCCATGGCGCGGCACGGACACGTCCAGCAAACCTTAATCAGACCTCATTTCCACCAAGCACCGTCACTCCCAGCCAGCCACAGGCCCACGCAAGGCAACGAAACTAGTCCTCTTGGACCCCCCTCACGCGAATTCGCATCCCCCCAACCCAACCGCAGATCATGGGCTCCAGCGACGTGGCGCCACCCCACGTCCCGGACTGGGTCGTGCCGCTGTCGACGATCGCGCTCGGCGTCGGGGTGCTGCTCTGGGACGCGACGTACGTCCTCATGACGCTCCGCAGCCTCCGCACCAGGTCCTACGGCATGCCGCTCCTGGGGCTCGCCCTCAACGTCTCGTGGGAGGTCGTCTACGCCCTCTACGTGTGCGAGGCGCCCATCGAGACGGCCGGCTTCACCTTCTGGCTGGTCCTCGACGTCGGGCTGGTCTACACGACGGTCAAGTTCGCGCCGCACGAGTGGGAGGGCACCAGCGGCTGGGTCGGGCGGCACGTGGCGCCCATCCTGGCCGCCATGACGGCCGTTGGGTGCGCGGGCCACCTCGCGTTTGTGAGCTGGTGGTTGAGCCGTCCTGGGATCGGCCACGGCGACAAGACGGGCAAGTGGTATTTTGGCCGGGACGAGTACGACACGACCGAGCTGGCGTACTGGTCTGCTGGGGTGGCCCAGATGGTCGCCAGTGCAGGGTCCCTCGCGATGTTGCTGGTCAGAGGTCACTCTGGAGGCGCGAGCTACGCCATCTGGTAAGTCAAAACTTTGGACTTTTGTGTTCTATACCGCCCGGCTTCATAGCAGTAGCTTCATAGGCGAGCTATCTGATCAGTGGCCTTCCATATCAGTCTGGGACTAGATATGATGGCTCTTGTTCGCCCACTTGGCTAGAATTCTTGCCCAGAGAGACACGGTTTGTGAAAGAAGCTCGGCATATCTGTCGTCTATACGAGACAAATCCTCACGCTCGGTTGGGAAATGACCGTGACGATACATGCATGATGGATCAAGACTCATTAGTCTGTCTTGCCAAAACCACGTCAGGCATCAGGGAAGCCTGGGGGGTGGTGATATGAGACACTCACGACTGGTCTCTCGTACCTCGGGTCAGCTTTGTCTGCCATCCACAGACGTTGCGTTCTGCCCTTATGCAATGGCAACTCGGTGTACTGATCGACGTTTCAAACAGGCTCTGTAGAACCATTGGTACAATTTCTGGGATGGGCGTATGCAACGCTATACTCTGGCACTACTGGCCTGAGGCGCATGGTTACTTTGTCAATCCACTTGGCATGTTCATCAACGGTACATCGCTTTTCTGCGATCTGATCTACCCCTTGGCCTTGTGGCAAGTCCGAAAGACAGAAGTGGCCCTCCCAGACGGCAGGCTCGTTAGCCGAGAGAAATTTGGTCATATGCAGACGGTGGGCAAGAAGCGACTCTGAAAAAAGCAAAGACGAATGCTAGCCTAGTCTCTAGCCCCGGGCGAGATTCACAAGTAGTGGGGGCAGGTTCTTCTCCTGGCCGAAGCAGGGAGATCATCAGTTTTGGTAGCACCGATTGTGTGGAGGTTCTCGAGGCGGTGTACGCACTTCCTACTTTGGCACTGTACATACACACACATATGCCCGGAACTACTGCACACCCAACGGCGCGTATGGCATCGGGGTGGCGCCTGCAAGCGACGTATCGAGCACATGAAGGCCCTCCGTTTCTTCCCTCGCGGCTCTACCCGAGCCCAGAAGTGAGTGACAGGTCAGCTGCAAGAGCACGCACGGATGGCGCTGACCATCTTGAACCCTGGTCGGACGCCCGCCGCGTCTTCCCACCCCGTCGCCTGCGGCCACTGTCGTACAAGATCTGAGGACGGAGGCGCTGCCTAGGGCGCAGGGTCATCCCCTGGAGGGGTACACCGTAATCACGCAGCCGTTTCCGCCCGTCTCGAGGAGCGTCGTCGGAGGTCCTGTCGCGTGGTGTGTGTGTCTTGGCGGTGGGCGGACTGCCGGCGACGACGCGGTCTGCCCTGTTGCATTAGCGGGCTTTCCTGTTTTGTCCACCGAGATTAGCGAGATCAGAAGTAGGAAGCCCTTTTGATAGAGGAAAAATGAATTCTCAACTGCAGCTGGGGTTTGCTGGGGCTAACCAGACACTCGGGACCAGCTGAGAATCTGGCCAAGCCAGCGGGAAAAGTGCAAGTGATAGCTCAACCCAGATCATGCAGTGACAAGCGTATGGGGTTAGATACTAAATTTCTAATTTTCTCAACGCAGAGAGGTCCCCGATTGGGAGACTAACTCGAAAATTGTCGTCGGTGAGGCTCGGCAATCATTGGGGGAGTAGCTAAGGGGCACGGGCGATGAGAGAGAACTCCGATCAACATGCCCAAGAGCTCAAAACGAGCCTCCAAGGGATTATTAGCAGGGGACTTTCTTTTGCCAATACCGGGTATTGAACGGACACAGATCGATGGCCCCTCGCCCACGGATACATGTACCCATCGTGGGGGGCTGCAGTTTGGGCGACGGGATTCCGTAACCGCTCAACATGCCATTTGCAAAGGATGTCTTAGACACGAGCCGCCCGCAATGCCTCCTGAGCGCCAGACGAGGCGGAATTCGTTCCTCACGTGGAACGGGACTCGCGTATTCCTGCCCTTGTCTCACAAGGTTAGCTGTCGACGGCCGGAGGAAGAGTCCCGGGAAGAGCAGGATAGCGGTACCAGAACCGAGCCTTTTTGGGTGATATGAAGTACGAGGCGGGTGAAGACGAGAAACCACAATGCCTGTGGACGATGACGGAGTTCTACGACTCAACGGACTCCGAGCGCAGCGCATCGGCGAAACCCCCCTCGTGTCGTTAATGACCGAGATCCTCTGGCGTATTTCCGATCCGAGCCAAGAGATGACGCATCGGGTAGCAGTTTTCTCTTCAGCGGCGCAACCCCACAGGCACTGAATTGTCGAACCACTGGCGTCAACTATTCTACTTTTGCTGGGCTCGGCCGCGCTCATGGACGTTTGTCGGAAGTACAGTCCCGAGGCCAGAAGAGGATCTCACCGCATGCACTCGGTCCAACCCGCCCTTGCGAGGAGAACATCGTAGCCTAAAGGGTGGGCGTGGCCTGAAAACCCCAGGGAAAAGATGGTGTGAAGCACATCGTAATGACAAAATTACATGCACGCCTAGTTTATTAGTTGATGAGAGGTCCGAGACTGGCTGCCCGCATAGGGGCTGGTCGCCGAACTTGGGTGCTCGAAAACGCGTGGCATGGTGGGTGGTCTGGTGAGCGACGTACCCCCACGCGTGACCACGCACAGTGACCTGTCAGTTTTATCAAAAGCATCTTGCCGCAAGGCCAAGGCGTTGGACATCCACGGTGCCAAGTGATCGGGTGGAAGGGTCAGTCAACGTGCTTTGCCCTGCCTGTCGGCCCGTAAAGCCAAGGCCTTTTTTTTCAAATAACGTTCTTGCCGTCTACTACGTATCTACGCAGAAGGGGGGCTCACCGCCTGCGATACGGTCCTCCGTTTTGAGGGTGGTTTTTCTGGCCGTACAGTATACATAGAATGAGCCCGGAGGCGCCGGGTTGCAGGGCTGGGCGAATGCCGTCTCGTCTCGGAGATATACCGGTCTCTGAGCCTGTTCGAGAATGCAGGGCTAGTTCACCGGCGTGGAGACGTCGATTCCTTCTCCTGCATGGGTGCGCGGTCGCCAGCCATGCCCGTCAAGGGCGGCACCTCGGACGAAACCCATATGCTAGCGACCCACGTGCACGAGGCTGCCCGGTTGGGGTTGTTTTTAATTGTGAGGGACGGCATGGTGCTTTGCCGATCGCCGTGGATGGTTACCGTGTCACTCGTTCTCGCCTGGACGGGCGGCCGCAGAGACAAAGGACCGGTCAGAGGTCGCACGGAATAGCGGCTGCAGCGTACACAAGCATCTCGTGACTTATCGTGCGACATCAGGCGGTGAGTCTTCAAAAGCACAGCCCTGGGTAATGAGCAGCAGTTCATTCTTTGATTCTGTGCCGTGTACGCGTGGGGCTCCAGGTGTTCAGCCGACGGGCTTGACACGGTCTGTTTTCGTCCACCCTGCCTGCGATATTACTTACCCTCCTTGAAACCGGTGGAGAGGACGGGGGTGGGGGGTGCCAGGCCTCGTCGGCGGAGGGTCGATCTCGCAACACCATGATGTTGTAATCATGGTGCTACGACCATGGTGTTGCGAGACGACACCCCTCCGACAAGGGCATAACCATGATCAATGGGCTGGGAAGGGCGCCGTCGGAGTCCAGACCAAGCACATGACCGACCGTTGGTGCACAGTACCTGCAGACCGGTCAATACTTGCGAAACGTCGGCAATAAAAGACGTGCCATCAGTTTTCGAGACAGCCGCATTATGCCAACCGAACTTGATCGACGCGTCCCCAAGAATGGGTGCTTCCTATGTGAGGACCAACATGGGGTGATATCGAGGATCGCAATCCCTGCCGCTGTGCTGCCCCGACTGTGAGGAAAGTTCAAGGGTTTGTCCTCAGCTCCGAAACTCTAAATTCTGAACCCACCCAGCAGCTGGTGATGCCTGCGAGGATCCAGCAGCCCACGAAGAAAGTGCGACGGCAACATGACGGTGCTCTCGCTTGATTCCAACGCCCACGAGAATTTGCCATGTGGCTCCCGTACGATGGGAAATCGCCAAATCGATCGAAATCGCGACCCAGATCGATTAACAAGATGCAGAAGGGTTCAACCCCGTGGAACAGCACTGGCAGTGGAGTCGAACCTGCATCGCAGCCCAGGAGGGCTGAAAGGACCGGCAGAGGTGAGCGCTCACTTGATCGCGCCGCAGCCCGGGTCCACCTGGCGCCCATCAGCCCCCACCTATCCGCTGGACACCCCGTTGGCGTGGTTGTTGTTCGGTCTCGGTACCCAGTGAAAGCAGCGCCCACGGGCGTCATTGGTATCCAGGGCCCCAGGGGAGAAGAGCTGATGGCGTGTCGGTGAGCCAGAGCAGCAGAGGCAGCCCAGTTGAATGCCGAAGAGGGTGGCGACCACGATGTTTAGTCTCCCACCACACTCGCGAAAATGTCCCATTGAAGTACAGCGTAATGCTGACTCGTCTCGAAGCGGCAGTCTTATGGTGAGGAGTCTGTTTGTTATATGTAATAACAGGTCATTTTTGTGCCGGCGGGGACTTTGGGTGAGTACCGAAAGCAACGGTAGTAGTCGCGTATCTTGAGACGCTTGCCTATCGGAGATGAGATCTCGAGCTTGTCACTGCGAATACGTGTACAGTACGCGAGGGCTGCTGGCGTAATGGTTTCCGACGGTTGAAAGGTCTTCCGTAGCCAAGGGCAGTGTCTTAGTGTAGTTGACACAAATCATGCGCAATGTTAATCAGCATTACACTTCTCCCACGCCGTACATACCGAGAAGTGAATAAAGGATTTCATTAAGTTGGCTGTGGGAAGTTACGAAATGTTACTGCCCACAGACCCCCGGGGCCATGACAAATTGGGCTGCCCAAGAGTCCGTCGATGGAGGCCTGGGAAGGGTCGAGACCTGGGGCCACAGCATATGCGATGAGCAAGTAAGGACCCATATGACTGTGGCCTGGGCCTGGGGCTGGCTGGGCCCCTGGGATCAATCTCCATCCCGCCTGCGTCCCAGACGGGGAGCATGCATCCAGACCGCCTTGATGAAGGGGGGCTGAAGCCCGCTCAAAAAAGAAAGAGAATGGATGGGTGATGGGCGCGCGATGAAACCTGGCTCCCCCACATCCTTGCTGCTCGTCCCTGGGCGAGATTGGAGAGAGACACTGCGATGGTGTGTTCATCGCAAAGCTTGTTACACTCCATCATCAAGGCCAGGGGCTGTGGTGACAGAACCCAGGTTGCTATCTCTGTTCGAAACGGCCATTTCCCACCTGCCTGCCCACCATGCGCCTGATACAATTCTGCATGCACGCGTGTCTGGACACGGAAATAGCCTTCAGCAGAAATCCGGCCAAGTACGGTATGGAGCAATGTGGCGTAGCACCAGACCCCCCCAGAGCCCAACTCAGCCCCCCGTCGACGGAGCCGCAGCCCGAAACAAACAACCTCGCAGCACCCTGAAAGAGCACAACGGACGAGCTGGCCATCCGGGTTCTTGACCTCGGTGTAGTGTGCGTGAGGGGGCTCAAGCACGACCCCTGATATCAGATAACTCTCGGGAGAGAGGTCGAGCATGATCCCAGCTGACAAGAGGGGTAACCCTGCCGCCCATGGGGTAGACGGGGATGGGTGTGGAGGAGCACAAATCAAGGTTCAAGACAATGCTAGGCCGGAGGCCGTAGGAGGCACGACAGCGTAGGCCCTGTGCTACTGTGGCATGTGGGCAAGTTTCCTGCCCGCTGCAAACTCTAATCTGATAATCGTCAATCAGCGGAGGGATGTGCGGAACTCTGTGGGCCGCCGCGGGAAGAGCGTGCGCAAGTGCGTCTTCTGATACCGCGTTCCGAGGGTCGGAAAGCCAATCGAGGTGCAACAGGGTATGGTGAAATCTCGGAGGAGGGGGTGGAGGTGGAGGGGAGGAGGAGGAAGGAGGAGCACACGACGGAAGACTTGCAACAGTATCGGCTGCTGGACATTGGACGAGGGCGAAAAGGGCATCAAGGTTTTGCCCTCTGCCATTGGTGACGGAATGCCCAAAGCAAAACTTGGGAGACGGGATTGGGCATGGCCTGAACAAGATTTCCGACATCACTGCGCGGACATCGGGATTATCCTCGCAGAGCCAGCCCGATCCGACTGAGGGCACGGATGTTTGACTGGTGACAGCTGCCCTAGGGGGCGAACGCCAGCGAGCCCTCCGATGTCCGAAGCCTAAGCCGACGCACAAGCCCAAGTCTCAGCCCAAGCGAGCACCTCAGTCTTGTGCCTAGGTGGTGCTCCGCCCACGTGGTGATTTCCTCTTTTGCCCGTGGGAGAGCGGTCTGAAGAATGAGGTGTTTTGGATAGAAAACCGCGCAGGAGCCGAGCTGGGCTGGGGGGGGGGGTGACTTCAGGGCGGGGCGGTAACTCTGTCCGGCCCTCTGTCACCTTTGTACACACGGTAGCCTACATGATCTAACATGAGCGTACGTGTTTCACGCCCATCGCTGGGTGCCTGTGTGAGGGCCTGACAAACCCGGCGTTACATTGCAGCCAACACGTGCATCCCACGTACATAATGCAATCGCAGTCCATAGTCTACCGCACATAAGAGCATGTGCCTGGCACCGGCCACGCTCCTGTCAGGTGCAAAGCATGTGTCGGCCCAGGGTGTGGCAGCTCGCTAAGGTGGTTGGTTCCCCCGGTGGGGGCTGTCTGGGCTGTGCTGAGGAAAAACGATTACGCTTATCATCACACACAGTATGACTCGGCTGGCAACCTGCCAGCTCATCAGGCCTCGAGCTTACCTGTTGTTCAGCCGCGCGTAGTGAGATTTATGTAGAAGTGGAGTGTCAATCCTCTAGTAATCCGAGTGTGACTGTCAACGTGGTATAAAAAAGGAAAAAAAAAAAAAAACGCACACATGTTGGGCAGCGAAGGCGCAAACGCCCGGCCACGGCCCCAGCGTGATGCGTATAGCGACTGCAGCGCATGTGGGAGTGGGTGTGGGCGTCTATTTTGCCTCCAGACCCCATGGGACCTACCACGCCGCGGTGTGTGCCCTGCTTTACCCGCCCAAAGCGACGGCAGATTACACGTGCGACGGTGACGGCGTGCCTGAAAATCCCGAGCCACGGGCGCTACACAATACATGTGTGCACATGTGTGCACAAAAAACACAACAAATACTACTACCTACGTGCTGGAATGGCCGTCACGCGACATGGATTCGAATTTAAGGTTTACACGGCCAAGCCCACAATTGGGGTTTGATAAGGTAGTGTCTGCCCCCCCCCCTCTCAGGGGCCGCGCTACACGGTACGAGGGGAGATCTGGAAATTCGGTTGACGGGAGGAGCTCGCTTTGCTTTTTCACTCTCGGCCGGGTCGAGCCAGTCAGGAACTGCCTTGTAGTCAATGCAACCCACCCTCCGCACGCCTCAGGCACTGCTGTACGCCCCCATCCCGTCGAGTAAGGTGACACAATATCCCGCAGATGTACCGCGGGCGAGCGCCCCTCCCCGGGTTGATTTGCTGGCTGTGCTACTCGCGGGAAGGGCGTCGTACGGCAGGAAGGCATGGCGTTGCAAATCTCCTTGTGGGAATGCCAGCCACCGGCTGTGTTCGCGTCTAAGTGACTAAGTGCTGGCACACACACGCACCAGCAGCTCCAGCTCGCCTCGGCCTCGGCAATGCTGACGGCGGTGGTGCCCGGCAACAACACAAGTGCGAGTGACACCTCGTTACAGCTCATGTCGGTCATCATGGGGCGAGAAATGAGATGTGAGCATGTGAAGTGTTTGAAGTGATTCATATTGCTGTTCGTGTGGTATCTAGAAGAGAGACCGTCCTGGACAAGCGCCGACCATACAAACACCAAGTACAAAAAGATTCCCAATGTCAATCCAATGCTCATCTGCTCAGCCCCCCTCCCCCATTCCAAAAGCTGTTGAACACCAATCGCTAGATGCTCGCAATGCAATAGTGACACAAGAAAAACGGTGAAAGAAAACAAGAAACCGATTACGGCTGAGACCGAAAAGAAAAGAAAAAACAACCAGGGGGCTAAGAAAAGGGAGATGACGTCTCGATGTGGACCTCTTCTTCTTTCTCCCGGGAAGCTTTTTGATCCTTTTCATGTAACACCTGCCCCCCCCCCCTCCTTTCTGCGCCTCGAAATGATTCTCGCCGAGGCCGCAGAATGGGCCCCACACACTCCAGCAAAGGAGGACGACGAAGAAGAAAAAAAAAATAAAAAGGGTTCAGCACAAGTGCTGCGTGTACGAGCTGTAGAGTGTGGGAATACTACTGCAAGACACAGGCCCATCCCGCACACACGCGCGCGCGCGCGCGCACCCTTATTCAGCCCAAAACCCACCAAACGGGTTCCTGAACGTGGCTGCAGCCACGCCAAGCAGGGCCACCAGGTGGCTGCGAGGCTCAAGGGCGCCCCACCCCCCCTTGTCTGTTTGCTGCCGTGCTATGCCACACCCTTTCTCTTGTGTCGAGGCGGTTCCCGGTGGGTGGGTGGGTGGCTTATTGAACGGTAGGCGCCTGAGGAGGGTTGTGTTTTTTTTCTTCTTCTTTCCTTCGGGGGAAGTGAGTTGGGGGGGGGGGGGTCGGCATGGGCCAACTTGTGGGTTGCCTCCCTCCCTTCTCCATTGTGTGCAACACCAGAAAATTGGTTCAAGGGTGGGTGGATGGATGGATGGATGGATGGATGGACGGATGTGAGGTGTGAAGCCGGGGAGTCCCGCCAGATCAGATACGGAATTTCCATGCCCCGGGCGTTGCAGGTCGCGTCGCCAGGGGCCGGGCCCAAAGGTTGCGTTTCCATCGTGGCGTTCGGGTTTTCCCTTTCTCGAGTGCCTTTTTTGTTCTTGTCGTGGTGGTGGTCGCTCGATCGTTGCCGCGGCTGGCTGGCTGGCTGGCTGGCTGGCTGGCTGGCTGGCTGGCTGGCTAGCTGGCTGACTGTGCCGTTGGTTTGCGTCGGTCTCGGCAGTTTCCCATCCCCACATCATGTCGATTCAGGGCATGTGGGTATCCCGTCCGCGATGTGCCTCGCGCATCCATCCTCGTTCTGGTCATGGTCCAGCCCCACCCATGCCAAATGCCGCGTTACCACTCGCGGAGCAGAAGTAGCTCGAACACGGCCGTGGGAGCGACTGGGGGATTCCTTTTTTGGGCGATTTTCACAAGCTCGTTGCTTTCTCGTTTGAGGACTGACCTGGTGATCTGCTGACGCGTGGAGTTGTGGGGACCGGTGTGTCCATCGTTGGATAATCAAACTGCTGCAGCGAAGGCCGAGGGGGGGCCTTCATCATAGGCAGTGGGCGGGCTGGTTCCGGCGGTTGATCATGAACTCCCAGGGCGTGTAGGTGGGCGGCTTGCAGTGGGAGCAGACCTCCCACGAGCGGTACTCGTAGTGAGTGAACTGTGGCGGGCAGCGGCGGTGGGTCCGGGTGTATGTGGGACACCAGACGGCAGCCTGGCCATGCCAGTGACCACAGGAATACTCTATCTGGACATGTCTGTCAGCCTGTGGGATCTTGAACGTCGTGGTGAGGAAAGGGCTGGTCTCCGGGCCAGGTCTTACTTTGTTGTATTCACACATGTCGACACGATGTCAACGGGAAACGAGTGGCGGGTTTGCAGGTCCGGCGGGCGAAGTCAGGCCTGTGCAGACAAGAGCAAGACTCAGTGGCGGGTCGAGCCTTGCTCCTGCGTGGTGTCGACGGCGAGATATATCAGCGGTGGCGTTGGCGGCGGGGAGCCAGACTAGTTGTTGAGGCAGACGAGCAGGAGGCCAAGCGTATGTTGTCACGATCGCAGGGAGATGCTTCTTATATATGATATAGTGAGTGAGGCGTGATGCGGTCGAAACAAGCGGACCGAGGGTCAAAAGAGGGAGTCGAGGTTGTATTTAAGCTTCAAGCACCAGAGAGGGCCGGGAAAAGCGTTTTCGATGGGTCCTTGTCAAGATGTGAGGATGCGGGATGGGGGCTACGGAGAGCAAGGAGGGGGGACGGGATAGGCTTCATGCAGCATTTTGCATGTCGAAAAAGGCATTTATATTGGAACAAGGGAGAAACCCATGAACCTTGTTGTCGTGTCCAATCGTCATTCTTGCGAGAAGAATTCGAGGAGTGGTTCGCTAGGACAGGGCGGTACAGCTCGCGCAGGGGCGGGCCTGACGTTCAGGGCTGGCCAGGGTGCGTTTTCCTGCGGGCCAGGACAGGGATGGGTCAGAACGGAGATAAAATCCTGGGACAGGGGGCCCTTCTGGCAGGTGGGAGTGTGGTGGGATGGCGCTCCACACCTTGCCCGCCTGGGCCGTTGTGCTGCTGGCGGGAGAGATGCGGAAACGGTGAGGGAATGTGAGTGTGTGAGTGTGTGAGTGAGCGTGTGGGTGGGTGGTGCCCGGGGTGACTGGCGAGGGTGTGGGAGGGTGTGGCACAGTACAAAGTACTTCCAGGACATCCCACCTGGCGATCGGATTTGACAAGTGCAATATCGGAGAGCGGTGTTCGGGTGAGTTGCCGGTACTGACTGGGCATGTCTGAGAAGGGCGAGTACAGCAGTCTGACTGACTGACTGTCTTGATGCCATCGACCCCTTACGGTGATCAGTGCCACCTTTGATCCGAGGGGGTTCAGGCCGCGAACAGGCACACGCGAATTTGGGAGCAATTTGCCGCCTCCAGGATCGTCGCGCAACAAGAGACCGGACAGGCCAGAGGGCCCAGCGAAGCGTTTCTCTCAAGCCACTTGATGAGTGGTCGCATCCTGCGGACAGCAAGACTCGACTGGCAGCTACTGTATGATCCCGCACAACCCGGCCGTCGCGTCTGTTTTGCATCGAAGCCTATCCCCCAGGTGCAATTCGACCAGACGGAAATAAGCACGATGCAGAATGCTGCGTTAGTGGACAGCTGGGAGAGCCGGCGTGTCCTGCATGTGGCTATGGCATCTGCTAGCGGGCACCTATCACTGTTCGTGGTGGGGAACCCGGCCTCCCATAGGGCCAGCCGAATACGGATGGATGGGAGATGATGCCCATTCCAGACAAACACGCAGTATTTTGTCTCGTCAGATTCGGGTAGGGGGAAAAGTGCGTGCGATATCTCTCCCTGCCGTAAACGTGTCCCTCACTGGCACTGCCTCCAGAATTGCCCGCGGCACGCTGAAAAAGGCTTGTTCAGTCTCGCTTTCGAGCTTCGCGGGCATTGACTTCCTGCGAGAGTCATTCGACCTCTGACCAGTGACCAGGGGGCACACAGTGGTGACAACGTTACAGGAAGCCTGCTCATGTTTTGCCGCTCAGAGGCGAGAAGAACCAGGGCCGCAATCTGTGCTGTGGCCACGCCAAGAGCTCGGTGAAACGCAGTAGCTTTTGTGCCCGGCCGTGGAAAATCAGGCCGCATGGGAGAGGCTCGCACGTGAACGAAGGTTCAAGTTCTATCCCTCCAGTCTGCGTGGCTCTGTCCATGCACATACTTTGCCAGGCACTGTGGGATTGGGACCCTGAATTGGAGGGCCGCTGACGAATGATTTGCAAGTGCCCTGGGCGTCTGGCTCCGGTTTTCTGCCAGCCCTCGGCCTGAGGGCAGTCTCAGATCTGAGCGCGGGTCGTAGATCACTTGTCGCCTGAACCGGTGCGTGCAGTGCTACGAACGGCGTCGAGCCGCGTCTGCTGCCAGGTCAGCAAGGCTACCAGGTGCCCAACATGAATTATTGCTGCGGTAGAGGCGACAAACCCGCAATGACGGCGCTGATTTCAGCCGCCACCGCGGCCACTGAGAGGGCGCGCGCGAGTGCAGATCCATTCTGCCAGGCCTGGGTTCCGCTAGAAGAGGACCGGATGATGTATACAGCAAGTAGGCCATTCCCTCCCACCCCTGAGCTAGACCACGACTGCCAGGAGATCCAGCCTAGACCCGACACCGACCAGACGAAACATTGACAGGGACCTGGTCAGACACGTGGTGGCCCTCACCAAATGTGCTGCAGCCTGTACGAAGGACCCTGGGCGCCACGCAGTCATCCGTCCGAAGCCTGCCAAAGATAGCGCGAGAGCCGGGTCTTTGCCTGAACTGCCAGGACTGCCTGATTCCTGGTCTCTCCCCCAGCGTGAGAGAGCAGCTGGGTAACTGGCGCCACTGTGCTGTGTGTACAATGTACAATAATTTGCCCTGTACCCAGTGCCCTTTGCCATTTGCCCTCTTGCCCTCGGCAGGGCAAAATATGGTGGATGTGTATACTTTTGCCATATGAGGCCCACCCGTCGATTTGACTTTGCCGGCGCCTTTGTGATAGCCTGTCTTGGGGATGAGTCGCGAGAGCTGAGCCTACACTACAATAAGTGGGTACTACCGAGTTTTCGGTCGGTGAGTCTGACTGCCTTCGTGCGAATCCCTCCGTTCCTCCGTCCCAGTGAACCACATGATGATATCCACACCGGTGAAGGCATGGCGGCGATCACCTCCGAGTCTTGGTCTAGGCCCCCCAAGCGCGGGGGAAAACACCAATACCGACGGTTTTTTTATGCCCGAGGGGGGGGAGAAACACTACTCGCTCGCTAGCAACACACGAACTGCTGAGTGAAGATCGAGTCAGCCTCTGATAACGAGGTAACATGCCGGTCTTGTCGACCTCACCGAAGCCACGCCGCTAGCTCACCGTGCCTGGCCGGCAGAAGATGGCTGCTCCGAGAACAGGAAATGAGGGGGCCTGGGGTCATGATTGAGGGGGCCGGCCTGAGTCTGAGGATCGTCTTGGGGCCCTGAATAATGGCATCGCCCGCCCAGAGCACGGGTGTGTACTGAATACATTGGGCCACGAAATTGTTTCACGACTCGTCCACCCTCGGCGATGAACACGTCCTCGAGGCTATTTGCAATTTTGCATTTTGCCAAAGCTTCGTGTTTTTTTGGGCCGGCAGGTACTGCTGGAGAACCGTGCCCACAGCGGCTTGCGAAAGCCAATTGATGCGTCGGCGTCGCTTGCGTATGAGTCGAGGGCAACCCAGGCTTCTGGAAGCCGGGAGGGAGGAGGGGCCAAGTCCCGCGACCATGCATCCGGGCGCAGGCGTATCCCTGGTCGATGGAGCACGCACTATGGTCCGCAGCGCAGGGCGAGAAGCATCCTGATCCTTCTCTCGCGACGTCTCTGGTTCGGCAACGACATCTGCCAAAAACCTTGCGATGCGAATCCCGAGGAAGCGAGTGGCTCAGTATTGCCCAATGTGGGTTTGACAGCGGCTTTCGCCGCCCCCCAGGCATGACGCCCTCTTCGCGTTTCGGGCACGCCTTTGCCACTGAGCAGGCCATCTTCGCGCGGGCGCCCACATGTTGTGGCACGGTGTTCGAGCTGCGTAGCGAACCGTGGAATGGGCTCCAGGTCGACTCCAGGAAGATCCGCCGGAAAAGGGCTGAAGCTGCAGCCCAACGCCTGGCTGGGCTGGCTGGACTGGACAGCCTCATGGGGGGAGTCCAGATGGCGAGCGGGACTTGGAACATGGCACGGTTGATCGCGCCTCCACTCCTGACGAAGCTCGCATTCGTCACCGAGCTGATCAAACAGGCTATGAGATTTAACCGAGGAAAACTTTTTCGACCACGGCTTGTTCCTCTACATTATGGAAATTCTTACAAAGGACAGTCTATCTCCGGCGGTCGGCAATCTGCGAGGCAGTGGGACCGGCCTGACCAGAAGGGTCCCCATCACGGAGCCGGCTGAGGGACGGCGCCGAACTATCTCGTGGCCCAGGCAGCAAGCGGTGAGCGCGTACCGAAGGCAACCTTTTTGGCGCCTTGAGCAATAATTACAGGCAGACTGACTGGCGAGCCGGCCGTCTGGAGCGGTCGGAACGGCATGTGGCCCAGTCTGATAGCAATACACAATATTGGTTTGCTGTGCTGAAGACTGGGATGGCTGAATTCGCGGCTGCTGATTTGTCTTCGGCCTTACCGTTGGTCCCAAAGGCTCTCCCACATTCTGACCGCCTGGAGACTACTGACCTATCACCAAGTTTGTCAGAAATAAACTTCGGACCCTCCGGCGACTTCGTACCTTGATGGCGTCTTGCCCGCCGAGCCGCCCTCGCCTAGGCGGCTTCAGTGAAGAGCGACCGACTCCCGGAAACGCTAGGGTGATGGGTAACGCCGTTCGACACGGATTACTCACGTCAACCGTGGTATGCTCACAGCCAGCGCGAACCGTGTGCAACGAAGTTCAGGGTGAAACTGCTGAGAAGTCAGAGTCCCGAGCCCCCGCGACCCCGCCTCCCGGGCCCTCCTCCGGTCTACGTATAGATCAGTTCCTGTGGGGAGTCGTGCCTCAGTCTTTTACTCGTCTGAGTCCCTATCGAAACAGCACGCGAGAGCTTGTCGGCTTGGGTGGCCGCGACAGGTCACAAGTCCGTGGAGAGAGCACAGCCGGAAAGACCCACGGGACCAAGCGATCGAGATGGCACACGTGTAGAATGCCGGTGACGGCTGCCAGATTCGAACGAACCGTTTACTGGAATTGGGGCATGATGCAAACACGTCCGCCCGGAGACGCCCGTTCAGGACGCCCTCCTTCCCCTTTGCGTAGGCCGGAGGACCTGTCAAAAGGCGGGCCGAGCTCGACGCGAGCATGATATCCCCCAGACGGTCATTTGCTCGAGCAGGATTTCGAAAAACCATTCCGTTCTTGGACGCCCGGGCCCCACTCGCTGCGGCATGCCAGGCATGCGCAGCGGTGTCTTGCAGGTGTCATGATTCACTTGTGTGGATCTAGATCCACTAGACGCCCCATCGTATCCTTCCATTTCATCCCGGCAGGGGTTCGAGTTCTGCACCTTGGTGGGGGCAGAGGAGGGGGAGAGGGGGGTCCTCCTCTTCGGCTGTCAGTCTCACGATTTGACCTGTCTGGGCGACGGTCGTTGTGGCAGACCCCGATGGGTGAGGGTGGCTCATGGCGAGTGCTGCTTTGGGCGAGTTTCACCTCGCGCGGAGGGTTTTCTAATACGACAGCTCGGACGAATCTGTGCAGATGTGGCACTTCTGTGACTCTGGCCCGGCGCGCCTTTGTCGTTCCAGGCCCTCAAACATGACATCGAGGATCAATCTACGCCCAGCTTGCCGTGGGCTCTTTACCGTTGCAGTGGCTAGGCTTGGACTGGGCTTGGGCATCCACAAAGTAGATGCTGGGAGGCTCGTGCTGAGACGACAGATCACTTCACTCAGCCCTACGAAGCGAGGTAAGAATGAGGTGGATCTTGCAGGTTAGCCTCCGCTGGCTGAATGATCGGAGGCCATATATGATGTCCTGATAGAAGATCGTAGCTGTGACTACAGTAGTGTGTTGAGCGCAGACGCTCATAGCAAATGGCCAGCAGGATTCGTCGATAGCTTCGTGAACATACATACAGCCAATTGCTGCGTTGAGACAGACCGAGCTGACGCAAGTGCGTGAATCTGGTTTTGATCCACGAAAATTGCCAGAACTAGACAGCGATGCTTTGCCGTGAAGGAGTCAATGAAAGCTGCGGAGTTCTTGAACCTTCGAGGCCCAGACCTATCGCCTTCGAAGACTTGAGGATAGAATTGCCCGGCAGTCCACACTCAACACTGGATGTCGATCGGCCAATGCACAGGATTGGACACACGGTCACGTCGTGCCAAAAATAAGAGGAGAGCCGAGACGTTTTGTTTCTGCAGTCGATCAGAAGCAAGAATAGTGCTAGGCGAGAAGGTTCCCTGAGGATATCGTCGCAAGAAACAACTGCCGAAGACAACACCAGTTCATGCACGTGGGCGCGGGCTTTGCATGTTATCGCGATGGTCATCTTGCCCAAAAGCCTAACATCGGCCCAGGGTTCGCAGCAAGAAAAAAGACTCGACGGGACAGGCATCTGATTCGCACGCTTCAGGCACGGCGTAAATGCCGGGTGCAACCTCCACCGAGCCCGGCGGCGCCACGCGCCCTTCCCCGGTGCTGATGGTGGCATGCCGGCAATTTGATCCGCAGATCTGGGCCCCGTGTCATCTGATGCCCCGGCCCCCGCGCGGTTCCCTCAGCCTGCAGTAGCGGGCGACGAGGCCGGTACGGATCGAGGTCTAGCGTGTGGGGGTCCCACGAGGGCGCACGATGGCTTCATGCGCATGTGGCGTGGTTCCTCGTGGTAGAATGCCCCCCCCCCCCCTTCCCCCGGGCCTTGTGTTCGCGAACTAGGTTCGAAGCGCAGGGCGGGCGCCGATTTTATTCTTACCTAAAGTGCGTGCCCTCTTGGTTCCGCCGTCCACTCGCTGCAGGTGATCAAGTTTCATCCCAGCAACCACGTGTGGGCTAATGCAAGACCAGGCCCGAGCCTGCCGCATTCGGTGTGCCTTGCCTCTGCCGTTGCATCGCCGAGGCCACGAGGTGGAGGCTTGGCAGCGTCCGGGAGGCTCTTCCGGTGATGACGTCTGCCACACAGTACGACCTCGTCAGTGCCATCTTCTGATGTACGGATGGGGCGGCAGATGATGGCGTGCCAGCCCGTTCCCCGACATTGCGCTGCGCACAACACCGCCCAACAAGGCGATGCGCTGCACATGAACAAGGCTGGTGCCGCGGTCATCCTTGCAGCACTCGAACCTATTCCTGCCCAGGAGGCACCTAAGGGGGTTTCAACGGCCCTAGGGACGAGTCAGAGGGCAACAGATTATGAGCCTCGAAATTATTGCCGGATCTATCCAGCTGCTGATCGGGTTCAATTACAGGAGGAGGAGGTTTTGTGATCCAGCAGCTGCGCAATTTAGAAGAACGAGAACAGCTGTGGCTCGTGCTTTACGACCACCTGCCTGTCAAAGCCTTAGCATGATGCATTGTCCGTGATGTCGGCGGTTACTTCTGACCGCCTTGACCTTGACCGCCTTGACATTGAAATCGAAAAGCTGATGTAGAAGTGGCTAGAACGTGGCTAGGTCTTACTATGGACATTGATACATCCAATGACTGGCTACCTTATGCTGCAGTGCGCAACGTATTGCCGCCTCGACACTTAAGCGAACAACTTTAAAGTCAATTCCCTCGTTGATCGGGTATTGATCTGTATCCCAACAATAGTTTCAGGTTTTTGGGACCAGTCCCGGCCATAACCAATATTGTCAACAAAAAATCAAGTCTGTTAAGCTTCTCTTCATCGCGTACCCAACCCTTGAATTTGCAGCTCAACCACAATGCCTCGCAACATTGCCACATCGGTAATGTCTCATCTCAACGTCGGGCCGGACATCTTGCGATCCGATTGCAGGCACCCAAGGCGGTGGTCCCACTTCGAGTTGACCACGACCGTCACACTGCACCATCAAGGCTCCTCTAGACTCGACTGGCAGACAGAAAACGGTTGGCCAAGTGCTCTCAGCAGCCCATTGAAAAGCTCATAATAAATTGCTTAGATCATGCATCCGGATGCATAGCTGAAACATTGTAAACGCCCCTTCAGCTCTGGTTGGAGGCCACGTGGTACCGATCGCCCCGCCGCTCCCGGGTGAAGTTTGGTACATTGCAACTCTATTGTGAGATCAGTGTGACATTGTGATGTGAATCGCGTGGAGTGTCTTGGCCCACAGAAAATCGCAAACAAGACCCATAGTCGTCTTAGTTTCCAAATTGTAGATGATCAGGCATGGATCAGCACTTGTCCCAAGCTCAGGGTCGACGACCCACGACGAGATCCTTGGGCCAAGCTTCTAATGGATGTATGCAGCTTTTTGCAGCGTGAATTATGATTTGTAAGCTTGCATGCAGCTCTGATCCATATCGTGCCAGATACTGAATTGAAAATCGCTTGTATAAGGCACGGCTTGGTTGTTGGAGGGAGTTATGGACTACTGAGCCTTTTAACAAGTGATCTACTAAGATTCACTTGTGGCGTGACCAACGTCTGGAGGTCTGAATCTTCAGAGCGTATCGCGCAAGGGACTGGGTGCTGCTCTTGCCGCGCGGAAGGGTAGGCCCTGTTGGAGGGAGTTGTACACTATCTATGTTGCACCGGGTTACCAGGTAAATCTTACGCTCTCAAACTACCAAGTGTGGAATGGCGAGGACATGACCAACAGCATTACCTTGGAACGCATGAGGGTCCACGTCTGATCGCATCATGTTTCTCCGGTCCACAGCAGGGTACTGGGCCTCCTTGAAGCACAAGTCCGTGTCACGATCGACGTTCAAGTTTACATGATGAGTCCTACACGCCCCGCAGACTCTGCCGCCCTGTGTCTCAAAATCTTCAATAGTTTGAAGAGTAGACCCCACGCATGAATGCAGAAGCCGAGCAGGCTGCCTATGCGACGGCGCGCTGCAGCGGGTGTAACGTATGCCCTGCAAAATGCGAGGCGCGCCTAGTTTCTCAGTAAAGACGTGTCATTCATGTCGAGTAACAAGCGATGAACGCGTGTTTAAACCTCATGAGGCTTCGGCCACACTATGTTTTTTTAAATCAACTATTCATTAATCTATCTGCTATTTGCTTACCTTTCCAACTATTCCTTACCCCTAAGCTTTTATATAAAGTCGCAAATAGCTTAATATACTCATTAATAATCCTTTAGTAAAGAAATCTTAAAACCCCCCTTTTTGCCCTTAATTCTTAATTATTTTTTAATTCTTTAAAGCATCTTTTAAGTATTATTAATAAAAAAGTAAATTTAAAATAATATAATATAACCAGTTATATTTCTTTATATTATTTATTTCATTATAAATATTATATTTACTATTTTTAAAAGTTTTATAATAACTTAATAAAATGATTATAAATAATTATTAAGAAAAGTTTGTTTTTATTTTAATTTTTATTAAAGTTAGCTTTAAGATTAAATGTTACCTATAATAATGGCTTATTTAATAAAGGTTAATTTTAAAAGCGTATAATATAATAATGTATAAATAAAAAGAAATTAAGATTATATTAATAAGATTTATTTTATAAAACTTATTTTAATTTTTATTATATAATTAATTACCTAATTATTAATCTTAAGCTAGTTATATTAATGATTTTAATTTATCGCGCCGCTAAAAGCAGTTCTTATTAGCCTTATTTATATAGCTATTATAAGGCTATCATTATTTTCTTAGCCATAAGCTATAAATAATTATACTTAAAACCTATTATTATTAATATTATATTGCTTTTTTAATGCTGGGTGTTTAAGCATTTATTACTATATGAAGGGACTGGATGCATATTGCTTGAGAAGCATATACGTACAAATTAAAAACGAGACCACTTAAACCTCATGAATGTTGTCTATGTGGAAATACCTTTTCCTGAAAGATGTTCTCCTCACTCGATAAAACGTCATCCGTCCCAGATCGTCATCTATCCGCTGTCGAGATCTGCGAAAGGGCCAGTTCGCTGACGGGTCCAAAGTACTGCTGACTTCCCGGGGCTCTGTTGCTGCTTCCAGGTGCCGCTTTCTACCCCTATGATTGTACACTGCGCCAAATAGATGCAACGTTGCCTCTAACCTGGCAAGGCAGCTCACGTGCGAGCAGGAAATGTTTTGTGCGGTAGCAGACTGTGCGACGGCAGTTGGCTTGATGGAAAAGCCTAGGCCGAATACTTCTGTCTTTTTGCCTCGCCAAAGACTCACCCAGCCCTTCAATTGTTTATTTGAATCAAGCAATTTGGACTTGTGGCCCATGTTTGCGTAAGACTTGGTGAGGCTGGGCCAAGGCAACCATGCTGTGATACCAATGATATTCATCTGTGCCAGAAAGCAAACAATCCCACGCCTCCACGTGTCGTGTTACGAACTGTGCCACGAGTTGCTGTATTGTGTTCTGTGGCCCGAAGGCGGAAAACCAAGGCTCGCTATGTACATGGCACGGCTCATGGCCGCAGCCACGCGGTTGTGCCTTGTTATAAATGCACCTGCCACATGATTGTTGACCGGTGGTTGGTTGTTGGGAGGCGCGAAGGGACGTTCATTTATCTTCACAGATATAAAAGCCATCTCCAACCCGAATCCTCGACACCCAAATTTTCAAGCCTTCCTACAACATTTTGGGAACACACTGAACCTGTTGGTCAAACCATTCCAGTTGGCTGTCGGTTTGAGTATCGTCCCCATCCTCACTTTGCCTGGAACTTGTCTCTCCCAACCCCATCATCAACATGCAGTTCTTCATCTCTCTTCTTGTACTTGTCTCCATTGTCGCAGTAAGTTCCAAGGTCCAACGATTTTCCTTGCTATTTCCACACATGCTGCACCGAATACTTATGCAAGGATGCGGACAGGCCGACGGCACAGTCCAGAAACCCGAGATACCCTCAGCTCCCGCCATCGAGCTAGAGCCCCGTGATTTGATCGACGAGATAAGCAGTTTCACTTCAGCCATCGCGGCAGCGCCCAGCTATCTCGAGTCATCCGTCATTAGAGAATTCAGTAGCCGGTTCGCAAACCTCACGGCTTCGGCAGCCTCTGCCACGTCCTCACTGGGCCTCCAGCTCTCGACCGCCGACGCCGCCGCTTCTACGTCCATCCAGTCCCAGCTCAGCCAGGTCGCAGCCAATGTCAGCAGCGCCTCTGCTGCGCTGCAGGCCGCTCAATCGGCTGTCAACTCGACGTCTGCATCTTCGTCCGCTACAAGCAGCAGCACTGGAGGTGTCGGTTGTGCGCCGACCGCTGCGGTAGGCATGGGTGTTTTGGCGGGTGGGATCGCTGTTCTGGTGCAGATGTAGTGCGAGAAGTGGAAAACACGAGGGGAGCTCATTCTGCGGGGACAGTGATGCGGTTTTGGTTCTTTCTTGTTTGAAAGGATGCAAGGAGTGTTGATCAAGTTCAAAGTGTGTCAAAGATGCTTCGATTGTAATCGCACATTGGGTCGGGATTAAGATGAAGACATGCGAATTGCTAGCCATGGGGGCCACGACTTGTTCTGGCTATACCTTTGTAATGGTGTCAAATGAGAGTGCTCGGCGCTGATATGATTAATTGTAGAATGAGCTAACATCTTGTTTTCCAACCGTGTGTTCGCATCCTCGATCGGTCAAACGCAGCCTTCTACCGCAATACTGTAATTCCTACCCAAATCGACGTTATCTGTTGGCTCGGTCAGATCGATGCTTACTCACTAAACTGACCTTAAAGTTTGCCCAGAGGTCCCCCCTCACTTTCCCGCAACACTGTGAGAGAAGGATGACCGGAAAGTCCCTCCAAACGATGAGTCTCCAAGACAATCACGTGCCACGTTGGAGTGCGTAGAATATACTCTGGGACGCCGAACCACCGAAACTCCCCCTGCTTTTCCTCTCATGCCTCTGAGTTGGTATCCGTGGTATCAGAGACACCATGGACTTAAACGGTAAATGTGCAGCGTACGATGTCCTTGCTGACATCAACTATTTTCCAGCCACTGGAAAAGTCATCACAACCGAGGAATGGAAGCCTCGATATCTAGGAGTAAGCGATGACTTCACCCGGAAGATGACGATTCGCGATATACGCGGCATGGAAGATCAATTTGAGCTCGATAGGAATGGGTTCAAGTTTGTCAAGCTTCCTAGCAAGCACAGAAGCACCGAGGATGATGAGACTATCAAGACGCAGTGGTACCCAGAAGTCGATGAAGTCATAAAACAGCTGTAAGCCAACGACATGGAGCCTGTCCTACACACCCTGTTATGCTTACACCGGGTCTGCCAGGACCGGCGCCTCGACCGTCCACATATTCAACCACTGCATCCGGCAGTGCAACGAGCCAGTGTCCAAGGGCAAGCTGGACCCTCTGGGCCGCTGGCTGGCCGCTGCATCGGGCCACCCGCACGTGGACTACGCCGCACGCCCCGAGGACATTCAAGGGACGTTAAAAGAGCTCAAGTTCCCCGCCGAGATCGCGGGGCGCTTCGAGACCTCGTCCCGGTTTGCCTTGGTCAACGCCTGGCGGCCCCTCAAGACCGTGCAGCGCGACCCCCTCGCCGTCGCCGACGCGTCCACCGTCCCGGGCTTGGACTACCAGATCCGGGCCCGCCAGTTCAAGCCGAGCGGTGTCAGGTCGGGCAACTATGTCATGTCCCATGGCGCGACGGAGGACCGGCACGATTGGTACTACATGCATGAGATGCAGCCTGACGAGCTCGTTGTGTTTAGGAACTATGATACGAAGCGGGACGTGCCGGGATGGAGGTGTCCGCATACGGCGTTTGAGATCCCTGGGACGGAGGACTTGCCGGTCAGGGAGAGTATCGAGATTCGAGCCGTTTGTTTTTGGGACTGAAAGGCGGAGGTTTGTCCTGTGTCTGATCAAGACTAGTGACTTGAGGTTGATTGAAGCATTATATTCGAAATTGGCAGCTGATCAGTTTTATTAAGCGATCTCTATCTGCAAGTTCGGGAAATGTTGAAGAAACGGGAATCAAATCTTGTTCCGTATCCCCTCATCCTTGTGGTATCAGAGTTGTTCATCCGCTTCAGTCTTTCTCCTGTGACCTGACACCGCGGTCATCCAAGCCCAGCCGGCCAGGCCTCCTTCTCGTAATGCTGCCTAATTTCCCAGCGTCAGCTGTCGTGACTTTTTCAGCATTTGACCTAAATAGGCTGCATCTCCCTCGCGTCAATCTATCGTTTCCCCTTCCCCCCATTCGCAATCTTGTCAAACACAAGACCACCGATCGTCGATTTCAGTATATTCCCCATAGCACCGTGGTTCGGGTTCTTGTCGATCCCAGCGTCAATCACCGCGGCGCTGATCGCCGCGGTCGCGACCCTGACGCCCTTCTCGCCTACCCAGTCCCCCGGCCGATTCTTCTGCCGGAACGCCTCGAAGGCCGCAGCCGACAGCCCGGCCTTTATCATCTGGTTGCGCTTCTTCTTATTGTCCACCGAGTGGTCCCGGTCCCTGCGGTCGTCATGGCTGCCGCCCCGCGTCGTCGACCGGGACCGCGGCTCGCTGTGAGGCCTCCGACCGCCCCGGCCTTGCTTCCTGGACTTGTGGTCCGAGGACCGTGGTGCGTAGTAGCGATCCTCGTCGTCGTAGTACTCTGCAGACCCGTCGCCGTCGTTGTAGGTCGACCGCCGGGAGGGCGGCGCCGGTCGCTTGTCGCGGCCGCGAGGTTCGTCGTCGTACGGCATCAGGTCGATCGAGTCATCTCTGTCCCGGTCCCTCCTCGAGCCGCCCCTGTCCCGGCGCGAGGGTTGGTGTCTTGAGTTTGCTCCCGCCATCACGAAGTTTCCTGGTGCGAGGAAAAGAGATCGTTGGTTGTGTTGGGGCAGTGGAATTGGGCAGTTCAGGGCCACAAATTCGCAATCGCCAGTGTGACGTACCCCCCTTGGGCGTCAAACGGTTGTGCAGCTCGTCCGCAGTTTGCTGGCTGCGTCAGGTTTCGCCGTGGTGTGCGCCAAGGGATTCACTTCCAGGATTCCAGCTCGATTGTCATCCAATGACGAGGTCGCAGGCAGCGACTGCCGACTTACCCGAGTCACTTTCCAGACCTCTAGTCTAGGTTTTGATCGCGGTGGCCGCGACCGAGATGCCTGTTCCCTGTTTCGCCAGGCCGCCGTCGAGACCTGAATGCGACACTGGGATAATGTGTCGCAACACCAGCGTCCCCGTGGCGGGGAAGTTGCACCCACATCAGGGATGGTACCCACTGTATAAGAAAAAGCTTAGGATAGCCCTAACAGCCCTACTTCACCATTGGAAAGATTACTTACAGCTATAGAGGCCTAGCTTTCTTGATATACAACCTATCATCTTGAAGGGCTTTTCTTTACTAAATCTCTATGTATCATCTTGGTTCCACCGGGAAAGGCAAGCAAGACGGATTTGTCAAGGCTAAAAAGCAGCAATTCACTGTCCAATTTCGTGAAACATCATCCGCAGCTGAGTTCCCAAGCCCAACCGCCCACACTAAGTGCCCTCAAATTATCACCTAGCTGTGCTCAAGTGCCGATGCACTGCCGGAGCCCGATCCTACAAGTAAGACAGACACCACAGTCCACAAGACCTGTCTACAGGCCACTTCGGGGGTAAGTGCGCTTGGAAGACTGCATAGAAGCCATCTCTACTGCTTACTAGAGTCACTGGTCAGGGGGTAAATATACTATTAATATGAAAGTAGTTGAACAAATCATATACTATTAATTCTCTGAAAGATGATAAAACGGCGAGTAGGCAGGCCGCAGTTCTAGGCACAAATGCTCCCGCGAATCGTGAAGAGAACAAAGTCACCGGGTTACAATGTGCCTGTCCAGATAGAAAGAACGCGTGAGTTGTTAACATATTTCTGAAGAAGGGGAGCTATCTGGGCCTATTATGTCTGGCCCTCTCGGCCGGAAGCGAAGTGTATGGGATGGTTGGCGCCCACAGCCACTGCTTCGAGGATAGCAGCCGATTCTAAAGTCCTGGACAGACAATCGAACATTCCTGTCTTTATGTGATAGACTATGCTGACGTGCTATGTTCCTGCTCCGGCAGCACAACATTCTTATCCAGGTGGTGAGCCCTGTGGCGCATCATAGCGATGCCCTGACCTTGTCCGCCACGGTCCTGCCTAGGGTCTCGGCCGTTGAACCGCCCAAGATCTCAAAGACAGCGATGTCCGCCTTTAGGGTCTGCATAAGCCAGTTGCGCATCTCAACAGCGACAAAAGATTCCACTCCGTATACATGCAGTGGCTGAGCCATGTCGAACGCGTCCAGCGGCAGCATGAGACCCCTGCACAGCCTTGTCGCTCTACCAGTACCCACGACATCCGCAGCCTCAATGATCTTGATGAGCACGGGGTCTTTGCCTGTGTTGTTTGTCTCATCCCCGCCCGCCGTCGCAGAAATGCCCATATGGTGCAAGACCGCAAAGATAGGCTCGTTCATCCAGCTCATCAATGATTCATTGCTGTAACCCTGAACGCTGGGGTCATCTTTCTCATTATAAGGTAGGAGTAGACGTATGATTGAGGAATATAATCTCAAAGATCCTTCATGCCCGCCGCTGGTCAAAAGGAGCACGTCTCCAACTGCGAGTTGCCATGGGCCACTGACTTCTGTCTCCGGACGGAATCTATTGCCGTGACTGCTTTTTTGACCCGGACGACGACGGGTTCGACACCCAAGCTATCTACCGAGCATATTCCTCAGAACACGCTGGTCATCTAGGACGTACAAAGCACGTAGACCAGAAGAACAGCACGTATCATTGGCCACGAATAAGCGCCGGTGTGAGGGAGTAATACGCGAGCCCCTTAATTGCGTATCAGAACTGAGCCACCTTCTGTTTACCCACATATAGACGATTGCAAAACTACTGCAAAAGCATATGTTCATAAATATCCATCACTACTGAAGGGGTACTATAGCAGGCTACTCTGATACAATCGCTGATTTAAAAGCCCTCTTTCCTGCAAAGCCGTGGTAGATTAGTCTTGGGCTACTTATATCGACGGTTCTAGTCTATGGCGCCGCTAGAAGCGGTTCTTGCTAGCCTCGTTTGTGCGGCTGTCACAAGGCTATCATTGTTTTCTTAGCCACAAGCTATAGATAATTATGTTTAAAACCTACTGCTATCAATATTATACTTTTTTTAACGCTGGGTGTTTAAGCGTTTATTATTATGTAAAGGGATTGGATGCATATTGCTTAAGAAGCATACATATATAAATTAAAAACGAGACCACTTTTGATATTAATAACCCAAGTCAACAGTCCTTAAAAGTAAGCTTTTAGAAGTGGATTCAGGATTCATATTCCCATACTATCCATGCCCCTTATACATATTCTCAAGAAATCCTGACTCCCAGGAAACCGTCTCCATGAAACAGATAACTAACGCAAAGAAAGCAACAGTATTCTTTAGCTGTCTTGTGAACGTGGACCTGCTCCGCCTTTTCCTAACAGGCAGTATGCCCATTGAAGTAATCAGCAGTCAAAGGTCCTGTTTAACAGCGCTGGAACAGATTGGCTTAGTGCCCCTTCCGGGTGAAGTTAACGACGTGATAGCATGCACAAAGGGGGTATGACACTATATGTGCTACGGGCGGATGCAGATGACTGGAAAAGTATTGGAATCTCGTACGTAAGAGCTACGATGCATGTGTTGAGTAACAAGGACTTTTTCTAGACGATGTTTGAAACTAAATAATGGCTTTAAACATCGGAGATTAACTAAAACATACTAATTAGATTTAATGCCTTCAACAGTAAGTGATTCGATATTTGGTGAATTGTAGAATAAATTAAAATGAAGCAAGTTCTACACATTGACTATATAGGTTTCTACAATTACTTGAAGGTCTTTTTGGTACTTGCCAGAGATTACCTACACCTCGGTAATTCTTGCCCTTGACATATTCTCCCCGTGCTGACGACCGGGCCTTCGCGAATGACAAGAATGATGATTTCCTACCATGGCTGAAACCCCCCCGAGATCAGCATTCCACGTTGGTCCCCGCTGAGTACTCGCAACCAATAAGGAGATTGGAATGGTCCCCTGTGGCGCGGGCGATGGCGCTGCAAAAGAAAAGCTTGTATGACGGATGATATAATATAGGCAGGAACTGGAGAACAGTCCCCAACAAGAACTGAAAAAGAAGAACTTGCATAACGGGTGATACAATACGGCCAGTAATCGTGGAATAGCTTCCCAACAAGATCTGAGAAAGAAGAACTTGCGTGCCGGGTGATACAAGGTGGTCATTGACCGTGGGATAGCTTGCCGCGAGTCGGAGTGATTGCAAACGCATAGAGACGGCCGATCTACATAACTGGAGCTTCGTCCATATATACCGGAGCCAGGTACCATACCCTTCCAGATCAAGGGATGTCAGATCCAGGCATCCGCCAGTCCAACCTCCGTAACATCATTGACACCAACGCAAAGTCCATATCACCCCTCCACCCCCCCCCCCCCCGATACACCTAACAACCATGGCCGACGTGGACCACAGACTCGAGCACGCCAGGGTCGGTTCCTGGTTCCTGGGCCCGCGGGCCGAGAACTTCGACCTACTCAAGGACTTCTTCGCTCACATCCTGGACGACCAGCAGGCGGCACGCAAAGGAATCTACAAGCAGGACCCCGACTTCATCACGGACGATATGAAGAAATCCGAGGTCTTCACGGCAAGCATCAGCCAGCTGTGGAACGACGTCAAAGCCCTGTCCAAGGGCCTGGCTGATCACTCCATCCCGTTCTGGTCACCCCGATACAATGCCCACATGAATATGGACACTGCCATGTCGAGCATCATTGGATGTGAGTTTCCTCCCGAGTTCCTCCGACGTCGTGCCTTGGCGTGTGAGCTGTTCAGTTGAGTAATCCCTCGCCGTGCCACGCAGACATGGCGTCGATGATGTATAACCCCAACAACGTCGCCACCGAGGCTAGTCCGTTCACCACTGCCTTGGAGAAGGATGTTGGGCTGCAGCTCTGCCGCATGCTAGGTTATACGGTCTTCGGTGACTTCCCTGCATGGGGCCACATCACATGCGTGAGTGAAAGCGAGAGCCGGACCGGAATTGCACTGACTCCAGTAGGACGGCTCCGTGGCCAACCTCGAAGCTATCTGTGTTGGCAAGTACGACCCTCGTCACTTGGAAGGCTACTTTAGTTATCCCCTCTGGGGCACGTAGCCTCTCAGAACTTAAACAGAACAATATTAATACATAATTGCTTCCCATATAATTATTATATGTATAAAAGACCTATTAATACTAATTAATAATTATAGGTATTATAAATTAATAAGATAAAAAAGGCAACCCTATAAAAATTTCCCTAACTTAAAAATTATATTTTCCTTATTAATAAGCGCTATATAATAATAACTGCTTCTTTAAGCCTCCCTATATTATTAAACTTTCTAAGTAAATATTATAAAGATTAAATAAATTAAATAGCATTTCCTATAATATTTATATATATATTTATTGCTATTTAAGAAATATATATTTATTATGCATAAAACTTTATTAAAAATAAACCTATTTTTAAATCCTTTTTAAGACTTAGCAAAACTTAATAAAGCTTTGTTTTGCTAAATAAATAAAGCTTATAATTATTATAATTATTAAAATTAATGTAATGCTATGTTATAAGTAAATGTAAATTATATATTATGTTTTTAATTAATATAAAAGGATTTAATAATGAAAAAAAGCCTTAGCTTTTAAGGCTTAAAGAAATTAATAACTTTTTTCTTTTAATAATTATAACTTACTTATTATTAAATTATTATTATTAACTTACTTTTAAATATTACTTATTTTATTAATAGCTTACTCCTTATAATATTTATTATAAAAACTTATAAGCATAGTTAATAATGCTAAAAAGCTATTAGTTTTTATTAAAGGGTATATAATTAATAAAATGCTTACTTAAACTTTAATTAATTTAGCCTATTATAAATATATTAATTTAAAATTATAGTTTATAGCTTTTATATAAAAAGCATTAATAAAATACTTAATTACTTACTTAATAAGTACTTTAATAAGCTATATATAATAAAACCTTTATAATAATAATCTTTTTATTGCTTATTATAAGGATTATATAATATAAATATAAGCAATATTTAAAGTATTGCTAAATCTTTATTAATAATGCTTAAAAGTTTTTCTTTAAATGCAAGGTATTTATATAAGATATAATAATTAATTTATAGCATTATAATTAATTACTATGGTTTAAACTAAGGAAAGATTAAAATAAATTAATAATAAGCTTTATAATACCTTATTAACCTTAAAATTAAATATAAATAAATATTATATATAACTTTAAAAATAATAATTATAAGTATAGCCCTTATAAGCATTATAAGTAGGCTTTAAATAATAATAATAATTAAAAGAATAGTCCTTAAGGTAATATTTATTGCTATTATTAGCTTTAAGCGCGTAATTATAAAACTTAAACTTAATAATATAATTTATTAAAAACTAATATAATTAGCAAGGCTTATTATTATTAATAAAAAGATAAAAATAAAGCTTATATTAAAGATATATACTATACTTAGTATAACCTTAAGCTACTTTAAAAATGCCTTTATTAAATAAAAAGTATAATTTATATAAAACTCTTTCCTTATAATATATTTTTAATAAATGCTTAAATTTAATAAAGTTAGCATAATTTATAAAAATCTTTAATAACTTTTATAAATATACTAAGGATTTATATAACTTATTAAATAATAAAATAAAGATATTCTTTAATATTTATTATTATATTAAAATTTAATTAAGTTAATTTTATATAGTTTTTCCTTAAATACTTAAAAACTAAGCTAAAGCTTATTATCTTTATTTTATAAATTAAATTAATATATTTATAATAACATACCTTAAAATTAAAATATATTTTAATATAAATCTTAATTATTAGCATTATTATATAAATTAAATAATAATAATATTTATAAAAATAAAAATATAAAATTTAAATAAAAACCTATATAAAGTTTTATATTTAATGTTTAATAAGCTATAACTTTATTAATAAGCATTAAGCTAAGATTATATTAAAAAAATAACTTAAAAATAATAATAATTAAAGCTTATAAAGGAGTTCCTAAGCTAAAAATAGCTTTTTTTAAGCTAACTTAATTATATAAAGAGTTATTTTTAAACTTAAGATTTATAATAAAAATATAGCTTAATTATATAATTATAATTTATATTATAAATAAAGTTTTAAATTAATATTATATTAATTGTAAATATAATAATTAAAAATTAAAGAGAGGATAATAATTATAGTTTTAAGCATTTTAAGGAAATTAAAGGTTTGGCTAATTAAACCTAAGCTATTTAAGCTTTAGGCAGCCAAAATCTTATAGCATTAATTATAAAGCTTAAAGTAATAATGCTTATAAAGGAGAAAAAGAATAACCTTAAAAGAAAAGATATTATATTTATAAAAAGAAAGGATGTTAATTAATTAAATATTTAGCTAATAAGCAATATTTAGCAAAAAGAAGCTATTTAATATAATATAAATATAAAAATTATAATAATAATTTTAATACTTTTTTAAGTAAATTTAAGGAATATAAAATAAATAATAAAAATAAATTCTATAAATATAAAGATAAATAGAATTAAAATAATAATTATAATAGCAATTAAAATAATAATTATAATAGCAATACTTATATTATAAAGATGGGACTTAATAAAAAGGTTTATTACGTAAATATTAATTTCCTAGCTAATAAAGCATTTATATATTAAATCACAGGAAATAATATCTTTTAAATAAAAATAATTATTGCAGCTAATTAATTTATTTTAAAGAATAAATATAATTAAACTTATTTTTAAGGAATCCTATTAAATATAAAAGCATTATTAATATTTATAGCTAAATATAAGTAATTTCTTATATTGCAATAAAAAAACTAAAAATACTAAATTAATATAATCGCTGCAAGAAAAGCTAAAGTTAAATTTAATAATAGAATAATTATTAATTTACTTAGCATAATGAAAGTTTCTACCTTAATTAATTATATTAACTTTTATATTATTTAAACATAAACCCTATTCCTACTTTACCTAGTAAATATAAATAGGCTTTAAGTATATTATAATAATATTATAAATAAAATGGTTTCCTTTAATAATATAATTATTATATCAATACTTAAAAAATGGAGTTACCTATGGTTTTTCTTAAATTAAATTATTAATGCTATATATTTCCTTTTAAAGATAGAAATAAGAAAACTTTATTATTGCTTTAAATACCTATTAATAAATTAATTATGCTAAATGCTTAAAAAAGCTAGCAATTTAAATATTAATAAATAAGTAATAATAAAGATTAAAAAGATATATTATTATTATTAAATAAGCAAACTTGCGCTTAAGCGTTTTAAGTTTACGTTATATAATAATTATAAATTTAATTATAAAATCTTAGTTAATATAATATATTTAAGCAAATATTTAATTTTTTACGTTATAAATTAAATTATTGCTTTTTAAAAAGCGAAATTCTTAAAATCTATATTTATAAAAACTATATAGTAAATATTATAAATGCTTTAAATTAATATATATCAAGAACTATTAAATGTTATTAAATATAATGTAGGAATAAACTTTATATCCTTAGAATTTTATTTAAAGGCATGAATAATAGGAATTAAATATAAATAAGTTCCTATAAAGGCATATTAATTTATTAAAAAAGTTAAGAAATACTATTAAGCCCTTAAATAAATATATAAAATCTTATATATTAAATTATATAATAATATAAATAATGATGCTATTTTATAAATAACTATAAAAGCTGTTAACAATATTGCTAAATTAAATAAATTAATTCCTATGCTTTTAGTTTTTAACGCTTACTTATAAGTATTGCATAAGTTACCATTATTACTATTAATATAAAAGCAAATAAAAGTTATTTTAAAGGTTATAAAGATATTGCAAAAAACTATAGCTAAATAATAAGTATAAAACATACTAAATATTAAAATTAAACTTATCTTTAATATAAAATATTTGCTATAATGTAAAGTTTATATATAAAGAAAGAAAAAGGGATAAAAGAATTTATATAAGGTTATTACTATAAATAGCTATAATATAACCTTAAATATGCTAAATAAAGCTGCAATATTTAGGTTAATGATTATTTAATCATACTATTAAAATAACAATAAAGAAATGCAACCCTTATAAATAAAAGATCTAGCTATGGAATCTTAAATGCAACCTATTATATAATTACCATTACCAAAGATAAAAGACTGCATTATTATATTATATATCTTAAAGAAAGAAAATAAAAACTATAACTTAATAATTAAACTAAGATAAGATAAAGTTATTATAATATTAAGCTTATTATTTAAAGAGTTTAATAAAATGGAAATTAATAACCTTATTATTAAAGGTATTTTTTAAATTAAGAAATAATTAGCAAAGTAATATAGCAAATATCATTTCTTTAAGTTTTATATAATATAAAAGGTAAAAGGTAAAATTATAAAATTTTATAAGAAATCTTAATTTATTATTTAAGGTTATAATAATAATAAAAAAAAATTAATTTTAATGCAAAGCTTAATTATTTAAAAAACAAGCTAATAAATAATCTTTATACTTACCCCCTTATTAATTTAAAAAAAAAAGCATAGTTTTTATATTTTAAGATATTATTTAAGCCTACCCTTAAGTAAAGTTAAAATTATATAAAATAATTTTTGCAAAGCTATTAAAGGAATTAAAAAATAAATACCCTTTAAATATAATTATTTATATTATCTAACCCTTATATAATATAATAAAATTCAATATTTATTAATTTAATATATATTAAAAATATTATTAATAAAAGCTTAAAATAAATTGCTTTATATATAATTCTTATTTAATAATTATAAAGCCCGCATAATCCTTTAAAATAATAAGTATATAAATAAATAATATATTAATTTTATTTATATTAAAATTCTAGGATAAGGAAGAGATTAAAATAAAAGTTATAAAATTGCAAGGAAAATTAAAATAAGAGCTAATGCTTAAAAACTTAATAAATTATAATAAGGCTTATATAATTATAAATATTATTAACTTAATTATTATTTAATAAAAAGGATAGGCTAATAAACTTACCTTTATTAATGCAATAATTAAAGATGCTTCCTAAAAATACCTTAAATAAAGAGCTTATAAAGCATATATAGCTTTAATTTATTAATTAAAAGCTTTATATAATCTTTTAATAGCTATATAAATATAAAACTTAAAAATAGGAAATTATAAAAGCCTAAATATATAATTATTATAATAAATAAATAATATTATACAAGGAATTAAATATATGCTTTTAAATCTTAAAATAATGAAACTTTTTATATTTATAAATAGATTATTTATAAATAATTAAAACTTAATATCTTAACTTAAATATATTATTATTTTTATAAATAAGATTTATAAGGAAATTAAGGAATTTATAATAATAAGTAATATTCTTTATTAATTATTAATAAAGTATAAATATATTACTTAAAGTATATTAATAAGCAAAATTTATAGCATAATAAATAAAGTAAATATTAAGATTTTTTTAGCTATAATAATTAAAATAATTATAAAATAACTCTTATTATTAAATATATTCTTAATTATTTATATAAACTTATATAGCTTATATAAATACCTTATAAAGCTAAGAATAATAAAGGAAAAGCGCCTTATAATTAATATTATATTATTATAAGAATTATATAAAATAAGAAAGATTGCTAAAGTAAAATAAATAAATAAAAAAGATAACCTTATTAATGTAATAATAAAACTAACTTTAAATATTATATTATAAAAGCTTATTAATAATAATAAACTTTATATATAAGTAAATGAATTAATTAAAAAACCTAAAGTAGCCTCTTTTTATTAAAGAAGGAGCAACTTATTGTTAGCACCCTTTTCTTTTTAACCTTATTACCGCTAACTACAAAACCTTATACCTTTTAAACTTAAATCCTTAATATAAACTTTAACCTTTTATATTTTAATTAAAACCTTTTTAATATTTTATTATATATAAGGATAACTTTATAATTATTAATATTATTAATAATTATTATTTTAAAGTTAACCTTATTATTATTATTTATAATGGGCTTGGGCGGGAAGCCCAAGCCTTATATAGTGTGGCTAGGTAATTTAAGGGAGCTTGGATTATTACGTACCTTTTGGCTTGAATGGTTAATTGGTTGCTGCTTTGCAGCTTATGGGAGAAAATGCTAGCTAGCCTGCAGCCCCTTTAGGGCCAGCCTATAATAAATAATTTAAGCTTTAGGGTTAAAGGTTTAAGTTATGTTTGCCGTAATGTGCGGGCACTCCTTTCGTGAAGAAGAACCTTGGCTTGAAAAGGCGATATCGTGGGTAAGCCTTGGGGGTAATTATACCACTATATAAGCCGGAGGAGGGGGCTATATAATGGGCTTAGGCGGGAAGCTCAAGCCTTATATAGTGTGGCTAGGTAATCTAAGGGAGCTTGGATTATTACATACCTTTTGGCTTAAATGGTTAATTGGTTGCTGCTTTGCAGCTTATGGGAGAAGGCGCTAGCCAGCCTGCAGCCCCTTTGGGGCCAGCCCATAACATTATTGCTTTTTACTATTATTTATTAATAATAATATTAAAACTAACTTTTATTAAATTTATTTACAACTTATTAACTTTTTTTATAATTAAAAAATAAATTAATAATTATTATATAATAATTATAAAGTTTTGCATTATAAATATTTATTTTAATTGCTAAATTCCTATAAAATCTTTTTCCTTTTTATTATAATGAAAAACATTAATAATAACTTATAAGAATTATTTAATACTTTTATTAATATGCCTTATAAGAATAATAATGATAAATAAAATTATTTAGCAAACATTATATTTACTTTCTATGCTAAGAATATACTTAGTATAATTATTGCCATGACTGCCATTAATATAGCTAGCATTAAAGGTAGCTTTATTATAACCCTTAATTAAAATTAAGATTCCCCTATAAATATTATAATTATAACCCTAATTAATAAAATAAGCTTTGCAATTATAACTTTAATTAATAAAATAAGCTTTATAATTATAACCTTAATTAATAAAATAAATATTATAATTATAACCTTAATTAATAAAATAAATATTATAATTATATTTTTATTAAGCAATAAGATAAAAATTAAAATTATTATTAAGGTTGTAAAAAGAGTTAAAATTATCTTAATTAATAAGAATAAAGATAAGCTTATTAATCTTGCTAATTCTTATAATAAAGTTATTATTAATAATGCTTATTTAATAAATATTAATAAAGATATTAATAATAATAACTTTTATTTACTTATTTATTTAATAAATATTAATAAGGATATTAATAATAATAATAATTTTTATTTACTTAATATTAATAATAATTTAATTATTGCTAATAATAAAAATAATTAAAATTAAGCTAATAAAATCTTAATAAAGATTATAAAAACTATTTTTAACTTTACTTTTATATTAAGCATTAAAAAAAATAAGCTACTTATTAAAATTAATTTTTATAAAATTATTAAAATTAATAAACTAAAGGCTATAATTATAGCTTAAGTTAAAATATTTTTCTTAAATAATGCTATTATAATAATTATTATTTAAATTATTAATAACTTTTAATATTAAGATAAGCAAATATTTTTTAATAATATAATTAAAAAGCTATATATTTATATTAAAAGTATTAAAACTTTTAATGTAAAATTATATAGCATTTTTAATAATAAGAATTATTAAAATAATTATTATTTTAAATACTAAATTATTATAATTTTTATAATAAATAACTTAATAAGAATTTTAATCTTAAGTATTTTTTATATATATTAAATTAAAAAGATTTAGTTATTAAAGGATTAAATTATTATATTAATTTAGCTTTAAAACTTTTTATATTAAACTATTAATAAGTATATATAAGGCTTATATATAAAGGGATTTATTAAGAAATATATATTATTGCCTAAGCAATTTAAATAAAAAATAATTATTAAAGAAATTAAAAAAAATAATAAAAAGCAAAAAAAGAATTTAATAAATAATTAAGTTACTTATAATGCTTAATTTTAAGAAAATAAGAAATGGTTAAAGGAAAATAATTTAAAGCAATATTAAGTATATTTTAATAATAAGAATAAGGATGGAAATAATAATATTTATATTATAAAGATATATAATAAAAATAAATATAAGTTAAAGGGTTTAATATTAACTTTATAAGCATTAACTTTTTTTATAAAAAAAAAATTTAAGATTAAGGTCTTTGCATAGAAATTAATAATCTTTATAAAGAAGTAATCTTAAAAGTTAAGTATTAAAAATAATAAATATAATATTTAAGGAATAATATAATAATAAAAATTATAAGTTTAAAGAGTAATATAATAATAAGGGTTGCTAGGATTTATTTTAAAACTTATAAGTTATAATTTTAAGCCTTTTTAATAATGCTTTCTTATAATAAAGATTATATATATTTAATATATAATAAATTATAATTTTAAGGTTAATTATAATAAGAATTATATATATTTATTAAAAGAAAAGAAAAACTATAAGTATTAATAAGTATAACCCTTATTACTTAAAAGGCTATTTTAGTTATCCCTTCTAGGGCATATAGCCTCTTAAAACTTAAATAAAACAATATTAATACATAATTGCTTCCCATATGATTATCGTACGTACGAGAGACCTACCAACAATCTGGGCCAGTAAGTCATCCAATCCTCTCCCGCCAACCCGCCCAGCTGCGGCTCATCCGCATGTTCACAGCCCGAAACCTCAAGTTCTACCCGCTATCCCTGAAGCTGGCGATGGGCGACGGGGGTCCTCTCCGGTTCCTTGCCGACGCCGTGCCGCCCTTCCTCGTCGAGAACTGCCAGGGGACCAAGAAGCCATTCGACGAGCTCTCGACCTGGGAGCTGCTGAATCTGAAGCCTTCTACAATCCTCGACCTCCCGACCCGCCTTGCAACCGAGTGCAGCATCTCGCCGGCATTCCTGCAGACCGCGCTCAACGACTACCTCATCCAGACCCTCGGCAAGGATGAGCTGGAGAAGAGGTTCGGGATCAAGAATTCGCCCAAGTTCCTCATCAGCACCACGAAGCACTACTCGTGGCCGAAAGGCGGAGGTAAGTGCTCCCTGCTACCTGGCGTCTCGCTGAGAAGCCTTCCCCATGCCCTGACGCTGACGCCTCATGACCAGCCATCGCCGGCCTCGGATCCGACTGCTTTATCGACATCCATGTCGACGACGACGCGCGCATGGACATGACCGACCTGAGGCGACGCCTCGACGCCTGCATCGCGCCCAAAGACGAGAACGAGCGCACGGGCGTGTTCGGCGGCGTGGCCATTATCGGGTCGACGGAGCACGGCGCCTGCGACCCCATCGCCGAGCTTGTCCGCGTGCGCAGCGAGTACGAGAAAAAGGGCCTCTCGTTTGCCATCCACGCCGATGCTGCCTGGGGCGGCTATTTTGCGTCCATGTTACCTACTAAGAAGGCCATACGGCCCATACCCATGCTGCCTTTCGTCCCGACCCTGGGCCCTGCAGCCGTATACTGTGTTGCAGCTCGAGGCCCTGGCCAGCGCCGACAGCATCACCATCGACCCGCACAAGTAAGCCCCTGAACACGTGGAGAGACACTCAATGGCCAAAGGTTGCTCGACCATGATGCATGTGTGCTCACACCTACCACTAGATCAGGCTACATCAACTACCCTGCCGGCGGCCTCTGCTACCGCGACGCGCGCATGAGATACCTCATCACCTGGACAAGCCCTATCGTGTACCACGCCGGCGATGACACTGGGAGCATGGGTGTCTATGGCGTCGAGGGCAGCAAACCCGGGGCATCGGCGGTGGCCACCTGGCTGACGCACAAGACGCTGGGGCTCCACGAACGCGGATACGGAAGACTGCTCGGAGAGCCGTCTTTACATGCACCAAGGCAAGTCAACTCGCTGAATACAGCTCAGACAAACCCCTGAGCGCGGGGTGACCACGGCTGACTCCGAGTGCGACGCATCGTAGCTTTATTGCTACTGGGCCACCCTGACGGCGCCCGACTCCGACCTCATTGTCGTTCCGCTTATCCGCCTCCCTACCGAGAAGGAAGGGAAGGACCAGAAGCAGATCGAGGAGCAGAAGGACTATATCAGGAAACAAATTCTGGGAGTGAGCAACGAAGAACTCACCAAAGACGAGAAGGCCCTCGAACTCCTGAAGAAGCTGGGCGGTGATCTCATGATCAACGCCTTTGCCTGTAACTTCAGGATCGACGGCAAGCCCAACACCAACGTGGTAGGTGCAGGATGACGGACCGGGAAGAATATGGGGGGTGCATCACCTTGCTGACGAGCCGGCCCCAGGTCGAGGCAAACTACCTCAACGAGCGCATCTTCAAGCGCCTCTCGGTCACGTCCGTGGACGACGTCGTCACGGAGAGGCCGCTGTTCCTGACGCAGTCCAGTTTCGGCGAGAAGGAGTATGGTTCGTGCCTGCAGCACTACAAGCGCCGCCTCCAGCTGGACGATGGGAGCGGGCGCGGTGCACACGGCGACCTCAAATTCCTCGTAAATGTGACCATGAGCCCGTGGCCCACCGACTCTCCCTTCCTCAGCGCGCTCGCCGAGTCGTTCAGGGAGATAGCCGAGGAAGAAGTCAAGGTACAGTGCGGTCGAGTTTTGTTCTTTTTCCCTCCATTTCCCGCTTCCGTGACTATAGGCTAAGAGCTAACACTTTGGATGCGCACGACAGCGCTGCATCCAACGCAACACGGTCACCCCGTCCATCCACGGCTTCGTGATGCAGGGCATCGAAAAGCTCTTCCTCGTCCACCTCCCCATGTTCAACATGGCCAACCACCGCTGGCAGCTCGTCCTCACGGCCGACCTCCCCGCCACCGCCAGGGACCAGTACCACAAGCTGCGGAGCGAGAACCCGACCAAGGTCTACACTGTGGCCAACACCGCGCCCAGGGTCCTCGGGAGCATCCTCGAGCCGGGCGCCTCGGTGCACGTGCGCATGGACGAGGGCATCCCCCGCGCCCGGCGCGCCGCCGCTGGCCGAGTTCGAGCTCACCAACGTCCGCGCCGTCGTGCGCGAGTCCATGGCGCTCGACAATCTTGACGCGGCGTACCCGGACAGGATGCCGTTCTACCTCTACGGCAGCGGAGGGGAGCGCCACGTCGAGCACGTGCTCAAGACGTCGCCCAACGCCCAGCTCAACTCCGACTGCGTGTCCGTCGCCGTGCGGCCTGAGCTCACCGAGGAGCAGCTCTCCAAGGGCGTGGTGGCCGTGTTCGAGACGGTGTTTGAGAAGGCCATGCAGCCCCTGTGAGTTGTCCTGCACGCCCCCCCCCCCCACCGGCGCGCCGCAAGGGCTCTATTTTTTCTGACGACGGACATTGATGGCGCCCCACAGACCGGGCCAGCTGGACACGGCACAGATCCCCGGCCTATCTTTCGAGCCTGGCGCCAAGCACAGGGTATCGGTGTATAACAGCCTCGCCGACTCGAGAAGTGGGACGGCCCAGCCCATCGCGAGGGGAGAGATTACCTTGGGCAAGACGGTGTACGCAGACTGGGAGGAGGTTAACAAGGACCCCACAATTGAGGACCACTAGTAGTAAGTAATGGCCTCCGTACCCTCCATCTCTTGCTCTTCGAATATCCGAATTCTTTACAACTAATAGTTGAGGTCATGCTCGCGCATTATTTGTCCTGCGGAGTGTCATACAATAGTGGGAGCAGAATTTCCCTCATCCTTGATAGCTATCGATAGTCGTTCATTTTAGTAGAGGTTGGCAGTATACCAAGAAAGGCTACATATGCGCCCTCTGTCCTCCATGACAAACTTGATGAGAGTCGTTCCAAGCTCAATCTCGGCAGCTTTCAACAAGCATATTCATCCAGTCCATTTCTCGCCGCCCAAACAACGTCTTTCCACTGACGAGTAATGAATCGCGCTATCTACAGGTCGTGTAACGGTACGAGTCCCATCATACTCCCACATAAGACCAGGAGGTGGTGCTGGCAAGGTTAAACCTCCATCGATAGGCAGAGCGGTCCCGTTGATGTAGCTGGCAGATGGACTACACAAGAAGACAATATAGTCTGCGACTTCGTCAGGGGCAGCTGCTCGCCTCAAAGGTGCGACGTTCTCGATGATTGAGCCAAGAGCTGGATTGGTTTTCATGGCATTGTGCACCATGGGCGTGTCCACCCAAGACGATCGATCCTTTTCCCAAGCTGCGCTCGCCGTAGCGGCCTTTGTACTTGCGAGGCTGCTGTTGGGCCATCGCCCTCATGGTTGCGCTGACAAATAGTAGCGCACCCTTAATGGTAATGTCGTTCATCTTGGTCACCACATTTACATCCACACTAGGTGTAAAGGACCCATAGTTCTCTAGATCAATCTGCAGGAAATTGTGGTCATTAATTGTTGTACGCCTCGGTTTGTGACATGTGCACGGTGCCGAAGTATGGAGATGGTACTCTCATATGCAGAGTTGTGAAAATACAAATAATACATAATACATAATACAAATACAAATACAAATACACAGATTTTTAATAATACAAATACAAATACAAATACATAAATTTTTAATAATATAAATACAAATACAAATACACTAATACAAATACAAATACAAATACATATATTATAATACAAATAATACAAATACATAATACATAATACACTTAAAAATAATATTTTAATATAAAAGTTAATTTATAATTATATAATTATATAAATAAATATAAAATTATAATAAAATTATAATAAAATTAATAATATAATTATATAAACTTAAATAAACTTTTTAATATAATACTTAAAGGAATAAAAAAATAAAAGAATAAAAAATAAAAGAATAAAAGAATAAAAGAATAAAAGAATAAAAGAATAAAAGAATAAAAGAATAAAAGAATAAAAGAATAAAAGAATAAAAGAATAAAAAAGAATAAAAGAATAAAAGAATAAAAGAATAAAAGAATAAAAGAATAAAAGAATAAAAGAATAAAAGAATAAAAGAATAAAAGAATAAAAGAATAAAAGAATAAAAGAATAAAAGAATAAAAGAATAAAAGAATAAAAGAATAAAAGAATAAAAGAATAAAAGAATAAAAGAATAAAAGAATAAAAGAATAAAAGAATAAAAGAATAAAAGAATAAAAGAATAAAAGAATAAAAGAATAAAAGAATAAAAGAATAAAAGAATAAAAGAATAAAAGAATAAAAGAATAAAAGAATAAAAGAATAAAACAATAAAAAAATAAAAGAATAAAAGAATAAAAGAATAAAAAAATATAAAAATAAAGAAATAACTTAATAACTTAATAATTTAAAAACTTAATAATATAATTAATAACCTTAATATTTTAATAAATAACTTAATAAATAATTTAATAAATAACTTAATAAATAATTTAATAAATAACTTAATAAATAAATAAATAAATAAATAAATAAAAATAATAAAAGAATACAAAATAATCTACAACAACGCTCCTACTAAGAATCAAACCTAAGTCTCCCTTTTTTAAAGTATTCTAACTACTAAACTATAAAACCTTTATATATCTATTATCTTATACTTTAAAAATCTTTTTTTAAAAAAGATATATAAAGAAAAGAATATAATAATATTTTTTTCTTAATATTTATATTTAAAGTATATATTAAATATTATAAAAATATATAAATTTTAAGAATTATAAAAATATATATATCTTTTATATTATTAAACTTTATATAATTTAAACTTAAATATATATAATATTATTATATTATTATAATTTATATAAAGTTTAAATATATAAACTATATATAAAGAGTTAATTATAATAATTTTATTAAGTAAAATTTTAGCTTTTTAAAAATACATATATCTTTAATATATATAATTTTATTAAAAAAATAAAAGTTAATAAATAATAATAATTCTTTTAAATTTTATATTAATTATTTTTTATTATTTTAATTCTTTTAATATTTTTAATAACTTAAAAACTAAATAACTTAATAACTTAATATATAATAACTTAATAGCTTAATAACTTAATTAAAAAATAAAAAAAAACAAGGAAGGCATAAAGCAACAATACTACTAGGAATTAAACCCAGGTCCTCTTATTTAATAAAAAATTCTAACCATTAAACTACAGCACCTTAATGCTTATCCTAACCTTGCCTTTTAAAAATTTCTTGCTAAGAAAGGTATATATATTAAATAATATATATAATATATATACTTATTTTAATTCTTTTAAAAAAGTTTATATTTTTATTTTATATATATATATATAATTATAAATTATAATTATATATATATATATATATATAAAATTATATTTATATATAAAGTAAAAAGAAATATTATTATAATATACTTTTTATTATATATATTTAAGTTTTATTAAATTTAAATAAATAATAAGAATTATTATAAAGTTAATAACTTAATCCTTAATTAAATTAACTTTTTTATATATTTAAAATAATTAAATAATTAAATAACTAAATAATTAAATAATTAAATAACTAAATAACTAAATAACTAAATAACTAAATAACTAAATAACTAAATAACTAAATAACTAAATAACTAAATAACTAAATAACTAAATAACTAAATAACTAAATAACTAAATAACTAAATAACTAAATAACTAAATAACTAAATAACTAAATAACTAAATAACTAAATAACTAAATAACTAAATAACTAAATAACTAAATAACTAAATAACTAAATAGCTAATCTCGAGGTATATATAAATAATAATTATCATTTTCTTTAATAATAAATGGGTTTTAAAAATCCTTCTTAATTAATAAAAAACTTAATACTTCATTCCTTTCTTCTATACTTTCATATATATATAAAATTCCATAATAAAGTATATATATTTCTTGCTTAAAAATAATAATATAACTATTATTATTATTTAATATAATAACCCAAAATCAACCATTTAGTGTAGTATTTGCAAGGGTGATTTTATTTAATAATGTTATAATAATAATAATTAAATCCATAATTAAATAAGATAATAAATATATAATATAAGGAGTTTAATATTATATAAAGTTAAATAAAGATATTAATAATAATTATAATATAATAAAAGAATAAAGAAATAAAAGAAAATTTAAAAAGAACTTTTATAAGTTATAAGCTATAACTTATAACTTTTATATATTAAAAAATATTATTAAAGTTTAAAATTATAAAATAAACTTTTATTATATATATATATATATATTATATTTAATAATAAAATGTAATACTTTTTATTAATAATTAAAAGTATAATAAGAAGTATATATATATATATATATATAATAAGAAGTATATATATATATTTAATAATAAGAGGTATATATATAAAATAATAAAAAGTAATACTTTTTATCATTAATTAAAAGTATATATATTTAATAATAAGAGGTATATATATAAAATAATAAAAAGTAATACTTTTTATTATTAATTAAAGTATATATATTTAATAATAAGAGGTATATATATATATATACTTAATAATAAAAAGTATATATATATATTTAATAATAAAAAATATATAAATATAATTACTTTTAATTATAAAAAAGTATATTTAAAAAGTATATATATATATATATATTATTTTTAATACTTAAAATATACTTAATATATATATATATATATTATTTATATATATTTATTAATAATATAATTATAAAATAAATAATTATTATATTATATTTTAAAATATTATATAAAGTAAAAATTTAATAAAATTTTAATATAATTAATTAATAATAATATTTTATTAAATAAAGATATATTTATCTACCGAGAATTTTTAAAATAAAGTTTAAAACTTTATTTTATTATATTATAAGATATATATTTATTATATTAAAAGTATATTTATTATTTTAATTTAAGATTTAAGTTAAAATTAATTATTAACTTAAATGTTAAAAAATTAAATATTAAGTATTATATAAATAAACTTAAATTTATTATATATTAAATATATTATTAAGAATTATATTTTTATATACTTATATTTAAAGTTAATATTAACTTTTTATTTTAAAAATATATAAAAAATAAATTAAATAAAATTTTATTATAAGCAATTAATAAGAATAAATTTTTAATATAATTATATTTATTTACCGGGCTTTTTAAAAATAAGGTTTAATATTATATTCTATTATAACTTATTTATATATAACTTTTAATATATAATATATATATTATTATAATGCTTATTTTATACTTTATTTTATAATATTAAAAATTATTATCTTTTTAAATCTCTTTATATATAAAAATAACTAATATACTCTTACCGCTACTTTTTCCTCTTCCTTCCTTTTCTCCAATACTACCTATTAATAATCTAGCTTAGAAATCAATTTAATAGTGATTTTATTATTTAATTCTTTAACATTAAATTGTTAATATATAGTGGAGAAGAATGAAAAGATAAATATATAGCTTTTTTCCCTCCTTTTTAATAAAATTTAATTTCTCTTTAGCCACCCTTCCTTCCTATATTTTAGGAAATATTTTTCCCTTATTATAAACTTTTATACTTAATACTTTAAGATATTAAACCTTATAAATAAGGCCTTTAATGCCTTATTTAAGGCATTATTTACCCTTAACTAAGCAACTATCCCTGCTATTAAAGCTTATTAATGCTTTATTATCGCTATTAGCCAAAAGGTATGCTTACTTAATAAAGCCTTTTTTTCTTTATTTAATAATATATTTTTTTAAAACAAATATTTAAGGGGTTTAATACTAATATTTAAAGTAAGTAAATTATTCTTTTTCTTTTTTTTTTCTTTTTAAAATAATTTTTAATTGCTTTAGGACTTCTCTATAAATTTTATTAATAAATTCTCAACTTAAAGCACCATTAACCTACTTAAATTACTCTTGAAGGAAGAAAGTAATAATAATTATTTTCCTTTACCTTTACCACTTATAAGTATTTCTTTTTATTTTTTCCTATTTTTTAAAATTTCTAAATTAAGTTTTAGCATAAAAAGAAAAAAGTAAAGATAAATAAAATGGGAAAAAGATTTAAGAAAGGTGGTTTTTTTATTATTAAATATGGGAAAGTATTTAATTTAAAGCACGGGAAAGCTATTTATAAAAAGAAATAATGCAGGGTTTGCAGGGATCTATAAGGTATTTCAAGGTTAAGGTTTCTTTATTATTTAGCTTTAAAATGGATATTAAGGCTAAGGGTTAAATATTATTTAATTTATAGCTTTAAAATAAATACTTAAGCTTTTTTAATAATAAGAGTTTCTTATTAATAAAATTAATTATATATATATACTTTTTATTATTAAATATATATACTTTTAATTAATAATAAAAAGTATATATATTAAATAATAAAAAGTATATATATATATATATATTTATTATTAAAGATATATATATATTTATTATTATTAAAAATATATATATATATATATATAATATATATTTTATTATTAAAATTAAAAATAATTATATTTAAAGTTATATAATAATAATATATATATATATATATATTTCTTATTAATAAAAGTATATATATATATATATATATATATTAAATTATTAATTTAAATTTTAAAAAAAAAATAAAAAAGCACTAACACCCTAGCCTACCAAAATCCCACCAGGAATTAAACCTAGGCCCTTAATATTAAATAGCTAACGTTTTAACCATTAAACTATAAAACCTTAAAGTACTAAGGTAATACCGCTTAAAACTTATTAATTTTAAGGGGTATATATACCTAAAGTATTAATAAAAAATAATATATTATATTATTAATAATATAATAATATAATAAATATAAATATTTTAAAAGAATACTTATATTCTATATTTTATATTATTTATATTTTATATTTTATATTATTTTTATATTATAATATAAAAACAATATAAAATATAAAATATAAATATAAAACTTATATTAAATATATTAAAAATAATATTAAATAATATATTTAATATAATTTTATAATAATAAATCTTATAAATTTAATAATATTTAAATATTAATATATATAAAGTTATAAATATAAATTAATAAACTAATAAATTAATAAATTATATAAATATTAAATAAATAAAAAAAAACGATTAAAAACTATATTTAAAAGTATTTAAAATAAAAGTTATAATAGTTATAAACCTTATTTCTATTCTTTAATAATAAAATAATAAACTTTATAATTATTATTTAATAATAAATAATAAAATAATAAACCTTATTTTTATTCTTTAATAAAAATAATAAAATAGTAAACTTTATTTCTATTCTTTAATAAGAAATAATAAAATAATAAACCTTCTTTCTATTCTTTAATAAGAAATAATAAAATAATAAACCCTATTTTTATTCTTTAATAAAAAAGTTATAAACTTTATTTTTATTCTTTAATAAAAAATAATAAAATAATAAACCTTATTTTTATTCTTTAATAAAAAATAAAGTATTAATAAAAAATAATATATTATATTATTAATAATATAATAATATAATAATATATATATATATTATATTTTAAAAAGGTACTTATATTTTATATTTTTATATTATTTATTATATTACTTATATCTTATATTATTATATTATTAATTTATTATATTATTATATGCTACTTATATTATTACAACTCTATATATACCTTATTTAAAAGATTAAAATATTATTAATATTAAAAATAAGAATTACCTTAGCTTTTTTATATATATCTTTATAAACCTTATAAAAATCATTATCTTATAAAGGTTATATATAATTACTTTTAATCTTTAATAATAATATATATATATTTTTAATAATATAAAACTTTAAATATAATTATTTTTATATATATATACTTTTAATAATAATAAATATATGTATACGTTTAATAATAATAAGTATATATATACTTTTAATAATATAAAATATATATATAATTACTTTTAATTATTAAGAATAAAAAGTATATATATATATATATACTTTTTTATTAAAAATAATATTTTTATATTATATATAATAATAATATATTAATATCCTTTTTATATATATTTTTATATATATATATATATATATATATATATATATATATAATTATATTAAAATATACTTTATATTAAAAATGTACTTTTATATTAAAAATATACTTTATATTAAAAACATACTTTTTATTAAAAATATACTTCTTATTAAAAGTATACTTCTTATTAAAAGTAATATATTTTAATATATAAATAATAATAATAATAATATTTTCTCTTATTATAACTTATAATTAAAAATATAAATATCTTTTAATTTCTTCTTTTATTTTTTTTAACTTAACTCTTTTTAAAAATTATTAAATTATTAATATACTTTATCTTATCATAATTTATTCTTAAAAACCTATTTTTTACTATTTATATTAAATTATAAATTCTTCCTTTAATACTAATATTAGCTCCTTAGCTAATATTATTTACCCTTAATCTTAAATATTTAACCCTAGTAATGATAATTATAATAATAGTAATAATATTAATAATTCTAATAAAGAATTATTTAAAAAACCAAAAAAAAAAGGAAAAGCAAATATTAACTTAAAAGGAAATAAAGAAAACTATAAATTTAAAGTCCCTAATGCATATGTTTTAAACGCTAAGTTATTTACTTATAAGTTATTACTTATTAATATTAATACTTATAAGATAGTTAAGTTTACTTATATTATGCTAAATTATAATTATAAATGCAAATATAAGGCTATTAAACCTTAAATAGCTATAGCAATATAACATCATTATTTACATTATTACCTTAAATTTACTTATAAAAAAGAATTAAAAAAAATATTAATAAAAAGTAAGTATTTTATAAATATATTTACTTAATATTAACATTAATATTTAGCTTTAAATATTTATAGAATTAAATTTTAAAGTTTTATTATTTACTTCTTTTAGCTTTAATATTTTTAATTAAATTTTTTCTTTTCTTTTATAAATTTATATTAATTTTAATACTAATAATATATATAGGAATTGATTATAATAATAATAATTTAAGTAATTTAAAATTACAAACTACTAATTAAATATTTATTATAGAATCTTTTAATAGTTTTAATAATATTTATAATAAAAAAAAAGGGGCAACTTATATTAATTTAAATTTTAATATTAATGAAAAGACTTATTTAATTAAAGTTATTTATTTTTTATTAATTAATAACCTATTATTTAATATTTTATCTTTAAAATTATTTAAGAATTTAATACAATATTTAAATAAGTAAGTAATTAATAATATTTATATAATATATAAATTTAATATTTAAGCTAATTTATTATAAAAATATACTTAAGTTATATTATTAAAAACTACGTTATTTCTTATTTCTTTAATATAATAAAGCTATTGCTAAAATTAAAGAAATAATACAAAAACAAAAAAATAATAATAAAGGAATATCTATTTAACTAAATATATGGACTTTAATTAATTCTATAGGTTATTTAAGGGTTATTATAAATTTTATTAATAAGAAATTTAAATTAAATTATCATTTAATAGGTATTATTTATTTATTTATATATTTATTTATTTATTGATTAATTAATTAATATACTAATTATTAAATTTATTATTTTAAGGTTTGAGTTTCTTAATAATGCTTATTATAGCTTATATATATATAAAGTTTTATATAATGAAATTTTAATTCCCTTGGAAATACCGTTATTAATAATTAATAAATATGTAATATATAGAATTTATTTAATGTTTAATAAAATAAATTAAAATGCTAATTTATCTTAGTATTACGCGAAATAATGGAAGAAATAATAATATGTTTTTAAATAAGTTTAATGCTGCTTATTATTTAAAAGAAAGTAATAATTTTAAGTATAATATATAATGTATTGCTTATATAATAAACTTAGCTATAAAGGCTATTATTACTTCTTTTAATACTTCTATTATTAATAATAAAGAATTAAAAGAAATAGAATTATTATTTATATTTTTAAAATTAGCAAAAGACTTTTTAAAATTAAGTAAAAGGGAAAAAGATTAAATATTTAAAAAACTATTAAGTATTTATTAAACCTTTATATTTAAGTTTTATTTTATATTAATATTAATAATCTCTCTTAATAGGATTACTTAATAAAGTTTAATGAATAGCTATTATTATTAAACGTAATAAAGAAATTAAAAAAAGATAATTAAAAATATTATAAGAATTTAAAATAAGAAAAGAATTACCATAAGATAAAAATAAAACATTAATTCCACTAAGTATTTATAAGTTATAATATAATCTTTTATTTTAATTAATTACTAATATAACTTATTAAATATTAATATTAAATAAAATTTAACTTTAAAAATAATATAAATAGCATTAAATTTTAAGGGACCTATAAATTAATTAATTCAAGATTTTAATCATAATTTATTAAAAGAAATCGAAATTAAATCATTTAATTAAACATAATTAATTAATTTAAAAGATATTTTATATGCTTTTTATACATTAACTATTTTACTTTAAGGCCGGCAATACCCTATATTAAATATTATTTTTTCTTTATTAAAGAAAATATATATAACTTTATTAGATTTTAAACAACTTTATAAAGATGAATTAAATTAAGGAACAAAAGATAGAGTAAGTTTAATAATTTTATTATTTAACCTTATATTAATTATTAAAGTTTATTTATACCCTTTTACTAAAAGCTTTATTATAGCTATTTCTGCAGGGTTAAATAAATTAAATTAATATTATCCAAATAACTTTAAATTTAAAGATAATGATATTACTATATATAAACCTTATTTATTTGCTATGTTATTCGACCCTTAATTTAATATATAAATACTTTAAAAAGAGCTTAATTTATCTAATTACTAAATAAATATATTAGAATCTTTAATAATTAAAGAAGCTACTATATAAGTTTTTACTTTTTAAATAAATAAAGAAATTAATAAATTAATTTAACTAACTATAATTAGGTTATATATAAAAATATATAAAAATAAGGGAAAAGAACCCAAAGTATTAACTACATTAAATAAAAATAATATATATATTAATTTAAATACTATATTAATAAAAACTTTACCAAAGAAACCTATTAAAAATAAATAAAAAATAAATATACTTAAATCTTTATTCCCTAATACTTTTAATAAAGATACGGGAAGAAATATTAAAAACGAAATTAAAGATTATTTTAAAAAAGGATTAAAACCTTATACTATAAGTTAAAATTAAAGATTAATTATTAATTATTAATATATTAATTTTTATATTAAATAAATATATTTAAATAGTGAAAATTAAATAAATTAACTTATCCAATCTTATTTATATTAATAGTTAAATATTTAATTATACCTGCTACATTAGCTGCTATTAAAGTAAATTTTAATAAAGGAATAAATATAATAACTAAACGATGTATGAATTTATAAAATATTACTTAAAAATAATTATTAATATTAAAATATACTACTATTAATTTAAAAAAAGAAGATAAACCACTTAAAATTAAAGAATATATAGATTTAAAAGCTATATTAAATAATAATTTATTAAAAATTAATATAAGTAAAGGAGAAAGTTTAAAAAAATGAAAATAATAATATTAATTTAAGTATATAAATTTATTAATTATATATTAAATTTAAATCCTATAAAGAAAAGTTTTTTTAACTAATATTAAGCTTAAATATATAATTTAACCTTTTAAAATAATAACTTATTTTACCTTTATATATATAATTTTCTTTTATATTTTTATAAAAATATATAAAAAGGGTTTTTAGCTAAAATAATTAAGAATGTTTCTTTTAATAAATACCTATATAAGGGCACTTATATAAAATATATATATATATATAATATTATAATTTATATATTTATATAAATTTATATCTTTATTTATTATATATATTTTAAATAATATATTTTAAAATATTAATAAATAAACCTTTTAAAACCTTTATTATAACTTTATAAAGCTTTATTTCTTTTAAAAAAAACTATTAATTATTAAATGATTTATTATTAAATTTATTTAATTCTTAAAATTATAATAATTATAAATTTATAATCCTTAAATTTAGCTTTATTTTATTAAACTTATTATAAGCTTAATTAAACTTTAAATTATTAAAATATTGTATTATGTATTAATACTGTATTAATACTAATACAAAGGTCTATAATATAAATATAAATACAAATACAAATACATAATACAAAGCCTCTAATAATATAAATACAAATACAAATACAGTATTACAAATATAAATACAAATACAGTATTATGTATTAATATAAATACATAATATAAATACACTAATACTGTCACAACTCTGCTCATATGCAATCAATCGTTCCATTTTGGCGCTAGTAACCTATACATAACACCTCACACCCTTTTTCCATCATACTTTCATTTTCAATTATTTTTACCTTTTATATAATAAATACTTTTTTAATTTAATTATACCCTATATTAAAAGATAGCTATTTCTTTTCTGCTTCTTTTGATATTTATTTAAGGAGGGTGGAGGGAGTATTAAATATATAAGGTATGTTAATGTTTAATTTTAAAGAAGAATTTAAAATTTTAAGGTAGTGGTGATTTTAAATAGATTTAGTTAAATTCACACTATTAAAACTAGTGATTTTAATATAACTCTTTAATTTCACTCTTTCTCCAATTCCTCTTTAACTTAAGTCATTTTTAACTTTAATTTAAATGCAAATTTCTTCTCTTCCATATACCCAATTTAATAGCAGAGAAAAGAAATAAAATTAAAAAAGAAGCAGCTTTCTTTTTATATATATTTTAAATAAATTAAAGTAAAATTGAAAAGTGCGTATAAAAAAGGTGTAAGGTGTTAAATATAGGTCGTTAGCGCCAAAATGGAACGATTGATTGCATATGAGAGTACCTACCCCTGCACTGTTGACTGCGAAATCGATGCGTCCGAACTCTTGGACTGTCATGGCAATAAGGCTCTTCACACTCTCCTCGTCGGCGATGTCCAACCTGACTGCAATGGCTCGAAACCCTGCATGTTTGGCATATCTCTTGCTCTCTTCAACAACTTGCTTTGCGCCTTCTTCATTGAGGTCCGCGCAGACGACAGCTTCGACACCGGCCTCCGCAAAGGAGAGAGCAGTCTCTTTGCCTATGCCGGATGCGGCCTTTTCAGAGACTGTCAGTAAAATTTCGCAGTGGAATCGAGAAACAATTGGCTCACCCCGGCCACCAAACGCGATGCCACCATCGAGGGACAACTTGGACGCCATCTGCGAAATACTAGTCGAATTGTTTCTCGATGATTTGAATGAATTGTATCCTCCTAAGAAGTGGCAATCAGCAACGGAAGAGATTAAACTTTTGTGAATATGTGCTCGGACAGGACTTTATAAGATCAAATGTTGACCTCCTCGATATAACAGAACGGCCCAGGCCTTACCTGATCGGGCCATTTGCAGGGTATCTTTGCAAGCCACGAGGTGGGCCAATGCTAGACACTTTCTGAGCCTTGGATATACCTTAGTACTGACTGCGCCGCAGGTGCGCCGAACCGACCTGTAGGTCGGGAAAGCCACGATGCAACACAGCCCAGCACAGGCTTTTCTCATCGCAAGAAGATGTTCTGCGATGTAGCTTCCAAGCAAGCAAAAACGTGCGGAAGCTTGCTGCTGACGAGCAGCGCCATCCAAAAACTTTAAATACGTTCAGTGAGAAGAGAAGCCCGGTGACATGTAGAAAGCATTCAGGCAGTCTGATGAGCGCTGTGATGAGCCCATTAGATCCACAATTCAGCCAACACGAATGTAATGTGACATCACTTGCATGTGGTCCAGAGTGTTGGGACTAATGACTGGCCCGCTATCAGATCCGTCATCCTTCATAGTCTCTGCAAACCTTCGACTGCAGTTGCATTCCACGATTTCATGCAGGCCCGCAGATCGTCCCTAGCAAGCAGCACTGGACATCAAGCGCCCTGGCGGGAAAATCTTCAACTAAGTCAGGGTCTGCACATTCGGCCCACCCCCTGATTCGGCCCATTCTACACCCGCGTGCGCGTTAGGTCCACCCTATTATATATTACGTATTTTCTTTATAATGAAATTTTCTCTTCTCTTTAAACTTTTAATATATTATTATTTATTAATTATAAAGCTATATGTAAAAGAAGATATAAGTATAGCATTTAAGGCGATTTAAATTAACGTTAATATTTAAAAGGCCTTTTTATATTAAGGTATCTTAAAAATTATACTTTATAATTATTATTATAATGCTTAAAGCTATTTAAATATTTTAAAATTTTAAATAAGGTTATTATAAACTTAAGAAATATACTTATTTAATTAAGTAATTAATTAAGTAATATTAAGGCTATTAATAATATATTTTAAAATAAGGTTTTTTATAATTTAAGTAGTTGCTTTTTAAAAATATTAATTATCCTTTAATAAGCATTAGCTAAGGGCTTTTTTTATTAAAAATTTTAAGATTTAAAGTATATAAAGCTATTAAATAATTTTAAGCTAAGTAAATAAAGTAAAAATAAGTATAATTAAGAAATAGTTTAACCTTTTTTAGTTATTAGTAATTATAAATATTTACTTAAAAAATTATTATAATATTAATAAGAAAGATATAACTAAGGGTAAGGGGAAAAATAATATTATTTTAAAATTTAAAGAAAGGAAGGTTATTATTTAAAAAAGCCATGAGTTATATATATAAATCTTTTTTCTTAAGTATATTTTTATAATAAGTAAATTATACCCTTTCTTTATTATTTTTAAGAGAAAGTTAATTTAATAATAATAATTTAAGACCCTTAAGGGTTATAAAAATTAAGAGTTTATAATAATATTAAATAGTTAAATAAATAACGCTATAATACTTAAATAGCTATAAAAGATCTTAATTTCTTAAATAAAGCTAAATGCCTTTAAAAAATAGCATTTATTAATAATAAATAAGCATAAAAGCTATTATACTTTAAAGTTTATATAAAAATACTTTTTATATAAGATTTATTACTTTTATTTATTGCTATATACCTTATATATATTATAACCTTTTAATTTAAGAGTATTTTTTAACCTTAAAGTAATATATAAAAAGAAAGTAAGTTTTTTAAACCTTTATATTAATAATATTTATATTAAAAAGTAATTATTTCTTTATTATTATTAAAAGATAAGATTTATAATATTTAAAGAAAAGCATATATTTTTTAAGTAATAAGGAATTAATTTATAGCTAATTAATATAGCTAAATTATTAATAAATATAATTATATTTAAAAACTTTAATAAAATGATATTTATATTTATTTTTAATAATATTATAAAAATTAAAAGATTTAAATTAATTACTTTAATATTTATTAAGTTATAAAAAAGAGTTTTTTTAATTTCTAAAGTATTTTAAGAAATATAGGTTACTTTTATTAATTATAACTTATAAAAATACTTAATTATAACTTAATAATTACTCTTTAAAAAGATTTAAAAAGAATATAATAAGAAAGATTAGTAATTAATAATGCTTTTATAAGAAAATTAAGTTTTTAAAAATAAATTAATAATTATAGCATTTTAAAAGAAAAGAAAGATTAAAATAAGCCTAAACTTTATATTTATTAAAATTAAATATATATATAAGGTATAAATTAATGCTAATATAATTAAAAATAACTTAGCAGAAATAAATGCTTTTAAAAATATTATAAATATAGAGGAATGCATTATTATGGGTAGTAATAATAATTTAAAGTAACTTTAATTAAAGGGGTGGTGTGGCGAGGAGGATCGTTTTGGTAGGCTGAATTAGGGGGTGGGCCGAATGTGCAGACCCTGACTTACTATCCGTCCTTGACACTCTCTACAGCCGCCAGGAAGGAGTATGGCACAAGTACGACTGGTCGGTCGACGCCTTCGCGACAAAAGGCGCCACAATATGGACGGCCGATCACACCCTCCACAAGAATCGTCGTCTGCCCTTGAGTCCATTCTTCTCAAAGTTCAAGGTTTCGAACCAGCGAGAAATGATCATGAGACATGTTCATGCGCTTTTCGACAGATTGTCGTGGTTTGCCGCGTCCCAGAAGACCGTGGACCTCGGTGCCGCCTTTATAGCATTCGTGCGAGATGTTGGCAACGAGTATACATTTGGAAAGCATTACAAAGATCTTGGAAAGGAGGACTTTGATGTCGGCATGGTGGTCGCCGCTCAGGCTGGCGGTCTCTTGTGGCGTATCACCAAGTTCATACGCTTCTTCGGTCCCCCCATGCGGTCCATCCCGCCTCGGTGGATCATGGCAGTCTCCGATCCTGTCATGAAGGAGTTCTTCCGCTTCATGATAGTAAGTCTTGATTGGCAGAATACATGACTTCGTCAACAGCTAACACGCATTTTGTGAGTGTGCAGATTTCCATGAATGATACCAAGAGTTTCATGAAGGCGGCAGTATCCCAAGATGACGACGGTCCACGCACATTAGTCCATGAAATCGTGCAGTCCAGACTTCCGCCCCCCGAGAAGTCATTTGAGCGAATCTTTGATGAAATGTCCACCACAACAGGCGCTGGGCTCGAGACTACAGCCGCGGTCATGGGGATCGCGGGCTTCCACATCTACAGCGACCCCAAGATCCTCCAAAAGCTACGGGCCGAGCTTGCTGCTGCCCCCGACCATAACTTGGAGACGCTCGAGCAGCTTCCTTACTTGACTGCTATTATTATGGAAGCCACGCGTCTAGCTCCCGGCATAGCCTCTCGCAGTGCCCGTATCGCCCAGGACAAGGACCTCAATTATGCAGACTGGCGGATACCGGCCGGCACACCCGTCGGGATGACCATACACTTGCTCCACCAGAATGAGGAAGAATATCCGGAGCCCAAGCGCTTCAACCCAGATCGATGGATGGATCCCAATCCATGGCGTCTGGGCAAAAAGACCGTTGTGCCTTTCGGGAAGGGAACGCGTAATTGCATTGGAATGCAGTAAGGATCCTTCACGATCCACCGCGAGTTACGCAGACTAATCATTATCTTGATTCAGTCTTGCCTGGGCTGAAATCTACCTGCTGCTTGGCAATGTCGTGCAACGCTTCGAATTCAAGTTTCCAACAACCAAGCCAGAGGACTTTTACGTCACCAATGACAATTTTGCCTCCGGCACTCCATGCATGGGAGTCGTCCCTGCTCTTGTTACCGAAGTCGCAGCATGAACAACATTTGTGAAAGGAGTGTCCCACCACATCAAACTTCCGCGTGGCTTTGACTAAGTTATCATGGCTGAGAATGGTGCTAGGAATAGTCTAATGGCAGGGTATTCATTCATTTATTTTGTTGAACCTAGTCCTGTGGTACTCTCTTGAACCTAAAACTCTTGTAAATGAGAACGGATATTTGCACCTGCAAAAACAGAGGGTACACCCATACATCGCCAGCACTAAACCAACACCCACACTCAATTCACACAACCAATTCGCACACCTAACTCACACACTTAATTCATATACCTAACACCTATACACCTAATTTATTTAATCATTAGTTATGTAGGTGTTGAGGGTATGGGTGTGTGATGAGACATTAACCATACACTAGCTACAGCGCGTATGAATGTCCCATCCGTTTATATGGATGTGAATATCCATTCTCAAAAGATAAATGCTGCAGCTGAATGCAAAGGCACTCCACGGCAGGTCTCCAACGACATTGCTTAGTTAGTAAAGTACAGTAGACTTCCCTCCTTGCTCGCCTGCTTCTCCGTGTAGCTGACCTCACTGACCGTGTGGCCATCGGTGTCCTTCAACACGATCTTACCGCCTCTGTTCCCGAGCTGCGCCTCGGACACCTCGAAGCAGTGCTTGCTATGGGCGCTGACCTGTGCATCGTCACCCAGCGTTTGTCCCTGCCCGTGCCCATTCTCAATCTTCCACCCCTTGAGGCTCACATCACTGGCACCGCGGTTCTGCACATAGACCCTCTCCCGTTTGCCCTTCTTGGCCTCGCGGTCTGGACCCTTTGGGTTGACCACTGCAGCCTCGATGCCCACTGTGCCCTTGGTTGCATGGCTCTGCTTTGTATCGTCCGTGGCGGTGTTGCTGCTTGAATCGCCGCCTAGAGCCTGCGCAAACGTCTGTCCCTCTGGGTTTCCATTGTCGTCCGTCTTGAGCGTGTCCGTGGCGAATGCGAGAAAGATGCCGCGCCAAGAGCCATCTGCGGACTGAATCACAATTCCGCCATCCTGATACGTGCCATTCTCCTTCTCAAAGCTGCCCGAGTCTCCCTGGTTCATGTGGATATCGTGGATACCCTCTTCGCCGTTGCTGTCGCTGTAGTGACTGCCCCAGATGTACATGGTCGCCTTCTCCTGCACGGCCTGGTTCATGATAGGATCGACATACGAGCTGATGTCACCCTTCTCGGTTGGGTCACTAGGGTCGTGTGACACCAAGGTGCCGGCGGAGGGGTCCAGAAAGCCCTCGCGAAGGAAATCAAGTGCAAGAGACGAGCTGCCCTTTTGCGCGGAGAAGCCCTTGTCCAGGGAGGAGAGCTTGGTGGTGGAGGGCTGCTTCGGGTTGAAGTTGGAGACAAACCAATAGACGAGGCGCGTGTCGCTTCCCGAGGACGAGATGTTGACGTCTGCCTCGTACGTCTTGTTGTTGTTGGTGCCATCAGTGAACTCAAGGTGCCCATGCGTGCTACTAGCTAGGATTTGGGTCAGTACAACGATTGCAGCGCGCATTCTCGCCCCTTTGTCAGCGTATAGGAGCACCAACCTTCGCCATTCCAGCTGGAAGCCGTGCACTTCCACAGGCCATAGTTCGAGATCGGCATCGTGGAGGCTGACTGGGGTCTTGTTCTGGGGGTGGGGTGGGACGGGTAAGTGATTGGGTCCACAGCAGTTCATAAGGTTGATGCACGAGATAGTGATCACGAAAAATAAGGGAAACAAGTCTTGGCAAGTGAGCTTTTATGTACCTGAGTAGACTTTGTGGGGGTACTTGGTGGACAACAGCTTGCTGTCTCATCAGAACTGGATCGCAACGTATCAGGGTGCCAACCGCTGTTCATCAGTCATGCAGAACACGTGGGGGGCTGCCGGTGACATCACAAGACTCCCACTGGAAGACACAAACGCGTCACAAAGTTTCTAGGGAGGTGGATACCTGTGTTCCTGGAGCCACAAGCAGCCAGGCATAGTTCCAACTTTGCGACCAGACTTGAGCAACGATCAGGTTTTGCCAAGCTGTCAACCGTCCACCGGAACCAAAGCCGCGGGCCGGGCCCTGGTCGCATATACCAGGAATTATGGATCGATTCATGCAGAGGGCAGATCGGGACGATCAAGTGCAAGATGCAAAAGGCAGCCACATAAGATGTTTGGAAGAGGTACTGATTGTAGCTTGCATGGCATTGCTTCGATAGCCCCTGAGGAGTTTGAAACGCGTATGCAGTGACGTAACGACGTAGCATTGATGTTCGAGAGGCACTCCGAAGATCGCAGCCGCGTGCAATGCGTTTCGGCATTCCACTGTCTGTGGCGGTCTTTACAAGCACAGCCGCCGAGAGCTTTTCTCGCTTTTCTTTTCTTTCTGTAGCTACAGGCGTGGGGGCATAGCAAGCTTTGATTTGTCCAACTTGAATGCAGTGTACGGCTAACTTGAATCTAGTGAAAGAAAGTTACATGAGTTTGTTGGTCGCAAGCGGATTTTGCCTATCTCATGTGAGTATTGAATGTGATAAATATGACAGCTGTTGGGTCTGATGCCATGATTTTGAAATCTGCTCTCACTGTGCTTACACCATGCCGCTTTGGTGAAAGAGATGATTGTGTATTAAGTCCACTTGCAGTACCTAGGTGATCAAAGAAATCATTAGGTATTGCTCGTTCGTTTCCATGCCACCAGGACGCGACGTGGTTATGTTGTGACACTTTGAGCTGGCTGATTCATTGATGATATTTTGACAACGACAGTCTCTTGCTACTTTAGCGTACCTACCAGGGGGAAGGGGGTATTAGAAAGCATAACGTTGGCATTAAGAGATAATGCCGAAATGATATTAATATATAATCAATTCATTAACATTATTGAAAAATGCGTGTCTTGCATGATTTACATATAAGAGAAATGATATTAATGTTAATATAATATAATATTAATACTTAATATAGCTTCCTTAAAGAAATTCATTTTCATACTTATCCCTAACTTAATTATATTTATTAATAAAAATTAAAGATTTATTTGTAAAACTCTAAGGTTATTATATTAAAGTGGTTATGGAGATGCATTAGTGCCTAGGCCATGGAGTGTCATAGTATACAAGGGTTGATGAATTGTTTAGCGAGGTGATAAGAAGGAAAACGGATATTCGTGCAAGAGAAAACGGATAGTATATAGATGCCTCTCAGATAATATTCACACAGTTAATCAAAGCTCAATACACACACCTAATACCTATAACCACACCCAATTTATATACCTATGCTCATGTATATAAATTCGATATAAGTGTGTTCGTGGTGGGTATGCTAGGGTTTGGTGCTTTAGGTGTGGGTGTGTTGGGTGTGTTGGGTGTAAGTGTACTAGGCGTGTGATGTATATGTATATTATTCGTCTTTCTGCGTGAAAATCTGTTCTCTTGTTTCTCAACACAGATGCGATGGTCGCCTTTCGAGACGGCGAATAAAAGAGTTGAACACCTTTGAATCCGGCATGGCAGGTAGCACCGCCATGTCACCCGTATCAGATCAAAGACAAGCTAATATCCCGGGCAGTGTACCAGAAAGGATCTGATGACCATACTCTCCCGACTCGCTCATAGAAGCACTCAGCGCCTTCAATATCTAGCATTGTAAGTAGCAGGCCGCAGTGCCAGTCTGAGCCACCAAGTGTATCACCTTCGATACCCAGCGCGTAAAACACCGACTTGTCTCCCCTTGGCCCGTCAAATATGCAATCATTCGCAAATCTCGCGCCGACAGGGCGAGGGCCAACAGCAGCTTCGAGGCTGAAAGTGTACGTAGGAATCTCATCTGGCGGATCCTTCAATTTCCGATCACTCCGGCACGGCGGCGAAGGCAACTGCTTCTCGAGGTCCACAGTGCATCGATGGACCCTGCCCAGCAGACGCAAAGCCATCCTCCCAGTTTTGTGAGTGCCGCTGCCACGTAGCTCCACTCGCGAATGTCCTGGATTGTGTCCGCCGGCTTTGACCGGGCCAATCACTGAAGCCCATGACCAAGAAGGGACACTGGCATTGCCAGAGAGTTTCGCCGGGTATTTTGCGGGGTGCCAGAGAAGGCCTGCAGAGAGATTGGTTTCCCATATCCCAGAGAGATCTGGCCAGGGACGACCCGGCTTGCAATGTCGGCAATCCCTGCGAGAGCGGGCAATCTGTCACTCTCATGTGTCAGCTGCAACGCAGAGTACTCTTGTATCAAGTCGGCCCATGCCCTGAAGAAAAGCCCCTGGATTGTGTCCTTCTGCTTTCCGGTCAGCCCCAGAGATACACCAAAGCCTCTGAGACAGTGTATGACAGCTGCAGCCTCCATGCATCCATCGTTGTCCTCCTGGTCATCTTCCGAGTGTCTGGTCATTCGGCAGGTCCAGTATATTTGCTTGCAAGAAAAGTCTACCGTGCGGGGAGAGAGAATCCGTTCTTGCCTGACCCACGCTCTCTTGAGTAGGGGGCTGTCCTCCACTTCTTCCCGGAACGAGCTGACGATCCCCGAACACCCTCTGAAGAAGGCCCTTCCCTCGCATCGACCGTTCATACTAACCTTGAAACCGATTGGGACCCCGGAGCGGATACGATGAGCAAGGAATCCTTGGGAAGCCGCACTGGCTAAGGTTGCACTGATGGTCAGATATGCGTTGCTGTATATATGGCCCATCCGTTGTATCTCATCCATCCAATCCGCACTCTGATTCTGACCTTGAACAATGCATAGCGCATCTACCCAAAGATACCGGAGTCCGAGCCTACGGACTACTATGACGGCATCCTGGATTGTCTGAGAGAGAAGTGCTAAAGACACGCCCTGCATCATTTGGCCGATGGTCTCAGTAGTAGTAATATAGCCGGTCTGGTTTGTTCCCCAACAGTAACTGAGAGCCGCGTACTTCAGTGGCTGGTCATCCGTTCTTACGAGTCTAACATCAGGCTGCCCGGACAAGCCGACATCTATCAGGCGCCTTGGAGCCACCGTACGGCCACTGGATCTGAGGAAGTTCCCGTTGCAGGCGCTGTGATGCTGTTCGCAGTTCTTGGCCCAGCTAACAATTCTCGATATGTTGAAATCGCAAATCGGGTCGTCCTGAATTCCCCGCTCCGAGGTCGAGAGCCCAACAACTCCCATGGACTCTGCAAACGAGCCTATTATTCGTCAGCGAGGGTGACAACTAATACTGACGTGTAGAGTCACCGACCTGGATCGGCGAACATGAGCAAAGTTGGATAATCTGGCCCGTAGATGAGCTCAGTGCCGACCATGCCTAACGTCACAGCAACCCTTTTGGATAGCAGCTTATCTTTCACGCGGCCCCGTTTTTGTCGCTGGAAAAGGCCTGGGTTCAAGTCAAGCTCATGGCTGGCCGCAAAGAGCCTTACGGGCCCAAGGTGCCAGGCATGAGAAAGGCTTCTAATCGAACTTGTCGCTAGGCGCTGCTCGTGGATGCATCGTTTGAAGAGGTCAACGATTAACTGGCAGAGATCACATGTATTCGCACTGCTAATCAAGGCATGGCAGGTCGGCTGGTGGAAGTATCCGTCATAGCTCTTTATATCCTCCAAGTTGATACCCTGGCAAAAGATGCACAACCGGTGTCGCGAGATATCGGACTCCATAGTGATGAATCATGAATTCCGAGTTGGAGAGGCTAGATCTGGCGCACATGTCCAGGAGAAGGCTTAGGAAGCCCGTAGGTCACCGTAGTGCGGCCAGGCGCGGCTGAGAACTGCTGCCGCCCTGCAGAATAGGCTGCTGACGAGTGTGAGGCGTGAAAGCTGTCCTAGGTTTCTGCACCTGTGATAGTTGCCTTCACCAGCTGCTCCTCGGCAGCGACTGTGTTCCCTTGTCGAAAAAGTCGACGTATGTGCAAGAAGCTTGGGGGGGGGGGCGCTAACTCTTTGAGCTTGAGTGAAGACGCTGCTTGCGATGAGCGTCCCACAATAGAGCGATGAAGAAGACCAGGAGAAAGCGACGTATTTTCGCAAATCACAAACGAGAGTCTCTTCCTCGCTTCATTTTGGGTATCTGGGCGGGGAAAGGAGTCACGTGCAATTAGGCAGCAACTGAGCCTTGGCTATTCAATTAAATGTGCGCCTGCAGCAGCAGAGGGAGTGAGAGAAAGAGAGAGAGAAAGAGAAAGAGAAAGAGAGAGAGAGAGAGAGAGAGAGAGAGAGAGAGAGAGAGAGAGAGATTGTATAGAGAAACCCGACTTCTGCACAATCTTAGGTCTTGGTTGCACTTTTCCTCATAATCATTCCAAGCTAACGTCAGGTCGTATCGCTGTTCGGGCTCCATGCTATCGAAGCATCAGGGCCTCCTCTTCTGTTGGCTCATTGTCTTTTCCCTTTGAGAAGCTATTTCCTGACCGACATCGAGTTTGGCACGGAACAATATGTAGCAATTTAAAATTTGGGATTGCACAGGAGGATAGGATTGCTATTTATGAGATTTGTTGACCGCCAACCTTCATAGCCATGAATCTGAGGCTCACAGCTCATTGTGTCGCGCATTGCACTTGATCCACTTCAGGTTCTCGGCGTAACTTGCTAACACCAGAGTTGTGACAGAGATTTACATGAAAATTTAAAAAACTATACAACTTTAAATAATGGTGCCAGGCAGGCCTGACGACGATAGACTTCCTCGCTCATTGCCAGGGAACAAGCTTGTATGTCTTGGATTCAACATGCCCACATGTGCTGTCGAAGTGGATGACCTGGAGAAAGAGTGCGCCTAGTGCTCGGCCCGCCTGAACTCCGAAATCTTGAGAGACAGCTTGATGAAGTCCGGAGAAATGAAAATGTCTACGAGCGAATTGGGATCCCGATGGGCTACCAAACGTACGAATGGCGTCATGGTGAAAACGTGGAAGGGGCGTCTGTCTATATCACCAGATCTACTCATCTCTTCAGCAAATTAAACCTAAAATGTAAATCGCTGTTGTTATATCCACATACTTTCAAGATACCTGGTCAGATTAATACAGGCTTAATTTTGCTGAAATACAAAGGCTCAATTCAGCTACACAAATATAAGTATACATGGAGCTGCCTGTGCTGCCTGTCCAAAAAATCAAGCTCCTACTGTTCCTGAAACAGGGCTTGTAAGCCTACTATACCCGATGCGTTCGGAGCCGAGTCAGCCTTTCTGGTACAGCGATTTTAGCATTCCGGTCATCGAGACCCTTTATCCGGCCATATGCAGACACTACCGTCCTTTTTTGGTGGTAGCCGGTCGAAGGGCTTTGTATAGAGTCCTCTCGTCCGCTGAACCTGGCAAGTAAACGTCAATGAAATTCAGTTCCATGCCTACAGCGTGCTTTGGGCTTGCTGCCGCGTGACTACCGGTTCAATGCACAGAGCTGCACTTGAGGTTAATTACGACGGAGCCACTAACGCCGTTCCACATTGAGCTTTGGCACCCCTGTTAGCCGTCATTGTTGGTCTGGTGAAGGCGAAAGGGTAAAACGGTTAAATGGGTCAACGTTTCTCATTAGTTGGACTGGGACAAGGGTTCCGGCACGTCACACGGCGAGGGCCCTTTCGAGAGATGGACACGGACGCTAGCAACCGCGTACTACGTGTTGAATTTACGAGAGGGTATACGCCACCTTTTTATCCAGTTATTACAGCTGAGGGGCTGAGAGAGCCGCACGATGATAAAAGTCGGCCAAGGCGAACTTGGCGCATGCCCAGACTCTTGCCGAGAGATCACCAACCTCTACAAGTCGAATACCGCACACCCAAAATGTTCACCTTTACCAAGCTCGTCGTTGCCATCTCTGCGCTCACTGGGGCACTTGCCGCCCCTGCAGCCGAGCCGTCCCTCGACAGCCCGGACTTCCAGCTCGGCGGTGACAGCCTCGCCCGTCGCCAGAACTACAACCAGAACTACGTGACTAGCGGCTCTGTCAACTTCTCTCCTGCGAGCAATGGGTACTCCGTTTCCTTCTCCGGTGCCGGAGACTTTGTAGTCGGCAAGGGCTGGAGCACCGGGACGAACAGGTAAGCACAGCCCGGGAAATCACTTTCGCTCCGGGTCTGGAGGGGGCTTGGCGAATTGAGGCTGGTGCTGTCGATGCTAATGAACCGCCCTGCAGGAACATCACCTTCAGCGGCTCCACCAGCGCCACCGCTGGAACCGTCCTAGTGTCAGTCTATGGGTGGACGACAAACCCCCTGATCGAGTACTACATTCAGGAGTACACCAACAACGGCGCGGGCTCTGCCCAGGGCACCAAGGTCGGCAGCGTGGTTTGCGACGGCGCCACCTACGACATCTGGAAGCACCAGCAGGTCAACCAGCCGTCCATCTCCGGCACGGCCACCTTCTGGCAGTACATCTCGAACCGCCAATCGGCGCGACCCGGCAGCGGCACCGTCACGACCAAGTGCCACTTTGATGCGTGGGCCAAGGCGGGCCTCAAACTGGGGTCCAGCATGAACTACCAGGTCCTTGCGACCGAGGGCTGGGGAAGTGCAGGTGGAAACTCCAAGTACACCATCTCTGGTTAGGTGCTAAGCCAGAGCCAACTTGCTTGCGGCGGTCAATGCCAAGAAGTACCGTGTCGAGGCCGAACAGTGGAGAGCCCCAGCGTGGCTGCTATCCTGTGTATATAGTTTATTTCAGAATGAGGTGAAGTTTTATGTGTTATAGTTGATCCATACCAGCAAATTTGACATCAAATTGCTGCTCTCAGGTTCGGGGGGTAAATCGTCATAAGGGGTGACTATGTAAGGATTGTGGGGCTTGCTTGCACTGCCACCTCAGGCTTTGTTGAACTAAACGCCAAGCAGGCCAAGATGTGGCTTTTTTGTCAGCTTCAACGTTTACCCAACAGCAACCATCTGTCATTGACTATTCACAGCGCGTGGAGCCTAGTAAGGCATCACAGGTGGGCGTTTGGAACGTCAAGGAAGAAGATCAGGTGCACGCTGACGCTGCCGATATGCGCGGAACTGTACGGCTGGCGAGGCGCCAAACCGTAAGCGCGTGAGCCCAGCCGACACATGGGCACCTCCCTTCACTCCCGTTGTTGTTGACTTAGGATGACAGACGACTCGTACTGCCCGGTGGCCGATGCTCAGAAATTCAAAGGCGAAAGACGACAGACCGGTTTCGCGCGTATATGCAGCCTCAGGGTCAGGGGATCCTCCTTATGGCGAAGACACGGGCCCCGTCTGGAGGACGGCTGCTTCTAAGATGATAGAGGGTTGCGCGACCGCCTTCGGCTCGATTCTCATCCTAGGAATCGCAGGCTACTCGTACAATGCCTACTACAAATCTCACGTGCTGACCAAGATGGAGAATGCCTTCGCATTGGGATATTCCTCTGTTGAGATAGCCGCTCTGAGCCGTCACGTCAAATCAGATGGATCCCACGCCGAGCTGTTTCAAGCAGAGACCTTCGAAGACAACGACTGGATCCCGCGCGACGAGCAAGCCATCATCGACAAGATAGTCGACGGGTCCCTCCGTGGTCAATATCACCTAATCACGGGCGAGAAGGGGACAGGCAAAACCTCAATGCTGCTCAAGGCGATGGGCAAGATTGGCGGCGAGGGAGTCGCCATGTTCGAGGCGCACGGCGACCCCGAGATCTTCAGGGTGCGCCTGGGCAAGGCGCTCGACTTCGAGTTCCACGAGGACTACGTCGGCAGCCTCTTCAGCTTCAAGGGCCCGCGCGACACGACCGCCCTGCTGGACATCGAGCGCGCCTTCAACAAGATGGAGAAGATCGCGCTGAGGCGCAAGGAGAAGGTCGGGAAGCCGCTGGTCCTGATCATCACCGGGGCGCACCTCATCCGGGACGACGAGGACGGCCAGGACCTGCTGGAGCTGATCCAGCAGCGCGCCGAGCTCTGGGCGGCGAGCAATCTGGTGACTGTGGTGTTCAACAGCGATGACTACTGGACTACGGAGCGGCTGATGTGGCAGGCGACTCGTCTCCGGGTGACGCCTGTTCGCGATATCCCCAAGAACATCGCCATCGAGTCCCTGAGAGAGTTCCGCAAGACTTTTCGCGGGGAGGACGTCCCGACGAGTATCCTGGAGCAGGTCTATAGCAAGATCGGCGGCCGGCTCAGCTTCCTCACCCGCGCGGCAAAATCTCCAGACATGATCACTACTTGCAACACCATCTGCGAAAAGGAGAAGCGCTGGCTGTTGAACAAGTGCTGGATTCTGGGGGCTGACATGTAGGTGTTATTTGAGGATCTGGCCATACAAACGACTATTGCTAACAACTGTCATGTAGGGACCCCGGCGCTGAAAATGAACAGGATCTCTCTTCAGCTGCCATGCTTCTCGCAAAAGCACTGATAGAAAAAGAGGAAGCCATGAGAGCAGCTGGGACGTACGATGGGAGGCTGCCTCAGATTCCATTGCACAAGGCGAGGGAGTTGATCACGAATTCCGAATGGGTGAAGATGCCACACCACAACAATATCTTCACCATCGACCCAGATGGGATGGTCCAGGCAGATTCAGTGGCGATGTACTGGGCCATGAAGGAGGTGTGCAGCGCCGAAGGCTTCGATGAGCACCTCCATGCTACTCTAGAGCGGCTGGATGAGATCGAAAGCCTTCAGAGGACAAGGGAGCTGACACTGAAGGATCTAGTGGACAATGAGCAGCAGTATCGCGCCACGATGGAAGCTACTTCGGATGGTGGAAAGGCTTGGTCAGTCAAGCTCGTGCCATCAGGGGCTGGATGATTACTAGAGCCTATCCTACATGTACTTCAGTTTCTACCATTAATGATATCTCTAAAAAGGACTTTTGGACAGCCAAGCTTTCCTTTTCTAAAGAACTGGCCACTGCCGAATCTTACGAACTGTTCTAACTCGAACTCGCCCATCTCACAGACCTCTTCAATTCGATGCACAACACAGAGGCGAACACATGAGATGCGGCTAGCTGTGGTGGTGAAAGCGGCTGGTGTATATCAGCGTGCATTACAGAGCTGGTAAACTGGGAATGAGAAGCTCTGAGTAGCCAAACCCTCCTGCTTAGGTTGGCCGGTGCCCAGATTCCTGATAGCCATTCTCCGACTACAGGTCAAGGGCTAAGCATGCAGTAATCAGGGGCTGCAGGAGACCCTTGTTCTCCTTAAAAGCTTCTTTTCTTACACAGCTGTCTCTGTACACCGAGACTACGTCTGTTGAGTAAGGCGGTCCCATGGAGAGAGCTTCTCGTGTAGCATTGTCGATTTTCTATGTAGTGTAGCCATACACAACCTCAAGACCCGTGCTATCATCAGCGCGATTCTTCTCCGACCACTTGAAGAGCTTGTCGTAATTTCTACAAATGTGCGAAGTTCCCCATCCCAGTGTGGCGGGTGTGTCCGGGCTGCTGGGCAATGGATACGTAACATCCAAGGTGGGATCGGCCTGGCACCGGACAGCTTGTCGCAGCATCTCGATGGAGTGATAGGTGGTCCGCTGCTGGACGGAGCCCAGGGCAGTTACATTCTCCAAGGCTAGCGAAAAAGAGTTCAGGATCGTGTACAGGGAAACCTGACAAAGAAGCCTAATTCGTGACTTCCGTGGCGTTAGCGAACGGAATGATGAATTCCACCCTCCCCGGTAAAGAAAATCTATTAGCATATCCTAAAATAGCTAGCGGTCCCACCTAGAAGTCTTAACTCTTTTAACTTTAAAATTATCTTTTAAAAAAAGCATTTTGCTTATTTTTAAGGAATATAAAGAGTATTAGGTTGGGCCTTAAGAAATGCTTAATAATGCCTACTAATATTATCCATCCTTACTTTAACCAACCCTTTTAAAATTTAATTACCAGCTTAAAGTAAATATTTATTTTAAAAGTAATTAAGTTATTTAAAAACATTAATTTCTTAGCAAAAAGACTGTTAGCCGTTATGGGGTATATTAATAGATTTTCTTTACTGGGGAGGGTGGAATTTATTATCCTAGTTGGCAAAGGGTCCCTTAACTCTCCTTTCTTATCTATGCATTACCATAAAAACAATACCAACTTTTAAAAGTAAAAATAAGAAAGAAAAAGATAGCTTATTTATAACATTTTATCTTAAATATATTATAATAATATAGGTTTAATTAAGGAAAGAATAAATTATTTCTTGACACAGGCCGCAGACCCCGCGCAGTCCCTGGCCCATTGACACGACTTAAGGGGTCACGAGGGATCCCGTCAATTTTTACTTGCATAAAGGGATGTTCAGCTGATAGTGCAACGTGCAGGGAAGGAATCCTGTGTGGCACAACGGCGCCACTAGGACAGTTTCAGCAGCCGTTAACACGAAGTGTAGAAGTAAAAGCAATGTAAGAATGCTAGAAAACACCCTGTGCAGACCTGAACGAGTCCAGGAATTGACGAAATGTTTCAATTTACGATTTGTTCGGAGTTGGCTCTGTGTCATACCTGTCTTGAGGCCCACAAATGAGAGTCAGCGTACGCCCACCCAGCTTCCACAGTACGCCCACCCAGCTTCCAGCGTTGGCCCACCTAATATTTCCTTTTTTTAATATTATATTAATAAGATTAAATACTTTTTTAAGTTTACCTTATATATAAAAAGCTAGGGTAGCTATTTTTTAATTTAAGTAATACTTTAAAAATATAAGCCTAAAAAGCTTAAAGCGCCCAAAAGCCCCCAGAGCGCCCAGGGCCCCCAGAGCGCCCAGAGGGCCCAGAGGGCCCCAGGGCTCCCAGAGGGGCGAGGGCGCCCAGGGCGCAGAGGGCGCAGAGGGCGCAGAGGGCGGCGAGGGCGCAGAGGGCCGCCGAGGGCGCCGAGGGGGCAGAGGGGAGAAGGGTAAAAGTAACTTTTAAGTTGCAAATAAAGGGGTAGCTATAAGACCCCTTTAAAATAGCTATAGCTATGCTTTATTAATAACCCCATAGTATTAATATTTTATAGCGCGTATAGCTAATTTCCTTATACTGGGTGGGCCAACGCTGGAAGCTGGGTGGGCGTACTGTGGAAGCTGGGTGGGCGTACGCTGACTCCACAAATGATACCACGGAGTTGACCGGGTATTTGTGCCACAATTGCCATATGCACCTTCCATTTTGTTCGAGACGCAGTATGAACTCTTATCTCTTAGGATGTGATCTATGTCTGAACTAAAGCTCTGCTCATACGGTACAGGGAACGTCCGTGGACTTTCTCACATATTGAACGGATGCATTAATGTCTACTACCTAGCTAACGTCACTTGCAAGCGATGTTCACCACTAGTAGTCTCTTACAGAATGTTTTCGGTTACTTTCGCCTATTGAAATATACACGTCAGAGACCTTAAACCATCACAGCGCAGATTAAGATGGCAACATGTGTCACAGCAACTAATCCAGAGCTATAATTACAGTTTCCATCACACATCATACCACAACGGACTCTCACAACTTTCCACGTGCTGGCGTCTGTAATGGGAGACAGAAAAAAGAAGGTCGACCCCGCCTATGAGTGCTTGCTGTGGGACTGTTTACCGCTCAACTTCTCATGTTGGCTAAGCCGATTCTTTGTTGGTCGCTTGTGAGTCGGTCCATCAAGAAACTAACTGCGGCACAGCCGTTAGCATACCACCAAAGGCAGCATCGCCACTACACAAGCTTTAAACCGACCTATGAAATGAGGAACAGGTATTGCATTGGTAAGGCGAGGTACCTAGCCAAGGCCACTGAGCAAGAGATCTAAGTGCAATCTTGCATAGCACGAAGTCAAGATTCCACTCCTTGCATGCTTGAGGCGATGGAATGCAACCCACTCTATCTGCATGTTGGCTTTAAACACCAACACTCTCCTTCGATGTTTTTGGTTGGCGGACAGCCACAATTGAAGTTCTCCATCATTCTTGAAATAGCAATTTTCATCTTATATTCGGCGCATTTCCCTCCCCACCTCTCAACTCGAACCCTTGCGCATGTCGTTCTCTCAACAACCGGGCACAGCAAAATGGAAATCACAGGCTATGCCTTCGTTACTGGTGGAGGTAAGGCGCATTAACCCCAACACTCTATTGTATTTGCTATGCTCCAAGCTTCAATCATGAATGATCGCTAATACATGGTGTAGCGAGCGGTATCGGCAGAGCCTGCTGCCTAGCTTTTGCCAAAGAGGGGGCCAAGGGTTTGATCGTGGCTGACATCAACCTGGAGGGAGCTCGGGAGACGGCTAATCAAGCTAAGGTTCTTGCTAAGTATCCGGAATTTCGAGTCGATGTCGTCCGGGTCGACATCAGTGTCGAGGAATCTGTCATGACGGCCGTCGCCCATGCCGTCAAATACCTTGGTCGTATTGACTACGCAGTCCACTCCGCTAGTGTGAGTCCTTTGATGGAGCCTGATGGTTTTTGTCTATGTCTAATCCCTATTCAGATTCCTGGCGGAACATTCGATCCGATAGCCGAGGCCAGCTTCGCTGATATCAAACGCCTGCTTGATGTGAGTGTCAACGGAACCTTCCTGTTTACCAGCTTGGTCTCAGCAGTTATGAAAACTCAAGAGCGACGACAAGCGAGTGCCACCGATCCAACAAGAGGCACAACCAGAGGATCTATCGTTAACTTGTCTTCTGTCTCGGAGTTCATGGCAGTTTCCAACATGGTGTAAGTCTCGATTTTCTCGGAAAGGTCAAGAACATATAAACAGCTGGCAGAGAAGGTTCTAACTCAAACCAGCCAGTACACAACATGCAAGCATGCCATCTCTGGTATCACCAAGACCGCCGGTGAGTGACCTCAAAAGTCTGAGTGGCCCGCTGTGATTGGTTTCTGACGAAGGCGCAGCCCTTGACAATGCGCCCCTTGGCATCCGGGTCAACTGCGTGTGTCCCACTTGGACAGACACGCCAATGACCCGGCGGGCGACGGATGTGGCACCAGGGTTGGAGAAGGCACTGTTGGCCACCATGCCCCTGGGCCGCCTGGGACGGCCGGAGGAGGCAGCCGACGCTGCCATTTTCCTCTGTAGTGCAAGATCCAGTTTTACCACTGGGACGAGTCTAGTCTTGGACGGCGGAATGACTCTGTCCTGCTGAAGCTAGGTCAGATCACTCAGGAGGTGCCATGTGATATTGCTTAGTATACAGTGTTTGAATACCTAGTTTAAGCAGCTTGATTTCGTGTTCACTTGAATACCGCAAATAGTGTGTGACACTAGGCGGCAACGGATGGGTATTGCCTGATGTGATTCTGCTTTGCCACCTACCACAAGAGCCGATCTCTGCCGTTTCTCTCCTGACCACATCCGAGAGTAACCCGGAGTCTGAGAATAGCTGTCTGTTTGTATTTTGTCTTTTCCTCGTCTGTATTCCTAAACGCGCATTAGAACCCCAGCGACGACAATAGAGTTTCCGTCAAACCCAAGGATTTGCAGTCCAAAACTCAAAGAATTCTACCAGGTTGTAGATCTTTGACAGCGCTGGGTGTTGGGTCATCATCATCCATCAGGGTCCAAAAGATCAGCCGAGGCATAAGAGCTCATTTTCGCTACTGCAGAACTGGTCAAGACGTGCCCAGTCACCGCTAGGTGGTGAGGGACGAGTTAGCGAATCCGAGGGAGCAAAACGCTGAGAGTGTGCGATAGATGTATAGGTATTACGGCCCTATTTCGCAACCTATAATCAAGTTTTTAACAATGAAACACCGGCTCATACGGTCATCTAAGTGATCCATTGTGGCTTATCACGACGGCCATGGAAGCCTTGGACGTCAAGACTCCAGCGGGACGAGGCGCGGTGTCGATATATTGGATTCGCCATGGCGAGGGGTCTCGATGCTCTTGGCTCCATTCCGCCGAAAGCCGACAGAATCAGTGTGTTATACCTGTACCTCGGCGGCGTTGAGTAGATGAACCGGATCGTGCCCAGACAATTCTCCCGTCTTGGCTCACTGGTTCGAGGCCGACTCAGGCACACAAGCGCGTTGCTTGGGACGAAAAGAAGAGACGTACAAAGGGCAGCTAATACGATAACGAGGGACAATCATAAGTCGAAACTTGCCATTTATTTGTCTGTCCCCAATCAAGAACGGTCACGCACAGCTAAGGGAACGGAAAATTCCTGACATGCTTCTTTTCCCAAAGTTGCGGAATGCGCGGGATCTCGTGCAAACACCTGATTGACGGGATCGACGTGAAACAGCTCGTCGGTTGTGGGGCGAAACTTTGTTTTCTGCATGTTGAAACTAGTGAGCGGCCAAGAGCTTCTCAGGGGAATCCATATCTATCTGTTGCTTCCAAGCTAACCCAACTCTCGGCATCCCCTAAAGGCTTGGACGCAATGAAATGAGCCTCGTCGAGACCGCCCGGACGACCGTCACTTGGTATTTCGTAGAACGCGTGTGTAAATGTCGGCAAACCGCTGGTTATCACTGTGGAGATCACGAATTGTTTGGGCCAATGCAGTATAGCACCTTCAGTCTCTCATTCATTACACTCGAGTTATTTTCCACCACATCAAGATGAAGAGCAGCATCATCCTCTCGCTTTGTGCCCTGGCAGCTGGGGCCCACGCACAGTCAAGATCAGGACGCGGCGGTAAGGGCTGCTCCCGTAACGGCCCGTCCGGAAGACCAGGACAGAACGAGACCGCTAGCAAACCTCCAGTCTACAACGCACCGGAAGATAGCCCATCAACAAACGGGACCGGCAGCGGGAGCGGGAGCGGAAGCGGCAGCGGCAGCGGCAGCGTCCCAGACCTGTCGACCACCCTCCCCGCATCCACCGGCACCGTGCAGGGGTCGGCAGCGATCCAGGTGACGGGGTCCTTCGACGGCGCGATGCGGCTGTACGAGCGGTCGCCGAGCGTGTGCTCGGGCGGCGAGTTGGGCCAGGACGCGGCCATGTTCATCCTGGCAGACGGGGCGACGCTGTCCAACGTGATCATCGGCGAGGGCCAGGCCGAGGGCGTGCACTGCCAGGGGACCTGCACGCTCAACAACGTGTGGTTCTCGACCGTCTGCGAGGACGCCATCACGTTCCGGCAAGAGTCCGGGACGAGCTATATCAACGGGGGCGGGGCGTTCGGCGCCACGGACAAGATTGTGCAGTTTAATGGGCGCGGCACGGTGCATATTTCTAACTTCTATGCTGAGGACTATGGGAAGTTGGCTCGGAGCTGTGGGAACTGTAATGGGAACGGCGGGCCTAGGGAGTTTGTTATCAAGGGCGTGCAGGCTGTCAATGGCGGAGAGTTGTGTGGCGTTAACTCAAACTTTGGCGACACGTGTACCATAATTGACTCCTGCCAGGCCGAGGGCAACGCCTGCACGATCTGGGAGGCTACTGATGGGGGTGGAGAGCCGACCAAGACGTCGTTGGAGCCGGACGGGACGGTCTGCATTGCACAGAGCTTCCAGTCGACCTGCTGAGTGAACCCTTAGCACGGCTGTATGGGTGCAGATTTGGTTTTCAGAATGTTGGTTGATACCATATGACATTGAAGGCAATGGAAATATCTGGGCAGACAGCCCAAGTCCTGTAACCGCGCTCTTTATCATGCCAAGTTGTGATCGTGTCTCGCTGCCACTGCCCAGGCCGCAGCGTATGTGTCAATTCATACAGACACTTTCACAGGCGTCCGATCCAGATGGGCTTCCCAAACGCGTGCGTGCTACTGGCCATGTGAGCAGCACCGCCGAGAAGATGCCCATTCTATCCAGCATCCTTAGTCGCACGATGGCTGTATTCGCCGTTCTTCAACAGCCTGCGCATTTCAAACAAGGCCAACAAGCTTCATGGACCTGAAAGCCGCCCTCCTCGACGTAGCCCATAACTGTGCATTCTTGTCGTACGTGACATAAGCAGCTCCAACGCCGATCCCAGCAAGATGTACGCTGTGGCCAAACCGGATCGGTAATCGTAGCGCGGTCCAGACGCCCAGCACACCAAGGGCCTCGAACGCCACCTCCCACTCCACCAGGCTTTTGGCATTGAACACCCAGGGAAATGGGAAGATGCGGACCCTAGCTTCTGGATTGCCCACGGCCCATGCAGAGAACACGCCCAGGACGGCCCCGGAGGCGCCAATGCCGAAGCTGTACCTGGCCTGCTTGAATACGAGTGCGGCGGCCTGGGCTCCGAGGGAGGAGAGAACGCCGGTTGAGAGATAGAAGGCGAGGAAGTGGCTGCCGGATCCAGAGATTGGTGGGCTCGCAGCCATGGGTGGACCAAGGTTGAGAAGGCCTAGCATGTTCACGGCCAGGTGAATGGTGCCAGTATGCTATCGTAATGAGAGGGTCAGACTTGCACATGACAGAACAAGACGTGTGTTTGGCTAAAGAAGCTGGGAAACAGGGCGTCACTCACCGCAAACATGGACGTGAAGAGCTGTGAGTTTCTAAACCATGCGAGGCTGGTGTGTGGCCGAGGCTGGCCCACCGCGCCTGTGCAGCTGTGGAAGGCGCCCTCGAGAGACCCAGGAAGCCAACATTGACCAAAGTCATGCCCGCCATTATCTTGGACGGGCCGCTCAGGTTATCCCAGACACTCCTCGGTGAGCCCGCCGCGATGGGCCCCGGCGTGAAGATGGACTGCGACACGGCCTTGCGCCTCCATTGCTTCGCGTGCTCGGCCTCGAGCTCGTCAAAAGTGAGGCTGCGGCGGTCCTCCTCCCGGAACGTCCTGATATCCTGCCAGACGTCGAAGGCGGCACATGTGAAGTAGATAGTCCCCACCGCCGTGGCGGCCCAGATGAGCGGACGGATGACAGGGACCGGGTTCTGCGAGTAATCGTAGCCCAGGTTGTTGGCAAACGAGCGCCTTGCCGAGACGGGGTGGGGTGCCGCTGGCCTCGGGGTGCGACGGAGCCGCGGTCGAGCTCTCACTGCTGCTGCCGTCCAGCGCGAGGCGAGCATTTTGCTGCCGTCGCCGCGCACCCACGTGTCCACAGGGCCAGACTACTGACCGCCGGCAGATGAGTCAGGGGTGCGCACGAGGAGTCAGGCGATGGCCGATACGGAGCTGGTTGGCCGGCGCGGATGATGAAGGATAATTACGCGTTCGTCTGGCGGGTGGTTTGATGGTTCGAGACCCTCGGGTGGGTTGAAAAGTGGTTCTGGGGTTTCTGGGGTCCCCCCCTCCGGTCAGGGTTTAGTAATCGCTGGATGGCTGCATGGACGACCGGGGTTTTGCCGGCGAATTCTCAACCCTCCTCTCCCCTCCCAAACCTGAACCCTTGCCTCATACCCGCCCTTTACAAACCCTCCTCATCTTCGCACCTCAGCCTCAACCGCCGAACCGCAGCATGCAAACGGGATTCATCGAAGCCCGCCAGGTGCAGAGATAAAGCAGAGACCGACCGCAAGATACAATCTACAAATTAAGTGGTGTCAGTTCAAGTCATTGCCCTTTTGAGCCCCGCCAATATCCGGCTGCACAAGACCTCACCGAGGCTCGCTTGCACCAGTCCGACGAGTCTACCGAGGCACAGACACGGAAGCCCACTTGCAGATCCTGAGCTCGATCAAGGTCAATCAACAGCAGCTCCCCATACTTACCACTGGAAGTGTTTGAGGTGGTCTGACCTGCAAGCACAGAACGTCGTCGATATCACTTGAAAGGCACCCCCTTATGAGATGCTGAGGCTGGCTCTACCCATCACCAAAGGGTTTGCCCGAGTCTTGCAAGTCATTGCACTGCACTGAGAAACGAGAGAGTGAAATAATAACTTAGACGGCTTTTCGATTCCGTGTTTCGATTGGGTATCAAGCCCACAGCTATCATGGCAAACTCGCTTACACGTCAAGGCTCGCGCACCCGACCAGCAGGTCTGCTCCTGTTTCCTGTCCCGTCCTAAATCCGCTTCTGAGCCTCCGTGGCACCGTGCAGCAGGCCGGCGACGACGTTGTCGGGCTCGGCGAGGAAGGGCGAGTGCGAGCCCTTGGTGGCCCATGTGATGGCGTTGGCGCCGAAAACGGGCGCCATCTGCTTCTGGATTAAGGGCAGCAGCGCGCGGTCGTCGTCGCAGAAGAAGTACATGCTCTCGATGTCCTCCCACGCCTGGTAGGTGGCCTCGTCCCGGAACACCTGGGCCGACTGGTGCTGCAGCCTGGAGACGGCGCCCTTGGTGAGCTCCTCGTTGACGTCGTGGTAGAAGATCTCCTCGGGTGTGCGGGCGTAGACGCGCTCGCCCTGGTGGTTGTGTTAGTCATGAGCGGGAAAGAACGGTGGAGGCAGTTTCCTGAGAAGAAGTACTTACCTGGAAGTCCATCCATGGCAGGCTTGCCGCCGAGCATCTTGAGGACGCTGAGGCCCTTGGGCACGACGAAGGCACACAGGAAGACCAGCAGCACGATACCGCCCTCCTTGCCCTCAGCCTTGCGCTGCTTGTATCCCAGGCCCTTGGAAGCCTCGCAGATGACAAAGCCTCCGTATGAGTGGCCGACCAAGATTACCTGTCGGCCCTGGTCCGCGAGAGCCTGGACCTCGGCACGGACGGCGGCGGCATCGTCGAGTGCGCCCTTGGTCGGGGGCTCGGCTCCTACGGACGGGAACGCCACGGTCCGAGTCTCCCAACCCTGGGCGTGCAGCTTGTCCTGCACGAGCTGGTAGCAGTCGGGCGTGTGCCAGGCGCCAGGGGCGAGGACGAAAACGGGCTGTGCGTTGGCAGACATGGTTGATTGTGACGGGCGTCTGTGGGGTGTGGGCGGGGATATTGGCTTTGTTTCTCTTTTTTTTAATTTTTTTTTTTTTTTCGAGATTGGCAAAATACGAGGCTGGCTGGAACGGGCTTGCGACGTCAAATCGAGGTGAACAGGCGCTATTGGGATTGGACGGCAACACGAATCGGGCTTTTGGATCGAGCAACACCGGGGATTTATCTCGACGAAGCGCCTACCAGAAGGGGGGTTGAGCTCGACGTTATCCGGCGATGTGGCTTGTCTGTCGGATGCTGCCCACGCAAGCCACCGGGATCCAAGGCCAAGATCATCCATGCTGCTACCCACCTGTTCGTCCCCTGCAACCTAGAGTGCCCCAGAGCCGCTGGATGCGGCAGTCCAGCGACATCCCGGCGGGCCGTCTGTATTACAATAGTACGCTAGAGGGATGGTGCGAGTCATGCGTTGCGGAGGATTGCCGTGGAGCCAGTGCGGCTCGGAAGCGGGCTGTGAAGAGTGAGAGAGTTTGGACGACGGCAGACGCACTCGTCCATCCCATCGGAACAAGAACACATCACAGCGAGATCTGTTCGTTGCATTGGCGATGCGGCTCAAGCTTATTTATCGTCGGAGAGATGTGACATTCCAGGGTCTGTCGAAAGGGCATTATTCAGACCCAGGAGAATGGTAACGGGGTCGGCCCACGGGCAGCAGTGAGCACCTTCTCCCCCCATACGTAGAACCTTCTTCCACATCTCGCAATGTCGGAGTGTTCTACACGAGAGCCCCTTTTCCACGTGACTGTTGACAGGTTGTGGAAGGCCCACTCGCCATTGTCCGAACCAAGACCAGTTCCATCATCAATGTTTGATTGACAGCACGACACTCAGGACACTCAGGACACTCAGGACACTTAGAACACTCAGAACACTCAGGACACTCAGGACACTCAGGACACTCAGGACACTCAGGACACTTAGGACACTTAGGACACTTAGGACACTTAGGACACTTAGGACACTTAGGACACTTAGGACACTTAGGACACTTAGGACACTTAGGACACTTAGGACACTTAGGATCCTCAACTTTGAGTTTTTGCATACCATGGTGGGCAACCCCGGGGGGATGCAACAACCCCATTGCAAGTTATCACTTCGTACCAAGCACTTACGCAACCAGACGAGGGTCTAGATCAGGCAACCCTGAGGATCGGCGGTCGACATTTAGTCTACCTAGATACACCATCATGTTGATTAATCCTATCGATCACGGTAACATGTAGGATGTGATACAGATTCATCACATCCGGTCAAGCACCCAAGGTCATTTTCTTTTCCGGTTGCCGCGTTATATTGAGGGCAAAACAGGGCCAGCGTGCCACTTACATGGGCAAATGGAAAGCATATCGCGCAGTAGCGTGCAAAAAAGGGTATGCCATGCTTTACGCCAAATCTCCGCCTGGTCCCTTCGTCCACTCGGAAGTCTCCGTCAATTCAGAGGTTCTGTGCAACTTAACTTGCCATTTATGATTGATGTGACATTATGTCAACTGCTTTAGGCCGACGCACAGGTACATCGACAGACGCCGGATTGCAACGCGTGATGTTCCGGGGCGACGACCCCTTTTGTGTTGCATCGTCTGCACTCGAGGTTTGATGCCGGCCCCATTCTTTCACATGTGGTTTGCTCCTCCACTTGGTCTGTTTTCGAAACCCATTGTGGGTCGACCGTTTTGGGGAAGGAAAAAGTTGCTCTTCACGGCCTGCCTAGTGTCCTATTGTGGGCTGTCAAACTCAATTTGATGGCCTACTCTGGTAAGCACAGCCGGTAGTTGGCGTTTCACGCCCGCCGATCCCACTTACGAGGTACCTTGCCCACAGGGTAATACATACCGGCGATTAATAAGTATCGCATTCGCCGCTGCCACTAGCATCATGGACATTTCCGCGTCGCGTCGTATGGCATGCCTCAACCAGATATGTCACCCAATGTGGACCCCATCTGAACTATCAAGGACATTCCCTGTAGGGAGCCCCTCGACAAACACAACGGCGGGGATTGGACTGCGGCCCCCTCCAGGGGCGGGCCGGCATCGAAAAACAAGGACTGGGAAGATTGGCGAGACTGGTAGACTCGGTGTCTGGTATTTTCGCTTCTTATTAAGCGAAGGGAAAAATGTCTCCACGGTTTCCAGGATCGAGGCAAGTTGCACTCTTGCAAGCCAGCGACCGTGCGCCGCCGACAAAGCCCACCTTCTCGGCCCTGACAAGAAGATCAGCGTTACGCCGCCTCCCCCGGCGGGATTACGACCTGATCTCGAGCTTGTCGAGGCACAATACATGTCTTTGTCTCCCCCCCAATCTCCATATGACAACTGGATTCCTCCCCGCGGGTCTTATTCATCTGTTGTCGCGAACACGAGGTCTTTTTCACAGCTCCTGCTTCGGCTTTGGCTGTCATCAGTCAACAAACGCATGACCGCATCTCCGCCAACGCCAATTCGAAGGTCTACTGCTCGCCGGGGGACAAGATGAGGGCACAGAACCTCGTTACGATGGCGACTACCGTCGACGCCAGCGAGGACACCGGGCCAACGCAGATCAGCACGACGACGATTCTGCTCGTCCTCGCCACGGTATTTGTAGGACTGCGATTTTGGGCTCGACACTACGTGGCTGCGCATTATGGCCCAGACGACTGGTTGATTGTGGCAGGATTGGTGAGTTGTGGCGCACGGGATCGCTGCAGTGACGGGAGATCTACTAGTCTAGTGGTTATGCTAACCCAAGATCGTCAGATTTCTGTGTTCGTGATCGGCGGCCTAAACTACGGCAGTAAGGACACCATGCCTTTTCCGAATTAATCGAACTCGCCTCATTCACTGTTACCAACGGCTAGCTGACTTTTACTCCCCGAAATCTAGTGGTCCACTACGGTATGGGCCGGCACGCGAGCACCCTCAACCTCGACATGATAGAAAACGTCCTCAAGCACCTACTCGGCTTCGAGTGCATGTACGTCACGGCGGTGGCGCTCATCAAGTTCTCGCTGCTGGCCATGTACCTGCGCATCTTCCCCAGCCGGGGGTTCAAGATCGCGGCCTACATCATCGGGGGCACCGTGGCGGCGTGGTGGATCGCCATCGTCCTCGTCTGCATCTTCCAGTGCAACCCCATCTACGTCGCCTGGGAGCCCTGGATGCCGGGGCAGTGCATCGACCTCAAGGGCTCCTTCATCGGGAACGCGGTGCCCAACATCGTCACCGACATCGCCATCCTCATCATGCCCGTGAAGCAGGTCTGGGCGCTGCAAACCGCGCCCGCGCAGAAGATCTCGCTGATCTGCACCTTTGGCCTTGGCAGCTTGTGAGTTGGACTCCCCGATAGGGATTCCCTCTGATGGAGTCACACGACCGATGCTAACATCTCACAGCGTTCTCATCGCGAGTATCTACCGATTCTCAACAATCATGCAGTTCGACCCGAACGACACGACCTGTAAGTGCCCAGCGCGAACTTTTGTGTCCTTATATGTGTAAATACTCACAACAGACGTAGTCACCCTCGCAACAGCATGCACCTGGTGCGTAGTCGAGTGCGCATGCGGCGTGATATGCGCATGCCTGCCGACCCTGCGGCCCCTCGCCAAGAAGGTGTCGAGCCATTTCGGCAGCACGCAGAACAAGTCGCGGACGACCAAGTCGGGCAGCCGGGCGACGGAGCTCGTGACCATCGGCGGCGGCAACTCGCACATGAACAGCAGGGCCATGACCAAGAGCCCCTTCCAGAAGCTCGGCAGCAAGGACGGCGAGTACGGGATGTACCCGGGAGAAGAGGACCTGTCGACGCCGACGCCCGGGGAGTTCGGCGGCGCCAACGGCAACAACGGCGGCGGCGGGATCGTCAGGACGACCGATGTCACCGTGACCACGACGACGCACGGGTACGCGAGCTCCGGGGACAGCGGGACGATCCCGGATCGGACTAGGAGCCATGGGTTTGAGCAGCAGGGCAAGGGGTTCGTCTGATGTTTCCGGACTGCCGTGTAAGATGTGGCGGCATCGGGTTGGGAAAAAAAAATAAGTAATCACATAATAATATGCTGGAGCAATCTTATGTCTTCAAAGGGTAGCGAGCAGCTTGACACGAATGCAATGAGTAATGATCAATGTCGCAGGCCCCTTTTCAGACGCTCAACAAACCGAAAGTTCGATGATTCTTGGCCGTGAGGTTTGCCGTGAGGTTTGCACTGCGTGTGATTGATCCCGCTCAATTGAGTTGCGCGCTCTGCAGGCACGAACATTACTTTTGCTGGTGGCGTGCTGGGGCTTGTTAGCTGCCAAAAAGGTGCAAGTGGATCTGTTTGCCATGCTGTATCAACCGTTTTGGGTTTGAGCGATAGCACAAAGTCATTCCGTCTTACATGTCAATTCCGACGCGTCGTAAGCAACTCCGAGTCCTTCAAATATTGAGTGAGACATAACACCCCGCTCTCAGCCACAATTGACAAAAAAAAAAAAAAAAAAAAAAAGTCACGACTGCTTCACATTCTCCAAAATCTCAATCAGTTGTTTTGAGCTTGACCAGCCAGCCAGGTTTGATCTCACCCATGTTCAAGTACCACGGCATGCATTATCCTAGCCCACTTCGGCGCCTCGGTGTGGTGCCTGGCCTGGTGCGCCTGATAGCCCTCATCCTAGAAGTCCTCAGTTTCGTCCTCCTGTGCCTTCGTCACGATCCTGAGTATCAATGGACCACCAGCTATGTGATAGTGAGTCTTCTGGTCGCATGCTTGGCACGCGCATCCTGACTAAATATGTTTTCATAGCTCGTCTATCTGATCCTGGTAGATCTGGTGGAGATCGCCTGCCTGTGCGGACAGGCTCGAGGATGGTTCATCTCTGCCCTGCCGATTTTGATAGCGGGCGATGCCATCGGCGCTCTTGTTCTGGTCTGCTCGAGGGACTGGTACGGACTGTGGTATTGGCACGGGCCTTGGTACGCAATGCAACACCAGATCGGGTCTGGATTGTTCTTTGCCTTACCGTAGGTCATCTAAGTCGACTGGAAACAGTGGAAATACGCATGCTAACGTTTTTCACTGTCTAGAATTCTCCGCTTCATCCTGCTCACCCTAGCCATATTTGAGTACAAGTATGAGACTGATGAGGACCGGGTATTGGCAGCCGAGAGAGAGGGCCTCTTGCCTCGGTAAAGTCTCGAAATATTCAATAAACGATTCGAAAAGGTTTTCGGTAAACTCGCCGTTGATCGGCTGATAGAATCTCTGAATCACGCAACTTGGAGGCCTGAGGGGAGCTGGAGAAGGTTGATTACGCGTATGGGACCCGAAGTATTGGAAGTGCTTTCTAGACCTGAACCAGCATGATCGCTGAATTCTAAATATATCGAGCCAGGAGCGGAAATGGTGGACAAATCTTGATTCAAGATTAACAAGATCTTCAAATTGATATTGATGGGTCTCAATCCCCTGCGTAGATTGACGACCCATGCTTCGGAAGCATTTGCGTAAAGCAATCGGAGTATTTACCCGAAGAATTTCCTCAATTGGTGAACATCGTCAACGGAGTAGGCCGAGGCCTGAAATGCTGTGGCTTCACGCAATCATTTTATCCCTTTACCGAGGAAGCAATGAACTTCGATGCGCTGTTGAGCTTTGCCCAGATTGGGCTCCAAAGCCACATGAAGCAGCCCAGGATAATCCATTCGGCGGCCCAGTACATTTTCAAAATAGCAGTGTTAGGCTCTTCGTTAGAACATCTGAAGAAACACTTCTTATAGGCCATGGAATATCTTCTGGGGTATAATGTGCTTACAGCAATTTGTCATGATCCATCTGGTGCCGCTGAGGCTCATCACTGATGCCAGACATATCATTCCCATAATGGACCTAGAGTCCATACCGATTGGGGAGGAACCACCGGCTTGGCGTAAGCTTCGTCCTGTAACGTTCTCATTGGAGATGATCTTGCGCGGAATTTGGAGATAATTCACCTGCATGCTGCTTGGTAAGTTTACATACAGTGTTGATTCGCTCGAAGACTCCAGGGTTCCCTAATGCCTCGGGTATAAGATACCCCGTTTCCGTGAGGCTCTAGATACTCTCGACCCACCGGAAAAGAAGAGGGGAAGGCAACGCAACTCAGATTTCTGACGCCGGGATCTCAAGGCCGCTAGCAAATCCTCATCAATTGACAAGCGCTGTCAGACCTTCAGCTGAATCCAATCGACTACAATCCAAAGCATAGCCCTAAGGGGGTTTCCTTTAAAAATGTCAAACAAGCCCGAGCGAGTGGCTGTCATCACGGGTGGATGTAGGTTCTGCATGATTGCATTAACAAGCTGAAATCAACTAGTGTCAATTCTCACAATCCAAAATTACAGCTCGAGGCATGGGTCTCGCAGTCGCCCAGGCTCTAGAAGCAAGAGGCGGATGGAAGATCAACTTAATCGACATCAAAGATGACGAAGGCAGACAGGCTGCAGATTCGCTTTCAAACACAACCTACCACAGAGCTAATCTGCTCAACTACGACGAGGTCACAGCCGCATTCAAGACCGCCTTCACTGCCGGCAACAACAGGTTGGACTTCGTGTTCGCGAACGCCGGGGTCATCGAGACTTCCAACTTATTTACGAAGCACGACAGTCTCGACGGTCCTCCACCGCCGGACTTGACCGCGGTCGAAGTCAATCTGAAAAGCTGCATAAATGCGGTCCACGTGGGACGTCATTACATCAATCTGTCGCCTGCCAAAGGCTCTATCGTGATCAATGCCAGCTGCTCAAGCTTTTGGCCAACATACTGGGCCCCAATTTACACGGCATCAAAATGTATGCCACAGTGTCCTCCCCTTATCCGTGTTGCTTGGAAAGCTTGCTAACGGAACATCTCGCTTTGAAGTCGGGGTCCTGGGATTCATGCGTTGTGTCGCGGATTGCTACAAGACCGAGGGAATTCGCGTCAACGCTCTTTGCCCGGGGGCAGTGAGGACGCCTATTGTCTCAGATAAGGCTTGGGAGGCGATGCCGGAGGATGTCTTCACCCCGCTGGAGCTCATCGCCGAGACCGTGCTGAAGCTGGCTGGCGGGAACGAGATTGTCGACGCCAACGGTACCAGAGCTGGACCCGGTGAGCTCTATGGGAAGGCCGTGGTGGCAAGCGGCAAGAACATCTACATTCAGCCCGATACTCCGTACTGCGACGATGTTTTGGCGCGGACAATTGAGAGTACCAAGATGGACAAGCAAACAGCTGTATAGTTTTGCAACTAGTCAGTCAGAGGTTCTTTTGGACATGGATGGTCGAAATCCCAGTCCACTCTTTCAAACTACCCGCATGATATCACAGAAGCTTCTTGATGGATGGATGATCAGTGCCTTACTTTGGCACAAACCATATCCTATGTATAGACTAGTGCGAGGAACCAGAAAACTTTCCCGAACTATATCGGAGACTCGGGAATATCGAATTGTTCGTCTCGCTCCCGGGGGAGAGCGACGGCCTCGATCAACATTCATCCAATGTCATCTCCACCCACACGTCACTGCGGATTTGGTCTGCGTATAGACCATTGCTTGAAGTCTGCTGTCTTCGAGGCAAGAGATCGACGAACTAAAAGGCAGAGAGAGTCTAACTACAACCCGATTCGAGTCAATACTCAGGCCTGCCGTCAAAGCGTCCAAAAAGCAAACAATGTTAGCTGGAAAGTCAAATTTCTCCATTTTCCCCCAACCGCCATAGTCACGCACTATTGGACCTACAAGCTTTCGGTACCCCGGAACGCTGTCGAGTTCTCCCCCACATGGTGAGGCTTTTTAAAGCGCGCCGGCGGCGAATCAGATGAAGAGGCAACGGAGCGATTGTGGGCTGCCCAGACGAGGCCTGGTGTCTGCAGCAAGTTCATTCGGCCAGGTGGGGGAGGGTCAGGAACTTACCGAAATTTGAACTTTGAGCTTGCGACTTGGGATGAGCGGATGTAGTGAAGCATCAGGTCAGGGCCAATGGCCCGCTCCCGAGATCATGCATACCCAGATCTTTCTTCGTTCTTGCGGGCTGCGTCTACAGTGAAGCGGTACAGTGACCTCATTTACCATCTTCGTTCATCTGGATGTACAACGAATGCCCTAAATTGGGTCACGCCAAAGGAATTTCACTCGAGCAAACAAGACACTTAGACGGAAGCCAGCGAGAAACAACGGCAATTTGGCCCCAGCGACGGTGAAAACCTGGCCGTCCCTTCAACAGACGCAACAGCTCAAGTGCCGGAGATTCCGTTTCCAGACCAGCCAGAATGGAAGTCAACCATAATACACATCAGCAGCTGGCAGTTGGCATAACATCTGGCCTTTTATTTTTGACGACCGTCGTCGTGGCGATACGCCTGTATATCCGATGCATCCTTTTGAAAGCCGGCTCGGCGGGTTGGGATGATCTGACTGTCAGCATCGCATGGGTTGGTATCTCCTGAAGGCCCTCGCCCCTTCCGCTAGGCAGGAATAGCTTGGCTAATGAAAGCCGGACAGGTGATGGCACTTGGTGCTTCTATAGCTACATATTTTGGTAGGCATACAACCTCACATCTGGACGAAGCGCGACTGACACCTGCTATCAATGTAGAAATCAACTCAGGCCTGGGCCGACACATCTCAGAGCTCACCAAGGAGCAGATTCACAATTTTGAGACGTCGCTTTTCATAGTCATCCAGTTCTACAGCGTGGGCCTCAATATTGTCAAGATTTCATTTTTAATTCAGTTCTACCGCATCTTTCCCGACCGACGAATCCGACAAATATGCGTCTACTTCGCTTTCTTCTCCTTTCTGTGGATGATTGGGCAGAATATTCTCTACGCTCTCAGTTGCGTTCCAACGACTGGCGTGGTGAATAATCCACACCTGAAAGACATCTGCGTTCCGACGCTTCCAGTCTGTAAGTCAGATTCTCCAATATTATACTGATCCGGCATTGTGCAACCTGTCTTACGTGAGGTCTGAATCTGTGTTCACTTCACAATGTGGCGGACACATAGGAAACATGAGGGAGCTAACACCAAGTTTCTAGGGACCGCTATTTCAAGTATCAACGTCTGTACGGACCTGATCATTTTCTCAATCCCCATGCGGCCGCTCTGGGTTATGCCCTTGCTCCAGCGGCAGAGATACCTGCTCATCGGCATTTTCTGCTTCGGCTTCGTCGTGGTCATCATCTCGATCGTACGGATCCCGACACTGCGCCACGGCGCCTCATCGCCGGACCCGACATTCACCAACGTCCAAACCGCGCTGTGGTCCCTCGCGGAATTGGAAACCGCCATCCTATGCACCAGCCTGCCAATTCTGCGGCCGCTTGTGGCGCGCTTCATGCGAGGGGTCGCCCCACCAGACGCGGCGGATGGCCAGATGAAAGGCCCGCATGGACAAGGCCAGAACGTCGAGGAGGTCCGGCGCGGCCCCAGGCAGCTACCAGGGGAATCTCTGTTGATACCTACCGAGATGACCGGCTCAACGCTGAAATCCGCGACGCAACAGTTCAAGTCCAAGACCAGCACAATTGACGAGGAGGAGGTTTGTCCTCCACCATTGCCCTCAAACGACCTGAGCAAATGGCCACCCAGAGTATCCGAGCGTGAAGAGCGGCTCATCCCTAGCCCGCTGGGGTCAAATCCTCCTGATTCCATCAAAGATGTCGTTTTGCGCTCTTCGATTGGGCCCTTACGCTCACCCACGTACGACGAGATGCTGCCGCCTCACTTCCTGGAGAACGGGGCGCCCATACGCAAAGCCAAGATGGCCACGAGAGGTACGCAGACCTTCATCACGTGGGATCCGCTCGTGGATCCATTCCAAGTGCCAGAAGCGATTGAGCCACCGGGTCCCAAGGAGATAGACCTCGAAGCAAACAGAGCCGCGGTGAGAGTTGTTCATGAGGGAGAGCGTGTAGACAGGGCTGGCGAAGCGCAGGAAACCGTTTCGCCGTTGGTGTCTGACGCCCGTGACCGCAGAGAGAATCCGGAGACCCGGAGCGTGGCGAGTCGGTCGACTCGAGGTAATCGGAGAGCTGCTGGGATGTCGTGGCTGCGGTTATCGGGCGACTCTGGTTTCAACAGTTCGACGTATTGGGAGCGTTAGAAGCCTCCAGGTTGCTCCCACAAAGGCTCTTGAGGCGTCTCGGATGCAGAAAGGAATTGAGTTATTAGACTGCGAATAGGATGGAAATCAGACTCTTAGATATCGTGCGATTTCATGTGCTCGGGTCTGACGTTAGCTGTCGTTGCTTTCACAGCAGGTTCCAGGAGGAGGCTTTGCCACTCTCCCAGCATAGCCTCAGCCTCCTTCACATCCTCACTCGACCGTATGCCGTCGATCGCGAAGCGCACAAGACGGCGAGCCAGCCGATAGGCTGGATGATATGCGCATCGAACATACTGAGGACCGGCAGCAGTTTCAAACACCGTTTTCAGCTCTTTCTGCTCAGGGGTCGCGGGCTCCTCATTGGCCAATCGCTCATCCTCGTGTTCGTCCTCCTGCCAGTCCCATATCCACATAGGTGGAGCGCAAGACATGAATGCTGGAGCCAGAACGGCACTGTCCCAGTCCAGGATACCGCTTATGATCTGACCGTCCGGCGGTGACTCCAGATCGGCCAGGATATTGCGAGGCTCAAGGTCGAGGTGCGAGAGCGCGAAATGACCATCCACTTCCTTGAAGTAGCCAGCTGCATCCATTTCGGAAACCATTTTGCAGACTCGGTCGAAAAGATGCGGCCTGAGGGTGTCACTGGGCACGCTCTTTCGGAGTTCTGTCTTCTGCTCTTGGAAAGTCCGCCTTAGTAGCTCAAGAACGGAGTCACCGGAGCGACCGGAGCGATATGGAGCAGACGTCCGTGGCTTCTGCTCACCCGTGAAGAAGATCGATGCACGTGGATCCCAGGATGTGACGTGGATCTCTGCATGAAGAGACTTGTTGTCCTCCGGAAGTACCAGTCTTCCAGCGTGCGTGCTCCATACGGAGAGCATCCGGCGATAGACATGGCCAAGGTCGCGTGCGACTCTCCGCTGCTTCTCATGCCCAAGCTGAGGGTAGATATGGACAAGGGGCTGGCCGGGTAGGCGCTTCTGAACCATAAAGCATGACCCAAGACAGTTGTTCTCCGTTTCGTCGAATGCAATGATCTCCGGGACCGAAATCTCAGGAACCCTGGGGCAGAGCTCGATCTCTGGGAGGCGTTTGACAAACAGAAGCACAGCGACATCATCGTCAACTCGAGCATCTTTGAAGCGTGGGATCCGCAGAATGTAATTGGAAACTGTCTCCGAAGTTCTTTTCTCCGTGGGTGGGCTGCTTGTCAAATCCTGGTCCTTTCTTTGGCTGCTCGTGAAGGTCAGGCCGATGACCCGATTGAAGGTACCACCATGAAGACGCTCGACAGTGATCTCATCCTCGTCATATGAAGGAAGCCAAGTGCAGGAGCGAGTGAAAGCTAAAACCTTGGCCTGAAACTGAGCGAAGCTCTCATGGTCGTAGATAATGGTCGATGATTCTGATTGTGCATCTGATGATGAATCTGATGAGCCAGACTCTGGGGACAATGCCATATTTGTTTTCTCTGTGCTGGGTATGTTCGCAACGCGTCTTTTTCTGTGGCGTAGGGGAGGTAGAGGGGTTTTCAAATTTATGTTGCAGTGAGGCCAAGCTGCGGCTACGTTTGTACCCAGAGTTTGGAGCTGTCAAGGCTCCATAATCAGTTTGTAATGTCAAGAAAGGAAAACTTGTCAGAAATGGCTTCAGGCAGCAACCTCAACCTTTGTCCGAGGTGCCACAATGGGCCTAACCATGTTATGTACAGTGAATGGAAGGGTGCAGTGAATGGAGGCAATGTGCAAACAGAAAGGGTGCCTGCCCTTTGGCCCTTCCACAGTCATAATCCTGCCCATACAAACACTTGGAGCAAACACGTCAATTTTTATCAGCTCCAGTCACCTTTCCACTTCCGGACCGAGATGGAAGACCAAGAAAGTATCAAAAGACAGAACATGTAGAAGCAATCAAATGGTAAAGCAAAATCGTAAGAGTGTGTCAAGAAAGTAACTAGGGAAAGAGTAAGAGCACTACAAAATGTGTTGTTTACTCATTTGTCTGTCCTTGCAATCTAGGAACTCTGAACTGAATTCTCATAGCTTGAATTAAATGATAACATTGATATCAAAATGCACGTGCTATTATATACCCGTAATTTCCTAATGATTGTGAACTTTACATAATTAGCTTCCAATTTGTTTTTGGTTCATGCTATAGCTACGGATTTAAAAACTTCCTCGATTAGAACCCGAGTAAACACAACCCGCTTTCGCGTGTTGCATAACCTCTTGCAGTTAAGTTAGTGATGCTGAGAATTTGTAGCACTTATCTTAATTGCATGTAGCGTTTCCAATTTAGACCGGCAACACCACTTTAGCTGTCCTCCGGCATAAGCAAGCGTACTTCTCGCATCGTGAGTATTATAGCCTACTTTTGCTTGCCGCCCGGAAAGATACGCCAGCTAATAGATAGGTGATCCTTCTCGTCTATTAACTATGTTCATTTTTTTTTCTGCGCGCGAATGTCACGAGAGGTCATTCAGAGACAAAGCAGCTGTCCTCAATACGTCACTTCAAGTTATGTCAGCGCTACCTTCTATCTAAGCTACACACGCACACGCAATTCAGCGAATGTCGTGCCCGAGCGAGTGAGTGATAAAAATGACGAATACAACTTCACCCAAAATGCCGAACAGCCGTATCAACTTCCCCGTATCGCCTAGGCTGTCGCTCGATGCGGAAGGTGACTTCCGGCGTGCACCAATAGGCTTCGGCATAATTCGCATGCCCGCAGGTGTTCCCACACGCAAGGGCCATATCACGGTTCTAAGCCAGTGTTGTGAAGCACCCTTGCAAAGTAACTTCCATGCTAAGGCGCTATTGAAGCTTACCGAGAAGTCACTCATGGGAAAGGACCCACTTTAGAGCCTTAAAAAGTTAAAACACTGGCCAGTGTTAAAAAACGCTATTAATTAAGCGTTTTAAAAAACGACATTTTTATAAAATTTTAACATTTTAAAGAGGAAAAATAACATAAATCGTTGCTAAAAAAGGTTACGGCGTGAATGGAGATTGCGGTGAGTCTCAAGGTACTTCCCAAGTCCGCGTTTGAAGACCAAATGCACCCCATGGTTGAAATTTAATTCCAGATTGAGTATAGCGCCGCGGTATGCTTTAGAACACTGCCTCGTTTTGGAATCCGTGATCTGGGCCTAAAAGACTTAATTGCCATTGAGGACTTCCAAATGGTGTGCCAAGATTCTCACCCCTTCGACTGGCCTCACTCCATAGTGAGGCTCTTCTTTAGCGACCATGAGGTGGTCTTCGTTCGTGTCTGTATCGGCAGTCCTGTCGACAACTGCAGCGGTAGTGCCCTTCACACATGGCGTCCACGAGCAACGCGATGTTCACTCCTCCCGATGGACGAAGCTGGGCCGTGTAAGGCCTGAAGCTATCCTACCAGTACGAATCGCTCTAGCACAGAACAATCTCGATAAGGGCCATGAGTATCTGATGGACGTAAGCCATCCTTACTCTCCCAACTATGGAAAACACTGGACTGCCGACGAAGTGATCGAAGCGTTCAAACCAAACGATGCAGATGTTGAAGTCGTCCGGGATTGGCTTGTGGGGTCTGGGATTCCTGTCGAGACCATCACTCATTCGGATAATAAAGCAGTAAGTATGACTGACTCAAACGTTGGGATTGGCATATTGCAAAGTGGCATCGTAACTCATGGTATCATGTCAATTTTGACGCCTCTGCTGCAAAGACCTGATTCTAGAAATCACTAAATGCACTCAATGCCATATTCGTGTGCTGCAGATGTACAAGGAAAAACGGTTTTTAGTCATCAGAAGCAAAATGATCCCACAGCTCTGACTGATTTCGATTCTTTTTTTCTCTGCAAATTAGCATGGGATCGGGGACTGAGAGCATGCAGAGATCTCAGCACAACCTTTCTCTTGCAGAGATGTCAGATTGACGAAAGATTTACCTTGAGTTGAAGCGTCATTTTGCAATACACCAAGACCCACACTTTGGTCAAGACTGTGCTGATAACTGCCAAGTGGCTAGCATTCCACGCCTCAACCAGCGAGGTCGAAAAACTCTTGTACACCGAATACCACGAATACCAAGACCGCCGCACAGGTGGCGTGATGCCCGCCTGCCACGCCTACCACGTCCCCAAAAACGTCCAACCCCTGATCGACTACATCACCCCCGGCATCAAACTCCTCGCGCCCACCGACGAGCTCACAGAGCAAGGCCGACAACTCCTGGAGAAGCGTGGCTACCCAGCCCCTCCAGGCTCCGGGTACCCCCCCGGCAAGCCCGCGCCCAAGCGCGCGACGAAATGGCGTCCGAGCCCCCCGGGATATTCTTTAACGGCCCATGGAGGCCACAATCAGTCAGACTTGAGTACGTGTGATGTTGTTATCACGCCGGCGTGTGTGGCGGCACTGTACCACATCCCGCCGGCGCCCGAGCATGTGGATCCGAGTAATACGATGGGGATTTTTGAGGCTGAATTGCAGTATTGGGATCAGCTTGATCTTGACTTGTTTTTCACGAATTTCACGCACTGGATTCCGAATGGTACGCATCCGATTGATCACAATGTTGATGGCGGTGTGGCGCAGACGGCGAATGTGTCTGAGGCAGGTGGTGAGTCGATGATGGATCTTGAGGTAAGAACGCCATGATTTACAGTGACCGCAGACGTGAAAGCTGACGATACGACAGCTTGCGTACCCCATCGTATATCCTCAAACGATCACGGTCTGGAATGTCGACGACATTCATTACCAGACCTGGGAAAATGATACGTATACCTGGGGCTTCAATACGTTGCTCGACGCCATTGATGGATCGTACTGCACCTACTCAGCGGATGGAGAGACTGGTGACTTGGTATGACCTTTGGACAATTCCCAGATTTTAGGCAGCCGGTGCTAATAAATTTCACCTCAGGCCAATTGGGATCCAACGTACCCTGATCCAGGTTCGCAGTCTCCGAAAGCACAAGCCATCACACACCTCTGCTAACACCCTCGCAGGTCCAGACGGCTACAATGGCAGTCTCCAATGCGGCGTCTTCAAACCCACCAACGTCTTCTCCATCTCCTACGGCGGGCAAGAAGCCGAAGTGCCCATCGCATACCAGAAACGCCAATGCAACGAATACCTCAAGCTCGGCCTGCAGGGCGTCTCGTTCCTCTTCGCGTCCGGTGACTCCGGCATAGGGAACTACCCCGAGCCGTACGGCGACGATGGCCCCACTGGCTGCCTGGGACCGGAGCACAACATCTTCAATCCCACGTGGCCGAATAATTGCCCGTACGTTACAAATGTGGGCGCGACGAAGGTGTACCCGGGAAAGACGGTCTTCGAGCCCGAGAGTGCGGTTTACGACCCAGCCGGACATCCTCACGGCGTCAATTATAGCTCGGGCGGCGGGTTCAGTAACGTCTACCCTATCCCGGACTACCAGAAGTCGGCCGTGGCAGCTTACTTCGCCGACCACGACCCAGGCTACCCATACTACAGCGGTCTCGCACAGCTCGACCCAGGCGACGTCTATGCTCTCCCCAACGTAACCCTTCTCGCGGGAAACACGGGGGGGATCTACAACCGCATCGGCCGCGGGATCCCGGACGTCGCAGCCAACGGTGACAACATTGCCGCCTGCGCCGGAGGCGAGTTCGGCCTCTCGAGAGGCACGAGCGCGTCGGCGCCCATCTTCTCTGGGATCATCAACCGCATCAACGAGGAGCGGATTGCGGTGGGCAAGGGCCCGCTGGGGTTCTTGAACCCGGCGTTGTATGCCCATCCGGAGATATTAAATGATATCACGAACGGCACGAATCCGGCGTGCGATGAGGGAGGGTTCTACGCGGTGAAGGGCTGGGACCCAGTGACGGGGTTGGGGACGCCGAATTTCCCCAAGATGTTGGCATTTTTTATGGGTTTGCCGTAGCGGCTCGGGCCCCAGCGGAACGCGATGTTGGTGAGCGTGCTCGGTGTGGGCCGGTTCTTATCGTGTAACACAGATGATCGTGGATAATCCAGTGACCACAAGGCTCGCGGAGCAGTGCCCGCCCCCACACAGGAAGTCGTCCTTGTGCTCTCAAGCAGATCCAGCGCTGCTGAGTTCCCATTCAGCGGCTTCGTCATCCATTATTGTCGCCCAGATATAGTTTTGCATGCGGCGAAAATTGGCAACTTTGAAATTAGCGGAGTGGGCCTTTCCGTGATCTAAACCCAGACTCGGGCAACATCTGTATTGATGGGGTCGATATTACACAAATTACTCCCGAGAATCTGAGGCGTCGCCTTATTGCGGTTCATTAGGAGCCAGCGCTTTTCCCCGAACTTTGCGGACGAGAATCAACCTCGATTAATACCAGGATTTGCTGGCCACCAGAACATCAACGCAGCATTTTAACGATAGTCTTCTTGAGACGCTAATACAGGTCTTTCTTTGGCTAGCCATATCCTTATATGGAGACCTAGACATTGAAATATTAGATTTATTAGTAGGGTCTAAATTGTGGGCGCTTTATAGTGCTGATGCACCAGAAATGGCTGGCCTGGAAGAGGGGGTGGTTAGAATCAGGGCCGGAGACGTTACACTGTTCTCTCCTTCCTATTGTCGAAACGTACCCACCGCAGAGAATAAGCGGCATAGACAAAAGCCCCCGATCCAGGCGCAATCAAAACCCGAGCAATAAGCCCCCATGACGTAGAAAAGAGCAAGAAGCCTCTCTCGTCACCACCGATGCGCACGATCCCCAACTCCAAAGCCCCCGGATCTAGGCCAGTGGGGACGTAGGAGAGAGGCATACCGAGCCGCCCTTCGCTCCCCCCCCCCTCCCCCCACACACACCCGCCGGCAAGCAGGACCCGGATCGCCCCCAACCCCTCCATCCCAAGTCCGCAAGCGTCCGAACATATATCCCAGCAATAGACTACTAACCCACCACCGAAGATAAGAAAACGGCCCAGGAACCCGCACCAGAAGAGGGAGGGCATGGGGCTACTCCTAGGCTGAAACAAGGACGGCAGGGCGAAGGAGAAAGGGCATAGAGAGAAGAAACAGGCACGGATATGCGCGCGCGCGCCCCCCCCCCCTTCTAGATCACTACGTACCTACCCCCCCGGACACCTATCATCCGGTAAATCGGTTAATGACAAGCGCCTCTGGCGCGCGCGCCGATTGCGAGGGCTACTGTAAGGGGGACAGGGGCGCGTTTTTATAAAAAAAAGGGCTGAGACGGGACGTCAGGGCGCGGGGAGTAAGTATGCTCCTGATCTGCGGGATGTTCCCGGCTAGGTCGATCTTGTGTGCGTCACTCGGTTCGTAGGCCCCGTTTGTCTCTGGATTGGTGAGACCTGGCCTGGCCTGGCCTGGCCTGCTCGGTAAAGTCCGCGCTGAGGGAGAGACGTGAGGTCAGGTGACGTAAATAGAACAGACTCACGATGGAGGTTGAGGTTACGGATGGGACATGGTCACAAGGCCGGATGGAGCAAAGACGAAAGAATATTGTTTGTGTGTGTGTGTGTGTGTGTTCATTCTGATTATCTATTCTCACTACCAAATAGAGCCAGGTCATCCTAAGTATGTATGTATCTGACCAGCCAGAGCCCAGGGAATCAATCCCAGTGGGGAGAGTCCACAAGCAATTGCCCCGAAAAACAAGAGTAGCCCCAGATGCGACAGGCCAGGATATCGTAGAGCAGGGAAGGAAAAAAGGAGACGCTTGGGTAGTAGGGGGAATCAATCTAGTCCGTGACAAAGGCGTGCAGCAGCACCTGAAACACAAAGGCCGTGAGTCAATGGGGTATGCAGTATGTATGCAGCGACCGGTTGAAAAGCACCCAGAAAAAAAAAACACAAGCGGACCAGATAAACAGTCGCTAATAAGTGGCGTCTTCCTGACATGAAGAAGTATGATGAGCCGGCGCCGGGATAAAGTAATAGATTAACTCCGTGCAGAATGCATGCAGGCCCTGGGCGAATGCAAGGCCGAGTGAAATGCGGCACACCGCAGAGACGGAGCCTCGTCGTGGTTGTCGCCTTCCCCAATAGTATCGTACTGTACAGAGGCGAACGTGTTGTTGTGTGGTGTCGTGTCGTGTCGTGATGCGGTGTGGTGTGGTGTGGGGTGTAGGGATCGCCCGAGGTACCCGTCCGTCTAGTGTCTATGCGTCTATGCTTGTATAGAACATCTAGAGTCTATCGTCTTGTATTGGTCTTTGGTCGTGGCTCTCTGCCTGTCTCGTCTCTGTTTGTTGCCGAGACAGACAGAGGGTTCGGTCTATCGGTGTAACGAGCAGCCTCTTCCGACGCCCCGAGATGCGGCCCCCTCATTCTCTGTCCCTCTCTCTCCCTGTGTGGCTTTGTTCTCCTCCGCGCCCGTGTACAGCCCATCCTCCCTCCCATGTGTACACGGCCATTGGCTCGGCTTTGGGGTGGCGCTTGGTGGGGGAGGATGCAGGAGGACAGGGCGGGAATCGTGACGTGGTTTCGGGGTGTTCTTTGGGCGGGCGTCGACGTCAGGGGAAAGAGGGGCGGGAGCTCGCATGTTGGTCGAAGGGAGGGGACCACGGAAGCAAGCAAGGTGTCCCGTCCCGCCTTTCGCCAAGGCTGTCGTGCAGCGATTGTGGCGTTCTGCCGACGGGCTGCTGCATGCGCTGTAATGTGTGTGTGCCTTGTGTGCGTATGCAATGCATCTCGCAGACACTTACCCACACGTACACAGCGCCGGAGTCCGACGATGCGTGCCTCGGTGGTGTGCGTGGCGAGCGACCACCTGGCATCACTCAGTCCAGGGTGAGAGCCAGCCAGCCATCTATTCGTGATTGCGTGGCAGTTGGTGTAGGCGGCACGTTCATTTCTTCTTGTCGCTCTTCTTGTGGTGGTGCTTGTGGCCGTGGCCGTGCTTGTGGTGGTGGCCACCGCTGCTCGTGGGTCCAGATCCGGAGCCGGGAGCCGAGGTGGGCTCGTAGTAGGAGGCGCGCTGGCGGGTGCGGCCGCGGTGCTCGTCGTGCGAGTCGAAGCTGGAGCTGCTGTAGCGGCGCAGGTCCTCCTCGTGCCAGTCGGACAGCGGCTTGCCGCCAAATGTGAGCTCGTCGTCCTCGATGGGGATGACCTTCATCCAGGTTGCCTGGGCGGGGGCGTCGTAGTAGTAGGCGTGCTGGTAGGGCGACGAGGCGGTGGACGAGTAGGCGCTGCCGCGCGATGACTGTTGAGACGACATTATGTTGATGTTGTGTTGTGTATTATCGAAGTCGAGTTCGGGTGGTGAGGTCGAGGAGGCGGAGGTGGAGGGGGGAGGCGGATGTTTATGTGTTTGTGTTTGGTTGTTGGTGGTGGTGGTGTTGCTGACTGCAGAAGGCAGCGGTGTTGTTATTGTGGCTTCGCCGAGGCAGGGCAGGGCGGAAGGCCTTTTTTCAGGTCGGGTGGAGCCTGGCTGGAAGCTGAAGGATCGCGATGTGGTGGGCGATGTGGAGCGAGGGGGAGGGGGTGCGAGTGGGGGGTGCGCTGTGGGGTTGGGGTACAGGGGGTCTGCAGTTGCAGTTGCAGTTGCAGTTGCAGGTGCGGCTGCAGCAAAAGCACATGCACCTTCCAGCTGTCGCCGGGCTTTGTTTCTTGTGTCCCTATTTTCGTGTGGAGGCGAGCCGGTGCCACACATGCATCGATGATGATCCGCTGAGTAAGATCAGAGACAGCAGATGAGATCAGATGCACTCTGTCTTCGTGTGATCCCAAAAGCAGGGTGTCGAAGAGGGAAGAGATGGGCAGGCAGCAGACTGCGTGTTTTGAGGACAGGTGACAGATGACTTGACTGTTGAACGCGTCAAAAATCAAGGAAAAAAGGAGGTTGGGGGGGAAGAGAGAGAAAATAAGCCAAGGGCCACAGGTGAGACAGGCCCCTTTGATTCAAGATCCCCCAGGTGTCGAATAAGGAATAATAACCGGGAGGCTGGGGGCGTTGGCCTCGGGACGTCAAGGGGACTCCTGGATTGTCTCGGTTTGGTTGCAGCCGACCCGACAAGGAGGCTCTGGTTTCCCAAACGCGTCGCGGTCTGTGTGTGTGTGCGGCGGACGTGCGTGCGTTCGTGATTGATTGTGGGGAAGGAGATGGGCAACACAAGCTGCCTCACAAGCAGCAGGACGGGATTTGGGGAGAGGGAGGGGTCCGTCCAGGCGGCGTGTGCACTGGGCTTGCAGCTCTCGTGCTGTGCGTGTCCCGATACGGATGCAGGACTGCAGATGGGCGATTGTGAGCCCGTCGGTGATAGGATGGCGTCGCGGGGTCCAAGACAGGACAGCAATGTCGATCCGAGGGGGGAATGTCTGAGCTGAGGGTGACTCGACCGAGGCTAACCTTAACCTGGAAGCTGGATTGTGTGATTGCTGCGATGCTGGTGTTGGTCGAGGTATATTGCTGTTGTTGTTATTATCGCCGTGCCGTTGTTATTATCGTGGCCGGCCGAGACAAGCAGGTCGCTTGACAGGTAGATAAATAGGCGGAAAGATGGGTTGATTGATGAACAACAACAACAGATGAGACACGATGCACTGCAATATAATGCGATGCGATGGGGTGGGACAGGGTCTCCGATCCAAGTTCGCGGGGTGCAGATGGATGGATGCAGGCAGAGCACTATTAAAAGCCTCTCGCTGGGGTGGGCTTTCTTCTCGCTCCCTCTTGGCAGCTGACCTGAACCAGGGAGGGGTGTTGGGAGGACGAGAGGACGAGACGAGGGAAATCTCGGTGAATTTCCAACGTCTTAATGCGCCGCTACTGAGTATATTGCTGCTGACACGAATTGCCCAAAACGGCAAGCGACCAGAAATGAGATGGCGGATTGGTTGATGCGATCTCGAATTCGGGCCGGGTCGGGCTTTGCTTGCGCTTTGCTTGCGCTGCGCTGTGCTTTGTTGGGTGTGAGCGACAAAGCGACGAATCGGTCGACGGGTGATGCACTTGTTGGGAGGTGCGATTCGATGTGGTGGCTTTGTCGGTGAGGTGATTGATTTGTTTTGCTTGATTGATTGATCGATTGTTTGGTTGGTGGATTGAGTTTGTATGAGTCGGTCGAGTTGATGAACTACACTACACGGTGGCGGTGGCGGGTATCGTATCAAGTGAAGAGCAGGCTGCCTTGTTGTGTGTTCAGGGTATCAAGTGGATAACAGCAACCAGAGTATGGAATACAGTCAAGCCAGAAAACACCGTGGCCTGCCGAGGTGAGAGGGTATCAGGTCGAGAGATGTATGGGGAAATAATAAAACAACACCAGGCACGGTGAAGGGGCGGCGGGGCCGATGAGTTGTTTTTATACAGCTCGTCAAGGTTGAGTGTCCCGGCTCGACTCGATCACGCACACGCACGCAAAAGGGCAACAGGACGACGAGAAGGTGACGGTAGATGGGATGCGATATCTTGGCAGGCGATGGGCGGATGCGAGGATGTGACTTGTTGAGCCCCGACGGCAACTGATTCAATATCATGCATCCAGCGAGTTTGCCTCGTCCAGGTGTGTATATGCGGGTGCGTCCTTTTGTTTGACGAACAAGTGTCGCCTCGCTGCGGTTCTCCCGTGCTGCTGTGCGCTGTTTGCCGCGACCGCGCGCTGCTTGTGTGTGAGATGCCTGCAATGTACGTGTACGTATCGATGTAGACATGTACAAATGCGGAAGGATACTTCAAGTACTGTATCTCTGGCTCCGGCTGAGCCCTGGGCCGGGTCTGGGCCTGGACAAGTCACAAGTCAGGCAACCCGGCGGGCTTTGACTTGCGGCTCTCGAGCTGATAGGCCTGGGACCGACGCTTCGGTGTCAGGTGCCAGGTGCTGCTGCTCCCTGCTCTTGCCTGCCCGTGGTCGTGCGTTCGTTCGGTCGTTCGTCCCCAGGTGGTGGAGGGGGGCGACACTGATTGCTATTTGCTAATTGGGGGGTCTTGGGCCCCAAGAGATGTCACGGTACAGTCGTCGCCCACAAAGAGTTGATGCAGGCCTCCTCTGAGTCGCGCCGTCTCTGTCGGAGATCGCTTCTTTTTGCTTTTTTGTTTTTTTTCCCCACCCAACCGCGGCCGGCCCGAACAAGTGGACGGAGGTCGTGAGAGGTAGGATGCCGGGCGCAACCCTGGCGCTGCTAAATACTCTGGTATTACAAAATGATGGAACTCCTAGTATGATAAGTGGGCGATGGCCTAGTTACTGGCCAGCAGAGCAGACTTACGTGGCCCTAGCAAATGGGATTGTAGAATTTGCCGCCTTGAATGGCGATTGTAAGTGTAGGTATTTGGTTTGCCAGCCGTTGAGGCGAGATCGGGAAAGAAAAATGTTTCTCCACGGACCAACATGTCGTCACTGGAGGGGGTTGGAACAAGTGACATATATGCGTGGATGACCGCCTGCTGTTCATCCCTGCAACGAAGCTGAGAAAGAGAGACAGTTCCTGCCCTGTTTCTTTCGTCCTGACTCGGACTTGTCGGGTGTGAGGGCATCACGCATTGGGTAACCAGATGGGAAACAATCAGGGGTAGACTACCAGATGCACCTACTTGGCAGTTGGGGGAACGATGACGCTATCGGGCTGTACTACGTAACTGCCCACTGGTCAATGATCGGGGGCCCATTATGGTTACCTAGGTGGTTATTAGAGTTGACAGGCAGCCGAGCCAGACAGCCCGCGGCCTTGGTTTCGCCGCCGGGACTCTCGGCAGGGGGGCTGCCTCCCTTTTGCCGTGCCGCGGGTCCCAGCTTTTCCCCAGATTCCGGTATTCTACGGATCGGATTCTGCTGTGCGATCTTTGTCGGGCGCCTGCATCGGGTCAACCCATCTCCTTTATCACGGAAAGTCTGCTGAAAGATTGTTCTCCTTGTCTTGTCTTGACAAATCGAGCCCGCCGGCTTCCGGGCCTCGACAAAGTCCACGGGGACCTAAATCGTCAATCCAGAGAGCGACCGAAACATCATGTGAAGCAATCATGACCGTACATGTATTGATCGTCAGAAACAGGGCCCATCGCATCTGCTGTAGGATGGTGCTGACTGTGCAGCCGTCAGCCCTTTTCCTGTGGAGGCAACGATCTCAGTGGCAGTCTGGCCCTCTGGCCCTCTGGGGTATGCTTGGGGTGACGGCAGCCAACGCCCCTGGGCTGGCAACACAATCCCGCAGCAGATCATAGACGCTTTGGAGTGTTTTGCCCTCACTGATGAGGTGATCTGTCAAGCCTTGTGAGGGATCACCCGGGTCGCCGCCGCTTTTGGGGTGTAGGATCGACAGCGCAACCGTAATCTGTACCGAGGCGGCGGTGTGGCGTAGCGGGCTATTCCTGGGGGGCTGAATGACGGCGAATGCCTGCGGACAGGCCAAGCAGGCTGGGCATACCGCATTTGTGCGTAGTCTAACTGTCGTACGTGCTGTGTCCGTAGCCTATTTGCAGCGTAAAAGGTCCATGCCTGGCAGCGGTGACGACATTCTGGCAGGCCTCTGACACCTTTCGCCTCATCTTCCTCCCGCTCTTTCTGTGTTCCCCTGCGACCTCGGCATTCTAACGAGCCTCATTTTAGCAGTAAGCGGGTTCCTCCGGGAGGAGGTTAAGCTGTGATAATCTTGATTCGATGCACCGGCCGGGTCGGCAGCATGTGACTCGGGGGGTCCCCACCGACGGACTCGCAGACGGTGAGGACGGTGACGGGGACCGGCACGGTGTGCTGTCCTGCCGCTCTCCTTTTCTCTGACCGTCCGTGTACGCATCCACTCGACCACGGGGCGGCGGTCAAGTGCAGACCGCCCAATTCCGGAATATGGGAACTTGTTGCAGGCTTCGCAAATTCGAGCACGCGCTGCTTCGTCAGGATGGTCGACTGGCGTTGGACAAGATTGCTCAGCCCAGCCCTGGCCGCCTGTTTTGTCCACGCTCAGCTAAGCCACTGCTGGACGGCAGCTGAGGCAGCTGAAAATAGTCTTGTTACAAGCTGTATCTGTACCTACGTGGTCAAGAAGGCTACTGTTGCTCATTCCAGCCTGCAATGATGCCGCCGCCGCCGGACGAGCCTTTCGGCCGAGCGCTGTCCCGCTGCAGGGCCTGGACGTAAGCTCCCGCCTTTTCCCTCAGTGGGAGCCTGGGGATATCTGGGCGTCGCCTTGGCTTGCGACCGACAGACAGGCCGCCCTGAAACCGATTCACTTTTCTTAGCCGCCATTTCAGCCGTGAGGCATTTTATTAGAACTCAAGGTGATATTATGACTCCTCAACTGTGCACGAGACAGATACGAGCACGAGGTGCATTCTTTTGGTTTGGCAACTCGGACGACACGCGCCCAAAGACCACGCCGCGAGGATACGCTTCGCAGAGATCAGCCGGGCAATTGCCGGTGTTTGAGTTCCCGTTTCGGCAGCCGTGCAGCTCGTGTCGGTGTAGCTGACATGAGTCGGGCTGAGATGAGCAGCATCATTACCACTTTACAAGACCGCGACCCAGATGCATGCCATTCCCGGCTGCCTGGGAATTGGTTCGCAGTCCCCAGTCCTTTTTTTTTTTTTTTTTTTTTTGCACACACGTGTCGGCTGTCAGGAAGTACCGTGACAGCGCTTGAGGGCATATGGGATGGGATGAGATGAGATGAGATTAAAGCCCCAACACTAAACACTAAATTCGGGTGCAGTGGGTAGGATGATGATGATTTCCACGTGGTCCTTGGGTGCTCCCTCCCGACGCCTCGCACTTCTTCCCCCCCCCCCTCTCCACAAAAAAGAGCCTCAACTCTAGAACCCACCGCTGCGGCACGATCGGTACCCTTTGTAGCTTATTTTGTGCACCCGCACACAGTAGGGCTGATTTGACCGCGATTGCTCGGATCCTGTGGGATCCTATTTCCTCACGTCAGATTTTAAAACGCCGTTCGCTCCGCTTTGTCACGGTCGCATGTCTGCCGCCTGCTGTACGACCACACCAGACCCCGATTCATCGCTCCCGCCCGGGCGCGCGCGCAACACGTCCCGAGGTCGTCCCAAGGTTACGGCATACGTGGCTGACTTCGCGTATTGAACTTTGGGACCGATGTGATATATGAGAAGTGAGCTGGCGACGGCAACAAGTCGCGATCGGGCGCAGGGATACGGCTGGCTGGCCTCCCTCCCGTAACGTGCACCCACCTCCCGTCAGCTGGCTTCCAGTCGGCCCCCATTTTCCCAAAGCGGTGTTCCGTGCAGCTTCTTCGAGCCAGCGAGAGTGAGCGTCTGCGAGCTTCCGATGTGTTCCTGACGCACAGGTGCTGCCCTGCCTTCCCGGCTCACCATATACCCGGATCAATCGCCTGCCCCCGTGACTCAGGTCAGCTGCAGCCCGCGAACCGTCATGTTCCATGCTTCATACTCGCCCCATGCCGCCGCGTCCGCCGCCGAGGTGAGCAGGACAGATCGGTGATGGCTCGGGGTAACCTCGAACTTTTTACGGTCGGGTAGGTGTGCTGGGCAGTGGGCGGCGCGGTCTGTTCTCGCGACACCTACTCAATGCACACCGCTTCGAATTCCTTCTAGAATCCTTAGCGCCCCCTTCCAGAGCAACGTGCTGACACGCGGAGGATCTGCTGTGCAGCGGGCGCGAGATAAATCGACGTCGCCAAACTCTATGCGACCCTCATGAATCGGGCCTGGACCCCTTGGGGGCTGAATAGATCGAGTGCTCCCCAACATCAAGGTACATCGCCATGTATATGCTTACTCAATCACAAACATGGCCTGCATCTTGCATATTGTGCCTGGAGGATGAACCACAGGCTGCAGAACCGGGGCCCCACTGATTCCGAGGGCTGGGACGTTTACCGGGCCCGGCTACAAACCCTCCGGCGGTTGCTGGCCCGTTTTTGCGGAAGATGCAAGCCCGCGCGGGCTTTGTAGACCTTTTCCGCGAATAATGTCGTGCTCCCCCAGACAGTCCCACCCGTAGATCCATCCATCGCGAAAAACAGCACTGCCAAATACGCCGGCGTATGCAAAGCCTTCCCTTTTCACCCCAAATGTCAAACAAAGGGGCTGAGACCAGCCCCCTCCCTCCGATCAATGCCAGCACATCGCCGCCGCCCGCCTCTGGGAGAGTGAGGGAGACGCCAGCTCGCCGTCACACTACCGCTCGGGCACATCACGGGACGTCGAGGAATGATGAATCAGAAACTCCCATATCACCCGCGAATATTCACCAAACCGCTGCGGCCGCCGCGTAAAAGGGGCCCAGGCGCCTTTCACATGCCTAGACATGGTCAGCTGCCCCTTTTATAGATAACCCGTCCCTGTGCGCTCCTCGAATAGGACCCGTCCAAATGAGGGTGTGATGGTGCGGGGTGGGTTTGTGATACTGACAGCCTCCCAAGCTCGGCTGGCTGCGATCCGTCCACCCACCTCCATTCCTGTAACGTAGTGTAGACCAGACCAGACCAGCCTACTACAGTGTCGGAGACACTCCGGCCTACCTGACTGGCAAACGAAACAGTTCATTCTTGTGCGACCCCGTTCCGCAGCTGGCGCAGATCACCCGCACCCCAGGTCTGCGCCGGCGTGCTGTTTCTCCCACGTTTTGTGGCTTGGTGCCGCCCACACACGCACCCGTGGTCCTGCTGCTCCCGCCGAACCGAAGCGAGCCGAGGCAAGAGGCCGGTCCGCTCGCCTGTCTGCGCCGGCTATTGGCGTTTGCGGGGCCCAGAGACGCGGGATGTCGAGACCGGTGCCGTGAACTTTCGTGGGACTCGGTCTCCGGTTTCTGGCTTATCACTGATCAATTTCTGCCAGGCGACTCCCGAAACATTGAAATTTTCTGGATATCGAACCGACGTACCTCCGTGGTCCCTGGATTATCGGCTGCCTACCCCCTTCAAGGGTATAATAGGCAAGTCCATCTATGTCACCTCCGAAAGGGGGCTCAAGCACACGAGTTCCTCAAGTCACGATACCTCTCGCATCGTCCGGCCCTCCCCCTGAATGACTCTCGTCGCAGCGCAGAATTCCAGCAACACCACGACGTCATGATCAGTCCAGAAATCGCACAATCGAAAGGAGATTGACTTTTTTCCCAGACCTTCTAGAAGAGAAACACCCGGCGTTAGAGCGCCTGCCATCTCGACTCAGAGTGGCGGCGATCACCGGCGACCTGACTCGCCCGCCTGCGTCAGATCCGCAGCTGCGACACCCAGGGACGAACGCTCACTCGCGCGCCCGCCACGATGGCGGCTGCAAGGTTCAAACCTTAAAATTTCCACGCCCGCCCCGCGCCCTTCTCTCCGTCCCTGTCTCTCGCTCACCGCGGAGATTCTCCTCCGACTGTGCCCTGACGTATGTCGCTGTCGTCGGTCGACGAAAGGACAACCCTCTTCACCGCCGTGCCTGCCACGCCGCGAGACGATCTCCTTTGGCGTTCCACCCGCTAGAGACGTGGTGTTGATAATGATGCCGCAACGGTTCCCCCCGTCTCCGAGGACCGGGTCTCATCGCTCCTCCCCTCTCCCACCCTCGCCTCCGCTGCCGACCCGGCCCCACAGGGCCACACCCGGGGCAGGCAACTTCTCAAACATCGCCGGTTGATGGGCGCATGTGTATGCATGCAAGCACGATCCCACGCTGGGAGGCCGCACGCATCGGCGATTCCCCCCCTCCCCCCTCGGCGACGCGCATCCCACGGGCCTGACTGACCTGACCCAGACGCGCCGCAGCCGCCTGCCTGCCGGCCACCGGCCCAGAGAATACGAGTGGGCCCCCCCCCCGTATTATGTATTTCTACCCCACGCTGCCGCCGCGACGGAAGATGCACAGAAGCAGATAAGGCCGCATTAGCCCCGAGGGCCATGACGATCACTCCGTGAAAGTGGGGGGGGGGGTTGGGCTGCCCGCATCCCCCCTCCTCCTCAGGGCAGGCTCACGTGGCCGCGCGCCTTCTATGCGCCGAGAGAGGATCGCCAGCCTGCCGGGACGGGGTGGTTGCTGGTCTTCTAGCAAAACACGCTGATGACGTTCCTAGCTGGTTATGCTTTGCCGCGAGGTGATCCGGCGCCCTGGGCCTGTTTGTACCTGTACGCCTGAGACGGAGTCACTACCCTCGGAGAGATGGAGGTGGTTGTGGGAGTGGAGAATGGGTGCCGACGAGGAACCGTGGGGGTTTTCGAAAAGTGGGTTGACGTCGGGATTCCCCTTTTGGCATTGCTGGATATTGCTTGTGACCGACTGGAATGTCCCATGCCTGCCCTGGGAGGAGGCTCCTGACTTGTCTCCGCCTTGCTACTTCTCAGTCACTCGACGACGTCAAGACGATCGGCGGGACAAGTGCTCCGTCTCGGCTCAAGCGCCATGAAAGCAGCGCTGGGGGAGCTGGCTGGCTGATGTCCTCGGATTTGGATCCCGGGGGCTCTGCAGACCTGGTCACGGGCAAGGCCAAGTGCTAACTGAGACATCTGATATCAGTCTTCGGTGAAGTACTGATGTGGCCGGGTATTTGCGGCTCATTGGTCCTCTTCTGGTCGCATGCAGAAGAAACTCGAACTCGTAGACTGGAGAGCTAGGGGGACCACTCCCCGGTCGGACGCAGAAATCTGGCACTTCAATGGCGAGAAACGGGTCTTTCGTCGCTCTCGCAGAGTGACACATGGTGTCGATGATTATATCTGCCATTTTAGACCTGCTAGCTGATGATCAGAAAAGGCGACTTGGAAAGAGCTTATTTCCAGTCCTGTGAAAATTTGCAAACACATAACTACGAGCTTAGAGCTGTGATTGGATCCCATCCGGTGATCAGATCTCAACCATTGCTGATACACGCAACCTTGTTTCTTAATTCGTTGTTATTTTGTTACTCATCAATTGATTGGGCCAAATCAGTGGAGAGAAGAAGAAAGGGGCTTTGGTATGTTTCTTGTAAAACGATAATAATTCTATATGAGTACTCATTTTATTATGACCTAGGAAATTCAACTACTAGATCTAGGCTGTCGAATTATACTATGGGCGAATTCCTAAACCATTCCACATTTACTCATTATCAAATGAACAAAGATATTAGCAAGTTACACACAACAATACGATTCCATCACATCTTCTTTATCAATCCTACACCCACATCCAGCAAGTTTAGACTCAAGCGCCATCACTTGCTCCAGTCCTTCTTGATGAAATCCGCACACCTCTCACCAACCATAATCGCCGGCCACATTGTATGGGTGCTCAACATACGTGGAAACACGCTGGCATCCGCGATGCGCAAGCTGCGGGCCCCGTGGACCCGGAGACGCTGATCGACGACCCCGGACTGCGGATCGTTGGACATGCGACAGGTACAGCTGGGGTTGGAGGCTGACGCCGGCCACACTGCGGATATAGCGGTCAATCTCGTCATCCGTGACAGTGTCCCAAGTCTTTGCAGGGGTTGATGACGCCGAGGCTGCAGACTCTCGAGATGCCTTGCCGGGCGCGGCTGCCGCAGAGCGCTCCACCTCGGCCGTTGCCTCCCATTCAGCGAGCTTGTCCAGTTCGTTACCGGGCGCGGAGGCGGTGAGGGCCGGGTGGGGGTAGCCTGATCTCTGGAACTCTTGGGCGAGACGCATCGAGAAGCGGATTGCCTTCCGCGCGACGGGCCAGTCCTGTTGGCTGCGGAGCAAAGGGTGCGTAACTTTGGGGTGAGAAAGCGGGTCCGAGTCTGCTAGTTGGACCTGACCTTGTGAATGCGGTTGGACAAGACAAGGGTAGAATGTGAACAGTGAACGTCCAGGCATTCGCCTCTTGAAGCCACTGACTGCGAACATCATGACTTCTATGTCGGGTATGTTTCGCGGCTGTGAGATATCCATATTGCTGCCTGAATGGCTGTTGCCATCAGACTCGGGATCTTGTTCTTGGATAGCCATGGTCTTGTCGTCAATGGCCCCGCTGCGAACGAATATCGTGTTTGGGATGCAGTTGCTACTCATGATCCCGGTCCCGAAAGAAACCAGAGCAAGATGTGCCAAAGCCCGTAGATTGCTGTCTCAAACATGTGCATCGTCTCTCGTCTCGGCAACTCGAGCGCGATAGGAAAGGCAAAATGACCAGAGAGAAATCGGCCGACGGGTAGGTCCTTGAGAACATGAATGCCATTCGCGTCCAGTTGATCCCGGGGTCCAATGCCACTGAGCATGAGCAACTGTGCAGTCTTGAGAGCGCCGCAGCAGACGATGACCTCCCGCCACGCCTCAACGTAGACATCGCTTGTGGATTTGCCAATGCCGGTTGGCCGGACAAAAACCCCACGCACAGAGCCGCCGTCCTCATCCATCTTTAAACGCAACGCTGACGCGCCGGTGCAGACTGTCAGGTGGCTTCGTCTCTTGCGGGCAATGCTCTCATTCAAAAAGGCTTGGTACGACGTGTTCCTCTCCGCCCGCTCATCGACGGCTTGGTCCAGCCTGTAAAAGCCCATGGCCGGAGCGGCGGGGTCGTTGACATCGTCGACGATAGGGAGACCAACGGCCTGTGCGGCTTTTTCGATGCTTTTCAAGGAGAAAAACAAGTCAGTCTAATTGGGGGCTCAATGGAAACGGGAGATGGAAAGTAGACCTACTATGGTCCCCAGGCGAAAGTTGTCTTGAATTGCCTGATCTTGATAGGGCCTAATAAATTTGGACTTTAGTTAGTGTCACTGGACCGAAACACGGCGACAAAGGCGCGCCTTTGTGAACAGCTTACCATCGTGGCCTCTCGCCTGAGAGTCGGGACGGCCGATGTTGTTTTCACTTTTGCGAAAGAACGGTTCGACACGCTCCCATGCCCAGTCATCAAGAGACATGTCCTGAGCCCAGGAATTATAGTCTGCGGGTGGTCCTCGGGTCATCACCATTCCATTTATCCGTGACGCTCCACCCAGGCCTTCAGCCGTCCAGAGCTGAAACTTGTCGCCATTGGCTTCCGGCGAAGGCTCGGGGAAACGGTCACTGACCACTTGGAGCTTATCGCCGAAGTGAAAATTCTGGCTCAGGAGCGGGCTACGCGACAGAAGGCTGTCCTTGACAGCGGCCTTTTCGAGGACTAGAACCGAGACGTCTGGATCCTCGGACAGCCGCGAAGCAACCGCGCAACCCGCCGTGCCACCTCAGAGAAGCGTCAGAGTCTAGTAATCAGGTTGAAACAGGACAGGGCTAGATCTCCATCAACATAGCGCACCTCCGACGATGATGTAGTCATAAGTCTTCCCATCCACCACCGAGGGCGAGACCTCGGGGTACGAAGATGAAAAGGGCCACCGTGACATGGTCACCGGCTGAAGTGGATTATTGGAGCGATATTGTTGCTGGACTCTGTGGATGACCTTTTCAAATGGATTCTCTGCGGTGAAGGCTGATGGAAATCAAAAGTACCAGGCGCAGGGTCAGCGCTCTTCGCCAGCCATACTCGGCATTCTCAGTTGTTGGTGCCTGTTGGCACTAAACTGCGTGTGCTCAAATTAACGCGTGGCATGATTGGGACGCCTAGCCGCAATCGATGTGACCTGACATGGGATATTATCTTGTTGGTTCCACGAACAGACTAGCGTCCTGCAGATGCAACAAAGACACCAGGGAGTGATGCTGCGCCGTACAGCCTGCCAGCTTCACTGGCGACCGAGGGAAGCCAACATGTCTCGTCGCCTCCACAGTAGTTCCCACCCTCTCGCACATTTCCAGTCGCCTATGCGAAACACAGCTTTGGCATGAAGACAAATGGATTTGGAAGCCATATAGAGTTCACAATCATTGTGGGATTACGTGCATTTCGATGTCAATGTCATTGTTTGATTAAAACGATAAGAATTCAGCGCTAGATTTTCAGGTAACAGGGACAAATGAACAGCCAGGCAATTGACAATTCTATATGAGTACTCACCTTGTTATCAATTTGTCAATCGAACTGCATTGTCGATTCCGGAACGGGCGCAAGATCAAGCACACGTCTTTGTCTGCCTTCCGTATTTGTTTCACCGCGGTTACCTCACATGAGCCGAAAACGGGGAGATTCGTCGGTGCTAAATGGAGCTCCTTCGTAATAATTTACAGAAGCGCAGACAAGTGCAGGGACTCCTCATGCACAACCAGATGCCTGCCAACTAGAACGAGAATTCAAAGCGTATCTCTTACGATGTCCCAGCCCAAGACCCCAAACATCAAAAAGGTCACGTTAGATGACGCGGACTTGGAGAAGAGGAACGAGGCCCTAATAATCGAGAATGAGATTATCAAGGAGGAAATATTGGACATAAAGCAGAGTCAAAAAGATCTAGCCGACCGAGTTGCAGTGCTGTATGGAGTACAAACTATTGGCGTACTGAGGCCTGAACAGGTCCGGGCGGTACGGTGACACATACCTTTATCTCCTGATAATGAACAAGTGCTAAACAAGGCCTAGCTCTACGCTGCAATCGAGGCCGCTATCGAAGCGTTCGTCGGGCCCATGGACAAATTCATCCGCGAGAACAGCGACCACAAGAATCGCGTCGAAGGGGCTATGTCGAGGGAAGGATCCGCAAAGGCCTTTCGATCAGCTATAAGCGACAATGCAGAGCTCCAAGCGGCTGCTGTAGATCCTGACACGTGCGTTATTGATGTCTGGACCGCATACATCTGGCGATTCCTGGTGCAGAACGTTTTCTCGGACGAAGCCTCAATCGAGTTTTATTCCGGCGAAGGCCAGAATGCGACGTATTATATCAAGAATCTCATTGAGATGGACTACCTCATGACTCAGGCCAAGCCACCCGTTTTTGGTAAGCGGTAACATGTGCAATGAACCAACACATCAAGAGGTCGGCTCGCTGACTTCCCATCAAGGACTATACTCCAGGCGCCTGTGGCACAGACAAGCCCTCTCCGCCATCTTCAGAACCGCCGACTTCGATTGGGTCCAATCACACCGGACCGCCAAGATCGAAGAACTAAGCCAGGACCTGCGGCGGGCCTTCCAAGTGTTCGCGAGGCCCTTCCCCGAGGACAGGGCGCTGGAGCTCATACGCGCCATCTTCGCCGCCGCGGTCCGGCTCAACGAGCACATCATGACCGAGGCGGATGACATCTGGACCCTCGAGCTGGATGGCGTCACCGGCAGCGAGGACGACTTCTACGACAACTTAGAGGACTTCGACCTCAAGCCGGTCGGCACCCTCGAAGCCCTGGGGCACAGCGCGCCCCTGGACAACATCAAGACGCGCTTTTCCATGGACGAGATCAAGAAGCGCCTGACGAAACTGTGCGTGATGACGCCGGCGCTACGGTACCAGCACATCCAGCCTACGGGGGAAGAGTACGGGGAACACGTGCATGTGGTTAAGCCGCAGGTGTTGGTCGCCTTGGAGGAGGTACCTGGGTCGGAGGAAGTAATATCTGAACATGTTCTCCCTGATGAGCTGATGTTCTACAAAATGGCTGAGAGCCTTGGCCTTGTCCAAGAGCCTTTAGAAAGACAGTAATTATAAGTTGTTCGTCGCCACTTCTGGATGCAGCTGCAGATTGGCGCCTTGATAGCCATTGTTGTCGTTCGCGGCCCCGGGCGCTTGCCTGCTGTTGCTATACCCCATTTGCTCTCACAGGTGCCGTACTATTTCTACCCGCTAATCTCCACCTAGTGTGCAAAGTGAGACTGCGTTTCTCACACCCGCTCCGCAAACTCTCGAGTCGCCACAGCATTGCTCTGGAGACGAGCTATTCGTCATCAGTTTCGCTCGTTGTATGATTCTCTTGTCTCTGGTTTAGCTCGAGGTCTGTGAGACCCAATCCTGCTCTAAATCATCTGAATCACTCTCGCTGATGCTGGATGTTGGCGTATCGGATTTGTGTGTTCCAACGATCGAGTCCTTGCTTAAAATAAGGTCGATCATGGATCGTCGACGTTGTTGATCCCGGATACAGCTCGCCAGGTCCAGAGGCGAACTGCCATCAAAGAATTGATCATTGACAAGGTCGGGATAGAGTTCTAGCAAGACTTCGACTACCTCCACATTCTCAGTCGAGATCGCCAGAAAGATTGTACCAATACCGCACTTGCAAGGCGAGGAGCCGACCTCAGCAGCTGACACAGACACAGCATCAAGTGCTGCTCTGAAGCCGGACACGTTGAGTTTTGGAGAGTAGGACTCGAAGTCCCTTAGGTGACGCGATTTGTTCCATGTGTGTTCCCACTCTTCCCGGCATTCGAAAATCTTTCGGCCTTCATAGCGCTCTAGCTTTTCCCAATGCTCATGATCTTCGGCCCAGGAAGGGGATATCTCTGAATACGAAGTGTCGATCAAAATGTGAAGAAGTGTACAGCCGTGACGATCAAGCCTGTTGATTTGGTGCTCTAGCAAGGGAATCATGCGCGGCAGCAGTTGCAGCTTATTCCCAGGCCTTAGTGGATTGTCCTCAGCGGACAAATCCTTTTGCAACACATAGTCTATCGGAGCGAGACCTTTGTCGTCCGCGAGCTCCGATTGGATATCCTCGTATTTTAGGAGCTCCTTGACCGAACTCGTACGTCGCTCTGTGGCCCATGAGAGTGGTGTCCGACCGGAGTGGTCCTGTGAGTTAAGCAAGTCTTCCCGTTCTTCCAGAATCAGGCGGACTACCTTATACATGCCTTGCTTTGCTGCCAGAGCGAGCGCGTTCTTGCCGCTGGCGTCGCGAATAGACAAGTCGAAAGTATAGTTGCGCAGGAGGAACCGCGCCACAGCATTCGGCCCCGGGGTCCACGTCGAATCACTCATGTAGCTCCATCTGATTACGGTGAAGAGTAAATGTGGGTCTCCCAGGCCACGAAGCATATTCGAAATATTAGTGCTGCTGAGTCGAGGAAGCTTTTTGAGCACATTGACATGGGATCCAGCCATGGCGCACAAGGTGACATTTTCAAGAATCCGCTCTTGATCTGTGCCTTGGCCACTCGAATTGGTCTCATTTCCAATCCAGTCCAATAGGATTTTGACACACCGGCGCTTTCCAGATTTTGCTGCGTTGCACACAGGTGAGCGTGCTAAGAAGTGCTCACCAAATATGCGCGGGAATGGAGCATCAAGGCGGAATCTGTCACAGGCTTAGCTTACACAAGTATCGTCTCTTTAGATTCTCAAGGCATGACTTACCCGTCCTCGTCGTGTTGCATCATGGGCATGGTATAATCGCCACACTCTAGAAAGAAGGAGACGATGTTGTGGTGTCCACTTGACGAGGCGATAGCGAGCAAGCTCATATAAGAGCTATACTCCGTGTTCTTGCCCTCTATCATCGGACTAGCACCATACTTGAGCAGGAGTTCGACGAGTTCTAAATGACCATGTCGCGCCGCAGCCACCAATGCCCGATCAATGGCACAGTCTGCCTTGGCATACAGTGACCCTGCGTCTGTTTCCTCTGGCCGTTCTGGGGACCCCGTGTACTGATTCGTTGAAAGTAGCACACGGGTTAGATTCAGCTGATTTGTTGCACACGCCACGATAAGAACATCCTCCGTTCGACCCAACTCTTGAGCCATTCGAGCGAGGCCGATCTGATCCATGAGCTGCTGGGCCTGGTGAAGTGACGAACTTAAAGCTGAAGCAGGCTCAAGCGGAGGTTGGACTAGTAGGGGTCCTTCCCCCCTTTCCAGACTTTGCTGTGCCATGATGTGATGACCGTAATGTTTCTGAGCATAATCGAGAAATGGACAGTCTGCAGCGTCACCAGTGCCATCGAACGCTTGCGAATAAATCAAGCAGATAGCTGCAATTGTAAACTGCGCCTGTGGAAACCATTTCTGTCTACCGTTTTCGCTCATCAGGTACTCCTTGGTGGTCTTGTGAACAAGCTGCACAATCTCGGAATCAGGCTGGTGCACAATCAGACCGGCGGAAGCCGCTATCACATCCTCGATCGTGGGCATAAGGTCCGGGTCGTAGACTCCGAGACTGTCGCTCATGGACTGTAAGTCCCCTGTTTTGTGAAGCTCAGTGCCTGAGCTCTCGTTGAAATCTAGGTCCACAGAGAGCGCGTGGACCAGTTCCGGAGCAAGCAACGGTCGTTCTGCGTATGCGAGGATTGAGATGGCATTCGTCGCAAGCCCACATAGACGCTCGTCCTGACTTTGGATCCTATCCATGGCAGCTGCGTACGTTGACTCATACGTCGATGTGCCAGAAGTGATGGCCTTGAGTGCATTCTGGAGCCGCCGTGTCGATTTGCTCTGCATCAATTGGGTAACTTGCAGGTCAGCAAGCAAGAACCTAAATTGTGTCAGTACGCAGCATATAAGCTCAGGTCGAGAATCAACTAACATTTCACCCACAGCGTTGACAACTGTTTTCTTGATCTCATCCCGCAATGCTTGATTGCTCTGGACGAAGCTGGGTACGTGTGGCTTGCTCATCTGGTTCTCGAGGTATACTCCGACGTCATGCTCTGTCGCCTTGATAGGGACAATCATCGCATTGTCGAAGAGCATCCGGATTTGTGGGATCTTTCGTGATGTGAAGTAGAGGTTGACACCAGCGGCCCTCTGGAGGTCGAACAGATATGAGACAAAGTCTTGAGACAGGTCTAATTCGTCGAGCGCATCAACCATGAAAAAGACACGAGAACACCCTTCTACCGAGACACGCAACTGTTCCGTGATCTCATCGATGCTGATTTCCTTGTTACTGGTCGGCCAGCTCTGAATCTCACAGGATATTTCCTGTGACTGTTCCAGAACCATCCGCAGGAGACTGCGCAGGAGTATCTCGCACATGTTCTCTTTGCGTTGCTGGTAGTTGCAGAAGACGTATGCAAAGACCCAGCCGTGCTCCTCCGAGAGGCTGTCCATGTTCTCGATAGCCATGGCTGTCGTGAACGTCTTGCCAGAACCTGGAATCCCCGGGCAGTACAGAGTTTGTCCACCGACTTTCAGCCATGATCTCCACTCATCCGAGTCCAGGAGCCATTTTCTGGTCCCAGCTTGGCGGTTGCGAACCAAATGGCTCTGGTAATTCCTGTGGTAGTTGAAGTCGTCGTCGCTAAGCCACTTCAATATGTCTCTATGTTCTTGTTTGTCGACGTATCGTGCTATCTTCCTTGTATTGTGCTTCACCTCATTTGAGCTGAACATCTGTAGTCCTGCGATGATTAAGCTTATCTGATGTCTGAATTTGGACACTTCTTGCTGGTCGAAACTGAGTCGCTTCCAGGTGCGCTTGAGGCTGACCCGGGTTTTGGAACCTGCAGAATCAGCTATTTCCTTGCTTTTGTCAATGAACTTCTGAAGGTCTTTGAGGAACTCTTGTGCGCTAGACAAGGTAGACTCGAGCGCTTCATGTTGTCTTAAATCGAGCTCATTTGCAGTCAGGTCGACCTCCGTATCCTGCAGCAAAGTCGAGAATGTTTTGAGTCCCGCCGATAGGTCGCGCAACTGGCTTGGGGCATCCGCAAAGTCCTTCCGCAATTGAGTGACAAGCCCAATAACGGCGAGGAAGTCACCAACACTGAACCCAAAGCTCATATTGCCTGGTGGTCGGCCGGCTCCTCGACAAATCCCTGAGGACTGAGGTGAGACCGGCAATTTGTGATCACATCACTCAAATGATAGTGCAATGAATGCGTCAAGAGTCCTTTTAACTGGGATAGTTCGCTCCGAGCCAAGAAATCAGAGAGAAAGTCAACAAGAGCGCGACAGTTCCCAGGCTTCGTTACTGAACACCTAATATATGCAGGCAGTCAGATTTTAGCTAGATGCCTAGCATAATGCCCACAGTGAGACGTGGAATAGCACGTGGTGCCACAAGGGACCGGGCCAATCAAAGCTAAGAAAGACTTGGTCGATTCTCTTGGCAGGACCCTGGCCGGTGCAATCGGGCTGTGTTTTCACCACGTTTTTACGTCTGATTGGGCGACCCTCAGGTGCGTGCATTGGTTTGCCTCATATATTATGTCTGCTGAGCTGATTTTACAGTTCTACATGTCTCTTTCCAAAGTTCCGTTCAAGACAGCCTTGAGAGCTAAATCTAATGCTTACGCCTCGCCCGCCTTCTCCTCGTCAATAAGCTGCTGGAGCTTGCCGCGAAGCACCTTTATATGAGCGACCCTGGCCTGTCCCGCCGCGGCCCGCTCCTCCGGGTCCTCGGGGAGCGGTGGGGCCCACTTTCCGAACCAGTCGAGGCGCGCCTGGGCCAGCCAGGCAGCCAGCTCGGGCTCGGCGTACCAGCGCATCGTGTCTGTGTAGTCATGGATCCGGGTGACGAGCCAGTCGAGCGGCAAGTTGGGGTGCGGGATGGGGCGGCAGATTTCGTTCTTGAGCGCCTCGTCGTCGCTGCCGTACGCAGCCTCGACGTGGGAGATGAAGGCGGCGCTGAAGACCTGCTGGCAGGAGCGGACCGCCTGCAGCGTGATGGTGTTGCCGCTGAACACGGGCACCGCGGGCCGCTTCTCGAGCCCGTCGGCCGTGCAGTCGACGTACAGCGTGTCGGGCACGGGGCTGAACCTGCCGCCCTCCAGGGTCACCTCGTCTGCGCCGATGTGGCGCACCCGTCCCAGGCGGACGACGTTGGAGATCTTGCGTATCGCCTCGAGCTCGGCAGTGGAGACCGAGGCGCAGCGGTACATGGTGGGCCAAACCTTGTCCGTGAGGCGCATCAGATGGCCGCAAGCCTCCAGGTGCTGGAAAAGATCGGGTACAGATGTGGCAGCCTTGATCACTTCGTCTGATTGCTTATTGGCTTTCTCTATGCTCTCGGCGAAAATGGGCGTTTTGGGCTGGGCGAACTGGCGAGGAAGCAGCCAGGAGTCGCGCGGCATGATCCATGTGATTTTCGACGGGTCGACGCCCGCTCCCAGCAGCCATAGACTCGCATCGATACCAGTCTTGCCAGCGCCAACGACGGTATAGTTGGCGTAGGGCCGAGAGATCTTGGTCAAGTCGTTGGGCGTGACGAGCTTCACATCATGCGCAACGCTGTACGCGGGCGGAGCCATCGAGGGGACCTTGACCCGCATATAGGTGGCATCGACAATTCGCGTTTCCTTTCCGACACTGAACTTCTTGCCACTGACAAGCGAACGGAACTCGCCGCCGCCCGTATAGTCGCACTTGGGGTAGTAGGCGACCCGGCCGGACGGCAGGAAGGTCTGGTTGAGCACCTTGTCGTAGTAGGCCAGCACCTCGTCGCTGGTTGCCAGCTCGTGCAAGCCCTTGTTCCAGCCGGCCTCGTCGATCTTGTTCTCGCCGAGGGGTCTGGAGTTGACGCCGTAGTAGTCAGACGGCTGGTGCAGGCGGACGAAAGGGTAGGCGGTGTTCCAGTGCCCGCCGGGACGGTGCCAGCGGTCGATAATTGCGACGGTTGCTTTGGTGTCGGTGAGCAGGGTGTCGACAAATGCAATTCCCATCGCACCCGCTCCAATGACAAGGTAATCGGCTGAAATATTCTCCGTCATTCTGGTGATCTAAACTTCAATGTCTTACTGAAGAATGTGCTTCGTATAGTCCTACCGAGGGAGATAAAAGTAATTTGCGGTCAACTGATCAATGACTACTAGTTACTTTCATCTATCAATATTTATAACAGCGTTCGGGTGCCCGGGCCATTTAATAAGCCCGATTCCTACTCTCACTACCAGTATTAACATAACACCGCCATAATATCAAACATGACAGCACGTCACTGTGGAACCCGGTGTAGCTTGCTTAACTTCTGCCGGGGGAAAAATGATTACTCATCATATCAGTTCACACAATATAGAGTACATTACCGCCAAGCCAAATAACCCCTTAGCCAAATATATTATTACCCCCTCTTTATCCTTATCATCATCCAACGTTTCTTAATAATTTCTTTATAAAAGAATTTCCCATTTTTAATAAATTAATTAACATGAATACTTTAAATATTTATAAAGCTAAGCTATAATTTACCTTAAAAGAAATTACTTAAAGTTAAATATGGATTAATAAAGCTATTAATATATACAAAGTTAAATTAAATACTCTTTATAATTAACTGTTATGGGCTGGCCTTAAAGGGGCTGCAAGCCGGCTAGCGCCTTCTTCCATAAGCTGCAAAGCAGCAACCATTTAAGCCAAAAGGTACGTAATAATCCAAGCTCCCTTGGATTATCTAGCCACACTATATAAGGCTTGGGCTTTTAGCCCAAGCCCATCATATTAACTTTATAATATTAAACCTTATTAAAAAACTTATAAATATAAAAGAAAGCTATTACTTTATTTAAAGTAATTAATTTAATAATAAATTTTATTTAAAGAAAGTATTAATTATTTTTTATAAAGATATAAATTTATAAATTTATAAAATACTTATATACTTTCTTTAATAATAATATATGTATTAAAAAATTTTAATTAATTATTTTATTTCTTATTTTTCTTAACTTTATATAAAGGTTAATATTTCTTTAAGTATTATTTAAATAAAATTTAATATAAAGATATTAAAAAGAGTTTTTAAATATTATAAATAATTAAATTAAAAGGAAATATATTAAAATAAATAATATTTTTAATTTAAATAATAAATTCTTAAGTTATTTATTACTTTAATATTAAGTATATTAAAGGTTAATTTATTTAATTAAATTATTATTTTTAAAGTATTATTATTAAAAGCTATTAATTAATCTTTATAATAATTTTAAAGAAATAATTACTTTAAAAATAATAATTTTTAATTAATTTAATTAATTATAAGTTTATTTATAATTAAAATAAATAATATATAATAAAGATTTATATAATGAGCTTGGGCTAAAAGCCTAAGCCTTATATAATTTAGCTAGATAATTCAAGAGAGCTTAAATTATTACATACCTTTTGGCTTAATGGTTAAAAGGTTGCTGCTTTGCAGCTTGTGGGAGAAGGCGCTAGCCAGCCTGCAGCCCTTTTGGGGCCGAGCCCATAATAATTTATTATTATTAATTAATTAATATTCTTTTCATTAAAACTATTACTTAAAATATATAAAAAAGCAGCCTTTTCTTTTTAATAAGTTAATTATAAATATATTAACTTCTTTAATATTTAAAGCATAAGTTAATAAAAAAAAGTTATTATATATTATTTATTTATATATATATTATATATATTTTAATTATATAATAAGGAATTATTTAAATTTTTTAAACATTTATATTAATAAAACATATTATAAAAAGCTTTTTAAAAAAGCTTTTTATATATTAATATAATTGTTAGCTGGGTTAACGTACATTGGTTGATAGCAGACTGGTTGTATTTGAATCGGCTATATAGAAGGAAGGAGGGTTGCGGCCGTAGGCTGCAGAACCTCCCTCTGGCTATAGACTATCTGGGGGTGGTCACGTGCTGCCGCACGTGACCCTTGCCTGCCGGTGCTCTAGTGCCAATTGCCCATAGTGCCTATCGTGCCCAGTGCTGCTGTCCCCCTATAACACGCCCATAACCATAATAATTTTCTTTAACCTTTAAAAGATTTTTATAATAATAAATAATGCTTTAAAGAAAGTATTAATACTTATAAGCATTATATTAATAATCATTTATATATTAAAAAAAGCCTTTAATTTAATAATAATAATAAGTTAATTAATAATTAAGTAAAATGCTATTAAATACTTTTTTAATATAAATGCCTTTTTTAAATATAAGAATAATTATTTAAATATTTTTATAAATAATCTTTATCTTTAAAAAAATAATATATTTAAAAGGACTTAAATAATGTATTTATAAATATTAATAATATAATAAGTAATTATAAAACTTATTTTTTATGATAATAAAGGTTTAAGTAATTTTATAAGTTAAATCCTTAATAAATTAACTATATTATATTTAAGTATTATAAAGATAAGCTTTAGCATTTTTTTATATATAAATTAAGTTTTTATAATTAAAATTAAGTATGCAATTATTAAGTGTATTCTTATTGTAATGGTGTAACTACTCATTTAGCTAAGGGGTCATTTGGCTTGGCAGTAATGTACTCTACCATATCCAAGAACTTCAATTCAAACCTTGAAAACAAGACACAGACTAAATTGCAAAGCTGCTGTGGGGACGTAGGGCCCCACGGCTATTTTCATTCCGTTGCCGCGGACACCCGAGTGAATTAAAATCCTGAGTAAGTGTGAGGGTCCGGTACAACCGGAACGGACTTTTTAGTATGTTCCAAGCCGGATTTCTGGCTTTATGTGGAGAGTCTATCAAGTCAAGTCAGGCGGTGCATCTAGAGGGGTACCACATGCTGGCAAGGATAGACCGGATAACATAAAAGGCTGCTAGTGTCTAAGACTCTATGAATTAATGATAAGAGAGGAGACCAATATAGACTTTTTACAGCGAATATCCGTTCTCATATATATAAGCTGGCAATCAACAATCGCCGCGGCCTTGTCCAGCAGAGCCGTGCGTGATATCTCGTCGTGCAGGCTTCTCACCACGCGACTGGGGCCGGATTTAGATCCGGCAGTTGCTCGGTGGCTCGGTGGAAACTTTTGTCCCGACGGCGGCCCGAACCTCCTCCCCACAGCATTAACACTCATGGGGTTAAGTGCGGTGGGTGCAGGGCCACGACTGACACTGGACCCCTGCACAGGCCCCTTGTCTGATCCGAGGTGCGGCCGTCCAGCCCACGCGGTACGTGCGAGGCAAACGCAGTATCTACATGAAGCACACTGCCTTCACAAGGCGCCATCTATGATGACCAGAGACAGCCAGTACTGCAACCAGTTTCATAGATGAAAAAGAGTTATTACACTACCTAGGTAGTTTTGCATGCTCGCTCGATTACAACATTTAGTGAGATTTTACACTCAAAGTGCACCTTACTTGCGCTGGCGACAACACAACAGCTACAAACAGCTTCCACAACGGCTTCCACACTAACTGGCTGAATTCAATCACCAACAACAGTGACTTGCCCCCATTGACTGCACCTATCACCCTTAATCACAGACTGCTCAACTGAGATTTTGAAGCAATGACTTCAGCCCAGTCTCTCCCTTCCTTTCTTTCTTTCGGTTGCCCAGCTCCCCGCATTTTAGCTTACCAGTAGACTGCGCCTCACGCAAGTACTCTCATCTTTTGCGACCCAACGAGCCACGAGTCTCCTGCTTCCTGTTGGTTCAAGAGTGGATCTACCAACACCAACGTCACCTGTCCAAGAACTTCAAAAGGATCGCTCCTGCCCCTCGATCCCTCACCTCGACGACGTCCGAACCCAACGCTAACGAGTATCCCGACTTCCTAAGACTCGAGTTGTTCAACCATGGCTACCACGGTTAGACCCACGATCATCGTACGCATCACCTGCAAACTCAGCGCTGAAGACGTTTGGTTAACCTGAACACAACACATCGTCCACGGGGGCTGGCACACCCCCACGAGCTACGGGAGGCTCATCAGCGCCCTCGAGGCCTCTGGCTACGAGGTGCACTGCCCCCGCCTGTTGTCCGTGAACGAGGCCCGCCCGCCCAACGCCGGACTGTCCGACGACTCGGCGCTCATACGCAGCTACGTGGAGAGCTTGGTGCGGGCTGGACGGTCTGTTGCAGCAATTGGCCACTCCTACGGCGGGCAGGTCATCTCCAACGCCCTCTACGGGCTGGGCGTCGATGCGCGTGCTGCAAAGGGCCTCAAGGGCGGCGTCTCGCACCTGATTTACATGGCGGCATTCGCCGTCCCCGAGGGAGTGGCAATGATGGACAAGGTCGAGAAGTTCGGCAACATGGACTTGGTCCCAATCGCCTTCCACTTCGCTGACGATGGTACCTGCGTCAGCGGCGACCCGAAGACCCTGCTGATCGGCCCCGGCCCCAGCGACGCAGAGGTCGAGGCCTACATGAAGACCTTCGTTTCGTCCGCTGGCACGGAAATGTCATGTACCATGCAAGCGAGAACGCTGCCTGGCGCGAGATTCCAGTCGCCTACATCAAAGCCTCGGCCGACATGACGGTGCCCGTCCACTACCAACAGCACTTCATCAACGAGATGGAGAAGTAAGTAAGTAAGTAAGTAGTATTTAACGCCGTGCTGTTTCCGCGTAGCGGATAAATAAGCTTGCCTTTTAAAGGGCATGTTGGCATGCTAAGCTGGTTTTAAAGTATATTACCTTATCCCCATTTAATAACTCCTATTTAGTAATATATATCCCTTTTGTTAATACCCTTTTTAAAGAAAATTATAAATAGCTCTTTAAAATAAATTTTATTAAAAGAAAATATTAAGATAATTTATAAGTTATTTTTATAATACCCTTATTATTAAATATAAAAAGTATTAACTTTTAATTTAAACTTAATTTATATTATATATTTATTAAAGTAAATAAGGAAGCAATTTAAGGTATATAATATATTATAATATATTACTTTATTATAAAAGTTATATTAATTATTATGTTATATTTTATAATAATTATAAATAAATAAAAAATATAAGAAAAATATAAATTATATTATTATAATAAAAGAAACTTTTAATTATTTATAGCTGCATAGCATATTAGTTATGCATTTAGCTTTTCTCCATGAAGGGCATAGGTTTAAACCTTGCCATGGCCGTTAAAACCTTTTTTAGGAATTTTCCCCTTAACTACGCTAGCCCCTTGCAACCTTGCTAGCTAAAAGGCTATATATAAAGTACTTAAAAAACCTTATTAAAGCTAATAAATAATAAGTTATAAGCTAATAAGCCTTAATATTAAATTATTAAATACTTTATTATAAGGGGTAAAAAGAGCTAAATTAATAAATTAAAAGGCTTTAAATAACCCTTAATTAGCTTACGTTAAGGCCTTATATTAATAAAAATAACTTTGCAATATTATATTAAAGTAGCCACGGCCCTTTAGCAAAAAATAATAACTTTTAACCTAAGCTATTATAAAGACTTACTTATTAAGAAAGGTAGTCTTTAAAGGAGTTAATAGCAAAAGAGAATTTATTATGAGATTTAAAAATAATTAACTTTATATATCTTAATAATAAGTAAGGTAAAAGCTTTTAATTAAAGAAAAGGAAATATATTAATTTTAATTTAACTTTAAACATAATTTTTTTAATATAAATAATAAATAAAGAAATTATATACTATTTAATAAGCTTTATATATATATTTTATATATATTAATAACTTTATATAAATTAAATTATTATTATTATTATTATTATTATTATTATTATTATTATTATTATTATTATTATTATTATTATTATTATTATTATTATTATTATTATTATTATTATTATTATTATTATTATTATATTATTATTATTATTATTAATTATTTATTTTTTTTATATACACTTTATATAATAACTTATAAATATTCTTATAAATTTATAAGTAAAATTATATATTTTTTAAGAAATCCTTAAAAGTATTTAGCCTTTTTATAAGTTTATTAAGATAAATGTTTTTTAATATATTATATATAAAAATAATTATAGCTAATCCTTAAGCTATAATTAATTAATAAATTATGCTAAGATTCTTTAATAAAAAATAAGATATTTTAAGGCTTTTAAATATTTATAATTATAATTTAATTATATATTATTATATTTAAAGCACTTATAATATTATATAAAGTTATTATAGCTTATTTTTATTATTAAGTAATAATATAATTAAATTTTATTAAATAAAAGCTTTAATAAGTATTTTATTTTATAATTTAAGTTAAAAATATAATATTTATTTAATAGCTTATCTTTTATCCTATCTTAATATTTATAATAAAAGTTTCTTAACTTATATTATATTATACTTTTCATTTTTAATTTAATAAAGCTTATATTAAGGGTTAAATTTATTATTTATTTAACCTTAGCTAACTTATTAATTATTTTATTCCTTATAATATTTATATAACTTAAACTTTACTTAATTATAATTATTTATTTTTTTATTTTTTTATAAAATTATAAAAAAAGTTTAATATAATAATATTAATGCTTATCCTTAAAAGCGTTAAATAATTAATATATTATTTAAATAAATTATAATAAGTTAATTTAAATAAATTATCTTAATATATTTAAGTTTTTATAAAGTGTTAATAAATTTTTATATTAAATATTATAAAGTATATATTTATTATATATAACTTTATAATAATAAAAAGTATATTTCTTAATTAACTTAAGTAAATTATATAATTATAACTTAGCTTATTTTATTTTTTAAAGCTATTTAAAAAGATAATTACTTATTTTTAACCTTAAAAAGTAAATTAATTTATAAATCTTTTAATAACTTTTATTTTTAATTATTTTTTTATTAAATTAATATAATTACTTAATATATATTTTAGCCTTATAAAAATTAATTTATATATTATATATAAAAACTTATTTCTTATTAATTATATTTTAATATATAAGTAATAAAGCATACCTTAATCCTTTTTTAATATTATCTTTAATATATTTATCTTATTAATAAGTAAATATACTTTATTTAACTTTTATAATTTATATATAAAGTAAAAATATAATTTTTTAAAAGTTAATTTAATTATAAGCAACTTTATATTTTAATAAAATACTTTATTTAATATTATTTATTAAATTAATAAAATAACTTATATTATAATAAAAATAACCTTTTATATTTATTTAATATATTATTTAATTTTATATTAACTTTTAGCTTTCTTACTTATATTTAATTATAAAAAGGCTTTATTTATATATTATATTATATTTTAACTTTATAAAAAAATAATAATAAAATATATATTTTTATTACTATATATATAAATATTAATAAGGATTTATATTTAATGTTTATTAAATTATATAAGTTTTAAATATTTAATATATTAAAAATTAATAATTATAATGCCAAAACCTTTTAAAAAAGATAAAATACTTTTAGCTATTTAAGTAATTAAAAACTTTTAAGAAAAATGCATTAAATCTTTTAAATTATATAAAGCTAAATAAATCTTTAATATCCTTAAAACTATACTTTACTGCAAAATAAATTAATAATGCTTTTATAAAGAATTATGCATTAATATATATAAATTTAATTAAATTAAAAAGTAAACGCTTATTTAATATATTATTAATTAAGATATTTAAGAATTTTCTTTATAACTTTTTAATATAAAAAATATAGCTAACCTTTTATTAATAAGTATTAAGTTTAATACTTTATAAATTAATAATTTAACCTTAAAATTAAGTTTAATTATTTTTATAATTATTAAAGGGCCCTTTATAAAGATTTAAAGATTATTAAGAATTAATTTAAATTACTTTATAATATAATAGCTAAGTATTAAATTATTAATAATAATCTTTATAATTTTAATAAAATTAACTTTATAATAAATATAATTATTATATTAATAATTACTATATATATTAATAAATATAAAAAAGCTAAATTAATTTAACTTAATAATTAAGAATAAATAATTATTATTAAATATATTAATATAAGTAAGTTATAAATTCCTTTATTTATAATTATTTAAGGCGCTTATTATTTTATAAGTTAAATAATAAAATTTAGTTTTTTTAATTAATTAAATTATTAAGCTTATTTTAAATAAATAAGTAAATAATAAAATTAATTTAAAATAAATTTAATATTTTAATAAGCATATTAAGCTAAAGAAAAATATTAATTATTAAATATTAATTATAAATAATTATAAAAGCTATATATTAATTAAATTTAATTAATATTATAAAAATAATAAAATTATTATTATTAATATATTATTATATTTATTTTATTTACGTTAATTATTAAATATTATATTATATTTATTTTTAAAGCATATATATAATAATTAAATTAACCTTTTTATTTAAGCCTTTATTAATTATATTATTAAGTTTAAATTCTTTTTTATATTTAAGATAGCTTATAATAAGATTTTTATAGCAAAAAATATTAAGTTTATATTTAAAGGAGCTAAAATTTCCCTTTAAAATCTTAATTTTATAATTTTTAAGCTTAATATTTATTTATAAACTCTTATATAATTCTTTTTTATTTTTCCTTAAAAATAAAAATCTTAAATATTATTAAATGCTTAATAAATTATTAAATAATTAAGTTTTATTAAAAATAAGATTTTTATTTATTAAAGAAGCTTTTTTATATTAATTATAAAAGCTATTAATTAAATAATAAAGAGCGTATAAATAATAATATATAAACTTATTATTTTAAAGAATTAAGTTTATATTTTTAAAAAGGTTAATATAATACTTATTAAATATTAAAGGATTAAAAAAACTTAAGTATAGCTTAAAGGAGTATTTATTATTAAGAAATTTTAAGCTTTTATTTAAAAAAAATAAAAGGAAAAGTAGCTAGCTAATAAAATAAATAATAATATTAAAAAGATAATTTATAATAAATTAATTAAATAATAATATAATAATTATAATAAGATTAAGTATAATATAAAAACTTATAAGAAAGATAAAAAAGGATTTAATTAATTAAATTTTAATTATATTATAATAAATTTAGCTTAATTAATATTAATTAATATAAATATAATTATTTTATTAATTTATAATAAACTAAATTTTTAATGGTATAATTAGCATTAATTAATATTAAATATATATTTTTTATTAAAAGTTAATTAATTTAAATTAGCATTATAATTATATTAATGCTTTTAAATTAATAAAATTAATTAAAAATAAGGATTTAATTATAATTAATATTAATTAATGCTAAATTTAATTAAATTATTTATATTAAGTGGGTATTAAGGTTAATTAAAGTTAGCGAAAGTTATAAAAGTGCATTACTTATTAATATGCGTTATTTATTAATAAATTACGTTAAATAAGTTTATAATTAAATATTTTAATAAGGCATTAGCTTATTATAAATTAATATTCTTTTTTTAAGAATAGCTTATATTATTTTTTTTATTATAATTTATTTTAAGCCCATTTTTAAATATAAAATAAGTATAATTAAGCGTTATAAATAATATAAAAATAAGTTAAGTTTTTTTATTTTAGGAATTATTATAATTTTTATTTATTTTTTTAATTAAAAATAATATTTTATTTTTAAATATTTATTAAAGAAAGCCTTTATATAACTTTATAAAGTAAATTATAATTTAATTTATCCTTAATAATATATTGCTAACCTTAATTATATATATTTTAATTTCTTTTTTAATTACTTTTTTTATATAATTAAGTATTAATTTTACTTTTTTTAGCGCTTAACCTTTTAATAAATCCTTTATAAAGTTATTTTTTATAATAAAATATTATATAATAAGCTTAGCTAGCCTTAAGGCTTTGCTTTTAATTAACTTTATTATATTATCTTTAACTTTAAGTAAAAAGAATTTATATTTAAGCTTAAGTTTATATTATCTTATTATAATATATAATTTTTAATTAATATAAATTATATTAATAAATTTTTATTAATATTTTTACTTTATTATTTAAATTATATAATAAAAGTATTATTTATTATTTAAGGCTTTTTTTTATAAGTTTTATTTATTTTAATCTTAATATACCTTTTAAGTAGCTTTATATTTTAATATTTATTAAAGAGCCGCCCTTACTTACTTTTAATTAAGAATTTTAATAACTTAAATAACCTTTATAAAAGCTTTTTTAAACTTTTAAATTTAACTATTTATTATTATTTTATTTTTATCTTAAATACTCCTTAAAAATAATAATTATATAATTATAATTATAATAAGTTTTAAAAATGCTTAAAGTTTTATATTTAATATTTATATTATATTTTATATTAATAATTAATTATTTTACCTTAATATTATTATAAAAAAAACCTTATAATTTACATTTATATAAAGATTTATTTAAATTTATATTTATATAAAAAGGATATTAAAAGAAATAAAGTTTAAAATATATTTTAATCTTTATATATTAATTCTTAATTATTTTATATAAGTTATTTTTAAGTTTAATAATTATTAAGCTAATATATTTCCCTTATTAATGCTGCTTACTTTTAATTTTTAAAGTTTATTATATATATTTATATTACTTTTAATAATATATTTATTTAATAATATTAAGTTAATAAAATATTTTAAAATATTATTAAGTTTTAATTATTAATAAAAGTTAAAAATAATAATATTATTTATTATAAGCTAAAGTAAGTTTTTTAAATAAATTAAGCATTATTATTTAACTTAAAGTATAACGTTTATATATATATATATTATAACTTAAGGTTTATTTAAAATATTATATTATTTATTAATTAATATATAAAACTTAAAAGTTAAGTAATTTTAAATTTTTATAAGAAACTTAACTTATAGTTTTTAAATTATAATAATATTTATATATTATTTAAAATAAAATTATAAAAAAGTAATAATATAGTTTACTAATGAGTGGTGGATATTAATAAGTGGCGGATTTTTGCAACTTTACTTAACTTTAGTTAATATTAATATTACCTTAAGGCTAATAAATAAATAAAAAGTTAGCATTAATTAATGCTAATTGCTTTTAATTTCTTATTTTTAATTAATTTAATTAATTTAAAGTAATTAAGGGTGGTTATATTAAAGTTTAAAGTAATTAACTTTTAATAAAGGGGTTTTATTTTAATGCTAATTATATCTTAATTTTTTGCATTAATTTCGCTTTAATTTACTTATTTAAATATTTAATATATTAAAAATTAATAATTATTAATATATTTTTTATTTAAAGAAAATAAAATCCTTTTAATTATTTAAGTAATTTAAAATTTTAAAAACAATAATGCAAAACCCTTACTTATAATTTAAGTTATTAAGATTTTTTATATTCTTAAAACTATATTTCGCTATAAGATAAATTAATAATGCTTTTATAAAAAATTATGCATTAATATATATAAACTTAATTAAATTAAAAAGTAAATGCTTATTTAATATATTATTAAATAAAATGCTTAAGGATATCCTTTATAACTTTTTAATATAAAAGATATAGCTAACTTTTTATTAACATTATATAATATTAAATTTATTAATAAGTATTAAGCTTAATACTTTATAAACTTATAAATTATTTTTAAAATTAAATTTAATTATTTTTATAATTATTAAAGGGCTTTTTATAAAAATTTAAAGATTATTAAAAATTAATTTAAGTTATTTTACATTATAATAATTAAGTATAAAATTATAAGTAATAATTTTTATAACTTTAATAAAGCTAGCTTAATAATAAATATAATTATTATATTAATAATAATTATATATATTAATAAGTATAAAAAGGTTAAATTAATTTAACTTAATAATTAAAAATAAATTATAATTATTAAATATATTAATATAAAGGGTTAATATATTTTATTATTTATAATTATTTAAGGTGCTTATTACTTTATAAGTTAAGTTATAAAATTAAGTTTCTTAAATAATTAAGTTATTAAACTTACTTTAAATAAATAAATAAATAATAAAATTAATTTAAAATAAATTTAGTATTTTAATAAGTATATTAAGTAATAAATAAAGAGTATATATTAAATATTAATATTAAATAATTATAAAAGTTATATATTAATTAAGTTTAATTAATATTATAAGGATAATAATATTATTTTTATTAATATATTATTATATTCTTTTTATTTACTTTAATTATTAAATATTGCATTATATTTATTTTTAAAGTATATATATAGTAATTAAATTAATCTTTTTATTTAAATATTTATTAATTATATTATTAAGTTTAAGTTTTTTTTATATTTATAATAGCTTATAATAAGATTTTTAAAAAGAATAATATTAAGGTAATATTTAAAGAAGCTAGAATTTTATTTTAGGATTTAAATTTTATTATTTTTAAGCTTAATATATGCTTATAAACTCTTATATAAACCTTTCTTATTTCTTTTTAATATTAAAAGTTTTAAATACTATTTAATGCTTAGTAAATTATTAAGTAATTAAGCTTTATTAAAGGTAAGATTTTTATTTATTAAGAAAGCTTTCTTATATTAATTATAAAGGCTATTAATTAAATAGCAAAAAGTATATAAGTAATGATATATAAATTTATTATTTTAAAGGATTAAGTTTATATTTTTAAGGATATTTATATAGCATTTATTAAATATTAAAGGGCTAAAAAAACTTAAATATAGCTTAAAAAATATTTATTATTAAGGAATTTTAAGTTTTTATTTAAAAGAAATAAAAAGAAAAGCAGCTAATTAATAAAATAAGTAGTAATGCTAAGGAAGTAATTTATAGTAAATTAATTAAATAATAATATAATAATTATAATAAGATTAAATATAATATAAGAATTTATAAAAAAGATAAAAAAGGGTTAAGTTAATTAAATTTTAATTATATTATAATAAATTTAGCTTAATTAATATTAAATAATATAAATATATTTATTTTAATAATTTATAGTAAATTGCGTTTTTAATAATATAATTAGCATTATTTAATATAAAATGCAGGTTTTTTATTAAAAGTTGCTTATCTTAAATTTATATCATACTTATATTAATTACTTTAAATTAATTAAATTAATTAAATTAATTAAATTAATTAAATTAATTAAATTAATTAAAAATAAGGAATTAAAAGTAATTAATATTAATTAATGCTAACTTTTTATTTATTTATTAGCCTTAAGGTAGTATTAATATTAGCTAAAGTTAAGTAAAGTTGCGAAAATCCGCTACTTATTAATATTCGCTATTTATTAATAAATTACGTTATATATTTTTAAAACTTATTTAACGTTATTTTATATTAATATAAAGTTTTTTAGCATTAATGCTTACTTTATAACTAAGTTATTTTATAAAAAGCCTTTATTTATATATAATATTATTTTTATAATTTTTAAGCGCTTTAAATTTATTATAAGATATATTTTATAAATTACAAGTCTTATTACTTATTATTATACATTATAATTTTTATTATATTATAAATATTTTAATATTATTTTTATTATTATTTAATAATATATAATTAAAAGCTATTAAATATATATTTATTAATTTCTTTTATTTTTATTTTTATATTATAATGTTATTATTTAGCATTATAAGCATTAAATTTTATTTTAAATTTTAACTTTAAGCTTTAAGGCGGTATATTAATTATAATATATTGCTTATCCTTAACTTTATAAATTGCTTTAAAGGCTCTTTTTATTAAATATATAAGGCACTTTTTTTAATAAAAAGTTATTAAGTAATTTTTATAGCTTACCTTATATAATTTATAATAATTAGCGTAATATATTAATTTATTATATTTTATTTCTTAATATTAATTTATCTTATTTTTATAATAATAATATTATATTTATTAATTATAATATTTCTTATTATAATACTTTTAATAACTTAAGTTATAAAGTTTAAACCTTAGCTTTTTATTAATTAATTAAAAAAATTTATTATATTTAAAAAGCTTAAACCCCTTAACTTTTTAAAAAAAGGAAATAATTTAAAAGCCCTTATTTATAATTAAGTTTAATATATACTTTTACTTTTTTATTAATAATTATTATAATATAAATTAAATTTTTAACTTTTTAAATTTCTTAAAGGAATTATAAAATTAATAAAATAATATAATTATATTATATTTTTAGTAATATTATATTTATCATTATAATTAATTATATAACTTTATTTCTTATTTTTAAAATTATAAGCTTATTTTAAATAACTTTTATTATTAATTAAATAATATATTTTATTTTTATATTATTAAGATTTAAGATATTTATTAATATAAAACTTAAGGCTTAATAAATTTAAGCTTTAAAATTTAAAGCTTTTTATTTAAGCATTAGCTTATATTTTATATTCTTATTTTATAATAAAAAAAGAATTTAAAAATTCTTTTTAACTTCTTTATTATTATAATTTATATTTAATTTTTTTTAATTATATTATAATTAAAGTAAATAAGTTAAAGATTATAAAGCTTAAGTTATTATATTAATAAGCATTTTATTATTTTATAATATATTAAATATTATTATTAATTTTATTTATTAAGGCTTTAATAATATTTGCTTAAAAAACTTTTTTTATTAATTAAGTAATATTAATTAAATTTAATATAATGCATAATAATATATATATTTAGCTATTATTAATAATAAAGATTGTAATATTTAAATAAATAAATATAATATTAATTATTATTTAAGCTTTTATATAATAATTTTTCTTATAAGCCTTTATAAAAAAAATTATGAATATATTTAAATTATATCTTAAAGCTTTTAAAATTTATTTTTTAATTATAGCTTATTAAATTATTTTATTTAATTATAAAGTAAAAGCTTTTATAATAATTTTAATAAAAATAATAACCTTTTCTTTAAGTTTAATTCTTAGCAAAGCCTTAATATTTAAAATCTTTATTTACTTTATATGCTATAAATTATTAAATATAATTAGCTTAAGGGGAAATATAAAAACGCTAGTATTTATATCTTAAGGTTATAAAGCCCTTATTAATATTAATAGCAATTTATTTACCATTCCTAAAAAAAAGGGCAACTTAAGGTTATAACTTTTTTAATTAAAAGGGGGGCTATTATTAAGCAATATGTAGTAATTTTGGTGCGTATACTAATAATAGGCGCGCTAAGAAAAATTATGTCGGGAAGGATGATGAAATGGAGAAAGCAAGCCGCAAGGTGCAAGTTTTCGAACTTGCCACGGACGGTGTCGTGGATGCTGTCAACAAAGTTGTCTCTGGTTGAAGTTCATTTTTCAGTTCCTTGGGACAACAATGCTTGTCAAATTTTTAAGGACAGGACTTGGAAGGAAAACGGGAGTTTCATCAGGTCATTAACATTATCTTGAGAAGGTGTTGATTGGAAAACACTATAAACATCATTCGGAACAAACATAAGAACGTGACCATATTTCCTAAGCCATGTCTTGCAATCTTCCTACCCTTTCCCGAATAAGCACATCCGGGATCTTTAGACAGCCTCTGCGGAAGGCCCCAATCGCTTTCTGAAAGTCCTCGAACAACCTCACCTCCGAGCGCCTACCAGCTTGAGCATCGCCTCCGCCTGGTCCTCAAACACGGACGGGCTCCGGGCGAGGACCCCCTCAAGGCTCTCCATCTCCCCGCTCATGGCGTCCTCGATGCCCTCGGCGTCCCTGGAAGAGCTACTGAACGGCCCCTGGACCATCACGGAGCCGTCCTCCCGCACGAGGAACGAGTGCCTGCTCAACTGCCCCTTGGTAATGCCCAGGGCATGCAGCCGCGCCAGGGCGGCCCTGCACGCATCCAGGTCCGCGGCGCCGGCCTCGCGGGCGCCGGGGACGCGCTCGAGCAGGAACCCGATCACGCGCGAGTGGTTCTCGGTGACGTGCGCGACGAGGCGCGGCGCCAGGCCCGGGTCGCGCGCCTGAATGGCCTCGTGGGCGCGGGCGTCCGTCTCCACGCCCACATAGTGGCCCGGAATCCAGTCCGTCACGCGGACGACCTCCTTCGCGTCAGTGGGAATCCCTGGTGGCGCGACGACGATCTCCGCCGACACGTAGTCCATGCACTGGAGGGCTGTGGGCTTGGGCACGCTGACCTCCTTCCCGTCCTCGAGGACGACGTTGGTCCAGGGCGTGCTGTCCACCCTGTCCACCCTGTCCTGGCAGTCCTGCAGGTCGACGGTCGTCCCGCAGAAGACCGGCTCGGCGCTGTAGAGGCCCAGGTCGTCGAGGGCAGCTGCGGTGTCGGTCTCGGTCGACGCGAGCTCGAGCTTGGCGCCCTCGCCGTCGGTGCCTTCTTCGGTGGGGACGAGCCGGCCGACGACCCAGTCGCCAGCAGGGACCTTGTCGAAGGCGAGGTTTCTTCGGCTCCGGGGGTGCCCATCGGGCCCGGTGACGACATGGCTCATCTGCGGGCCAGTCAGGTACTTGACGGTCGGCCCGCCCGCGCCGGCGTCGGCGGGCTGGATGCGGATGCGGTACAGGTCGGGCGAGTCGGGGTTGGAGGGCGTGCCCAGAATGACACCCTCGGTGGTGAAGGGGATCATGGCGGTGGACTGTGTAGACTGCATGGTTCCTGGCGAGGGTGGGCAGAGATGAGTTTGCAAGTTTGAGGGAGGACGTTGTAGACTACTGCGAGTGAAAATGTAGAGGTTTGATGTTTGTGAGTCTTGTTATCTGCGCAATGTGTGAATGTGATGCGTGGTGGTGAGTCCAGAAAGCAGGCCTGGAAACTGGGAATTTGAGCCCTTTTTATATTGATGTGTTCTCACATATTCCACATAGCTGGCAAGTCTCAACATCATGTTCTGTTCAATAGATGCAGTCACTCCCAGAGTGGGAAAACTGAAGTTATTCCCATGGGGCTGACCTGCAGTCGTTCCCAAAAGAGAACTGCAGCCATTCCTAAATGAGGTTGAGTGGGATTTTGGCTTGCCCGGAATTCTGGCCGGGGTGGCCTCCACACGGGAATTACCCGATTCGTACCTGGCTGCATAGAGGGCCGCCGCAGCTCGCCACGCCCTTGGCAGTCACTGTGAACATGCAATGGGTATATGAATCTTTGAAGTTGATGCAGGCGCTTTTCTTTTTGGATTCGGTACAGTAGTGACCGGCCTATCGTACCGTCTACCTAGGTCCCGGAACTAGACGCCAAAGAAAAGGAACGAACGGACGCCAACACGGGGAACCAGCCCTGGAAGGCCAACAACAACTGAAGATCCACGATCCAAGTATCCACTCCTCCTTCAGCAGAGGCTACCACCGCCCTCTCCCCCACTCCGCCCGAGGTAAAGCAGCAGCTTTTCAGTTGAGTTGCTCGGCAGGTGGTTATATGCGCTAGAGAGAGAATTGTTTATCGCTTGCTCGACTTCTTGCCACCCGACTTGCCACCACCGGACTTGCTGCTGCTGCCGCCACCGGCTCGCGGCAGGTTGCAAGAGTTGCATGGGTAGTTCAGCTGCCTGACGCCCATGTTGACGATGACACAGTTGCGGCCGCCTGGGACGGAGCACGCGGACGAGTCCGTGACCATGCGGGTGTGTCCGCAAGAGTAGCCTGGAGCATTCAGAGTCAGATGTGATAGCGCCAAGGGAGACTGTTGATATGGAACCAAGGAGGAGATAAAATTGTGTGCCCATAGTCTGACCAAAGTCTCTGACGCGGTGAAGGGGTTTGGGCCAAAGACCAGGAATAATAGACTCCTTTGGGGATTAAACCTGTGTCAGGAAGATGCTTACCGTAGGAAGTAACTCTGCACATTTTGTTGGTGGTAAAGGAAGGAGCCGGGTATTGATCGGGAGATTTGGTAGTGGAAGAGGGTGTGGTAATATGAACTTGCCAGAAGCTCAAGGTCGGAAGTGAAGTAAAGAGAAGAGTGAATACTGCTTAGAAAGGAATGCTTTGTGTGATGATGTTCTGAATTCTTCAATGATGCTCTATCGGTGGACTGGAAACGTCTCATTTATAGACCTTTCTTCTCCCTACGGTAGTCTCATCTTGTGTCCAATTTTCAATCTGTTTTGAGTTATTCTTTGATCTGACGGGCCTTGAGGAACGCCCTCGTGGTCCTTACGGGCCTGACTATCGTTCATTGTCACAGATACGGTCTCTGTCTCGGGCAAGGAGTGCTCACCACCTCCATCACGCCCATCCTAATACTCCTCCAAATCGCCTTGCGTGCATTCAGCCATATTTTGCAGTGCTCATGGTACCTGCGTGGAGGAAGATGAGGCTGAGAGAGGTCCTGCTTGCGGTGGTCCTTGGCCTGGCTATCGGTCACCGTCACAAAAGTGGCCTCAAGGCCCGGGCAAGACGTCTTCCTCCTCATAATTTCTAATATTATCTGAAGGTCTCTTTGAAAGCGATCCTACATCCTACAAGAAGTGTTTTGCTAAAGCAGAATGAGTGAGATAGGGCTGATGGAAGGGATTCGAGGCGGCTTGCAAGGGCCCAAACACCACGTGCTGAAAGTAGAGTCTGTTTTCTATAATAAGATCTATGCAGTAGAATGGTCGCGTTGTATGAACCCGCGAAGGAGCAGGCAAGGTGAAAAAAAAAAAAGACTTTCCGAGACATGAGCCGGCCGTAGGGCGACTTGGCAGGATAATGCCTGGTATCCGCCATGATTTCGCCGTAGACAGGTTCCAAACTACCGGTTTGATATCCGTACACATCAATTCAAAAGAAGCATTTTCTTCACCTCTAATTAAGTGGTAATCTTGAACACGAATCTATAGACATGGAGAGGCTACTACGATGGTGAAGCAATAACCGAATGTGGAATATGCAATGAGGGTGGTGACGTGTGCAATAAGATATGATAGGATGAGAACCTGGCTACTTGGCGGAGAAGCTTCCCGTATCACTATAAGGGTATGATCTTCCATCAGGCCGTTCCCGAATCCGTTCCCAGCTTGATGACCAGGAAAGCCACCACATAAGTGACAGGTCAGATCCTTACTGCAAACTCGGTGTGGTACCCATGTCGTGATACATATAGTCCCAGATTCAGACCAGGCGAGTGTTCCTCCTTTTCGATGGTCTTATTTTGATAATGGGTTGTCTCTGTTCTGAAATGTCTCTGGTTCATAATTATGCTTATGTGGTCGTTGTGAGACGACTAATCCATACCACGGGATGCCTCCAACACGACCTAGGAAGACATCTTGTCTCAGGCTGTGCTGACCTGGAAAGTGATAGGACAGCCACCAACAAGCATTCATCTCCACTCAGGTTTGCTCGGATGATCCAGAATTTAAGGAATGGCGAATTCCATCCCGTACAGACGATCCTGCAATATTAAAATAGGCACTAAACCTACTGGGTATTACAATAATGAGCAGAAGTAGCCACTCGTCGCCCGTGAAGGGGTAGGCACTGTGCCGCTTAGCCGCGCCTAGGCTACCGACAGTGGGAGCTTTCGCTGTGAAGCTTGATTTTGACAGCAGACAGAGTGTTCTGTGTGTTTGAAAGGGGGCTCTTCTTCCAAGAATACGGCCACGAGTTCCTTTCTCCTCTTTGAGAATGAGGAGTCGTAGCCCGGGCGATACTACCTGCCGAAAGGGCTACCACGGCTCGAGCAGATCCTGCAGAAGTCCCGGGTGTTGCCATGTCAGCACATCGACAGCTTATCGGCATATGTGATTTCAAACACGAGCCGGTATAACCAATCAAAAGCAGTCCAAACTTAATGCCCATCTCGCACGCTGACATTACCTGGGATGTGTAATGTGCATTCTGCATTCTGCATTTGCTTTTTTGCTGTTCTCTAGGAAGTATATCGTCTGTGGATATCCTCAGACGAGGGTTGACTTTTGATTCGCCTTCTGGTGTCCTTGTATAAAAACATTCTCATGGCAATCGGACGGTTGTTCGAGTAGCAATCTAACTCATTACCTTGACATTTGCGACAGCTGCGATCCAGTATGGCTCCATGCGTAAGGTCGATCGGAGGATGCAGAATTGACGCCACCAACGGTATTGCTTCAACTCGCAGGATGGATTTGGGATCATGGGCTAGCTACAAAAGGACCCATGTCGCCGAGGACTCCGGAGGAGGAGCTTATCCGGTGAGTGAATACAAGCCACACGCAGGGGCCCTTGCTACTGGGATTCACTAAATATACCTGATCATGGTGTTTTCCTGTTCATTTGCAAATGTGCTACGTGGTACAAGATGCTGCTTAGGTGTTAGACGTTCGGAAAACTGTTACAATATATTCTAACCTTGAGAACAATGGGACATAACTTGCTGGCTGCTCTTTCAAAATCAAACCCCCTGATATTTGAATCGGCAAAAGGATGAGTTGTGCGACCTTGGTAAAGTCGGTTGCGGTGCTGCTAAGTTTGGCAGCTTGCAGGCATTCGACTCCGTTTGGACAGGATAATGATCCAGGCCCAAACAACGTCGCGGATAACAGGAAGCAAAAGCACTCAATATTTTTCCAGATGATCTCTAAACGGATTAGTAAAAGGCCAAGAAGCCATTCTTTAAGGCTCTTACCCACATCAAGACTTGTGTTGCTTGAATTTGCAATACCGTCCCGCCCAGCTCTCCGTATCGAAGGCTTGTGCTTACTATAGTCTCACAATAACACTGATGTCCAGATCAACAACCGCGCCGTATCAGTAGATGCATATATGCAAGGCCGGCATCCGAAGATCCCGGCGTCACGGAAGGATGAAAGGCCCTCATACCCTGTGCCGCAAATGAGCTCCATTCGATGACTAGGGGGCATGCCATCTATCTAACTTGAAGCTGCGCAAGTTCAGGCATATTGGTCCATCGCTGCAGCTGGGCCATCCTTCAACGGGGATTTTTTGTGATTGGAGAGCGACGTTCCCCTGCTGATCTACGCGCGTCAAATCTCTTTGTTCATGTGGAGGATGGGCATGGTTCTTTCAGCAGAGTACAGTCCCAAGGCCTGGAGGATCAGCCAACCCCTCCTCAGTACCTTACAATGGTTGCTATCGGGCTATCTGGACCAGTGATGAGCATCCATCCACACCATTCATAGTAAAGATCGACCAGTGCAGACAGGGTACAAGTGTAGAAACGCTCCTGTTGTGTTATCCCCGGCTTGGCGCGAAATCCAAGCAAGTGATCCACACATCCGTGCGTTTCAATTCATTCTGAAATTTGGAAGACCAGTCTTGACTGCGTCCCTTGATTTCAAATGCCCAAACTTTTCAAAGTCGCACGGATATTCGCCCAGAAGAAAACAGCTAGCATACAGCTACAACGCGCCTAGTGCACTTTTACCCAATGCACCCACACCCAACACCTACACCCAATTCACATACCCAAGCCGAATTAATTAATACATAAACTGGCGTAGGTGTGTAAATTAGTGTGGGTTTGCGAATTGGATGTGGGGGTTATGCTTGGATTATTTTAAGAGGTATCTGTATACCATCCGTTTCTTTCCTCTGTGCGAATATTCATTTTCTTTCAAAACGCTTGTCGAGTCACATCCCGGTTGGAAAGCATCTCAGCCAGTTGCCATGATGGGTCTTAGAAGCGATCTGCTCGAGGACGTCCAGGACGTCGACATGATTATCGTAGGAGGGATCCCAGTCTTCTGGGTGCCCTAAATGGTCCCTAATAACAAGTAGACCCTAGAATAAAAGTGGAAGGTTTCGGATCACTTAGGTGATAAATTAGGGAGTCGATTGTGCCCACTACCCAAGTACCATGGTAGTCGTGTTCTCGGCAGGGGATAGTTGATCAACATGATGCTCCACAGACGGCGACAACGTTTTGATTTGGGCGCCTGGAAAGTTCTATGTTGGTCGGCCTCGGGAATCCTTAAGAAAACGAAGAAGATATATGAATGTCGTGTGTGAGTATATGAGGAGGATTAGGGTTATAAGAAGTCGTCTGTTTGAAACTTACCGCGGCCCTGGTTTGAAGGAAGACTGCGGGCAACATGATCCGCTTTACATCGGCCGTGCTGCTCGTCCAATGCCGTGAGGAGTCAGGGTGATAGAATCGAGAACACAACGACCCGGAAAGTGTCAATCTCACGCCTATGTCCAATCCAAGCTCACAAATGGTTAATTTCGAAGCCTTTATGGTAGGGACCAATGTCGAACGCGTCTGTGCAACAATCACCAGAGGTGTCTGTGTGATCCTGGATAGCATTAGTAATTTCAATATTCAATGAAGAAGAAACGGTACCCTACGCTGCTGCACTACAATGTGAAATACCGAAAAATCAAAATTGTCCAGAATGCTCTGGACAATACGGTGTAGCATATAAAGCTGTGCTGTCATATCCCCCCAGCCCCCCGGGGGAAACTTCTTCTGGTAAAGGCTCAATCCAGATATACGGCTATTTAGAGCTTTGGTTAGAGAAGTATAATCGGTTTAGAGGCATTGGAATCCACGCAAAAACTTCCACTTACATACACACCTAAACGCTAGGATTTACTCGCTTGGCAACTACTAGTCTATATTTATTGAAAGAAAAGAAAGTTTTAATTAATCATTTAGTAAAATATAAGTAATAGTAAGTAATAGTTAAAAGTATTAATACTATTGCATATTTATTGTTATTCTTTAACATTTTAAACATCCTTGATTTTAAATGAATACTTGTGCGTAAAAGGGTAAGTATTTATTAATAAACATATTTTCAATTTAACACGAATGTAAACTCCTATATGTGGGAAGACCTTTCTACTTATTAGGATTAATTTAGATGTATGGGAGGTGGTGGCAAAGTACGTGTTTAGTATTGGAAGTGATGGGCCAGATCAGGGTGGGCTGAATATGAGCCGGGCACGTTAATGCAGTGTAGCCTGAAGAGCTGTGCCATCATATCATCACTTAAGGGAACAGTGCAAAAAGTCCCATCACAAGAGCAGTCAGCAGATCGGTGATCAACATATGCAGGCTGCATGTAGACGTGCTTACATTGATTTGGGCATGTGTTGAAGAAATCCCGTCCCGTGCCCCTTCCTCTCCCGAAAGAGGAAACTTTTTGCAAAGAGGCTGGATGCACAACTTGTTGGACACCTCCTTTGGTACGGTATATCGTTGCTCTTGATGGGCTAAAAAGTACCAGAAAATACCAAATCGACGTAATGCAACCTCGGGGAACCATGTTCTAATTACACACGGTGTAAAGAACATCAGCCAACTGGAACCACCGTTCCCTGCGGATTCCTGGTCTCTGGGTGCTTGTGTAGCCCGAAGTTTCTATGAATCATGATGATCCCGGAAGCGAGTGGCCAAGCAAGACCTGACGCAAGGCCAACTTCCTTGCTGCAGTGAGAGCTGAGGTCACATAACTAAACGCTTTCGCTGCTCACTCTTGGGCAAGACTTCTGGGGATCACTGGTGTTGTAAATGCGCTTCTGTTAGCATGAGAATCAGGCTGAGGCCTGTATATCAAGTATATTTTGTTGTGTCCTCCATTTTGCTTGTTTCTGGGCGGGGGAAACCCAGCTGGCTCTGCGATCTTCATAACGCTGCACCTCAACCACCATATCATCCAAAAGACAAATCTCTTGAAGCGCCCCAGAATGGCATTACCTATCGGTGCAGTTAGAGTCGTGGTAATGGCTTTTGTTGGCAGCTCCCTTGCTCTCCTTGCGTTCGCCCTCCGACTGTGGTCAAGATATATACAAAGAGCACCGTTAGCTTTCCACGACTGGAGTAAGTCCAATGAGCACTCTCTGGTTCTTTTACTTCTCTTGTCAATATTTACACTGCAGCTACTGCTTCATAAATTTCTTATCATCATTGTGTGGCTGTGCATATCCACCTGCTTGCGTAGCCCCATGTTTCCTGCCACTTCTGAGAGACCTGTACTGAAAGAGTTAAATTCGGTCATCGGCGGCACGATACACGCAGAGCTGCATTGCAGTGGCCTTCCTTCTGACATAATTGCTGACTTGCAATGCTGCAGTGGCCGTCTTGGCAACGATACTCATGGTCTCTTCAGTAGTGGTTGATATCGTCGGCAAGGCACCCCGATTGTTCTTCATCTTTCAAGCTGCTCCCGAGAACTCGCCTAGCACTGTCTCACTCAATTGAGTCTTGGTATTTACACTAATAAATGTCTATTGTCAGTTGCTTTTGAGGCCGGTATTGGCTACGATGTCGTGGACCTGTTGAAAACTCACCCCGATGTTTTTGCCACCTATTCCAAGGTGTGCTGACCGCTTCCCCTTTGGAACGACATCATAAGCTGATGTGCTTCTTTCAACACAGCTTGCAACACCCTGCCGGCTGCTCTGGGCAGCGGCAAACACTGCCGTCAAAGTGTCCGTCCTCGAGCTCTACATGGCGCTGTTCCCCGGCCTGAGGTTCCGTCGAATGTGTTATTCTATTATGGCCCTTACTTTCCTATACCTGATCTTCGTGATTTTGCAAGAATTTGTATTTTGTCGCCCTGTCAAGTACAACTGGGATCAATCCATCCCTGGATATTGCGACGTGGATGGCCAAAGAATCGCATTTGCATTTGCCGGGGGCACTAATCTAGTCATTGACGCCACCGTGGTTGCCCTACCAATGCCAAAGATTCTCCGCCTCAAGATGTCACTCAGAAAGAGACTGAGCATAGTTTCCATGTTTAGTTTTGGAGTGCTGTCAGTGTTGCATTCCGTGGCTTCGTGTAAGGAGTAACTACTTACAGCACCAACAGAATCTGCATCATCTCTTTGCTCCGCGTCTTCGCGCTCAGTCAGTGGGACCCTGCAGACGGAACATTTGCGTCTGTAAATGTGCTGATCTGCACAATTCTCGAGCAGACCTTAGGCGTTGTCAACAGCTGCCTACCTACCATCAAACCTGCGATCCTAGCCATTGCTGGCAGGAAGCCCGATCGGCTCAACAATTCACCTAAACACTCCGGCCCATCCTTCAGTAACCGAATAGCGGTACATCGCAACGGAAGGCAGAATCTTGACACGGATATTCCTTTATCTGAGTTCGAGCGGCTGGATGATGAGTACCCGCTCACGAACACTCACGTGGAAAGAGAGGACGTATTGGCGCCGAGGAATCGTGGAGAGATCACAGTTGAGCATCGATGACAGACCAACGGATAGCCTTTAGGCTATCAAGACCTGAGAAGCCAGGACGGGGAGGATAGGGAGAGCAAGATAGGGATAATGATTTAGCCCGAGAGGAAAAATGGAATGGCATATGGACGATTAAATAATTTGTCTCTGTGGTTCAATAAGGCAGTGTCTATTTCCCTCAACGCAAGCATCGTCTATTATACGACAGCTATCCCTAACTGCTGCTGCAGTACGCACTCTGCCTCCTGCTACAATTAACCTTCCTATTAAAAGCTACACCAGATAGATTGTGGAATCAGCAGTTATGAACTGCTAATTGTCAAGTCGCATAACCGTACCTAGACACCGCTGACAACAGGCAAGGCGTACAGGCAAATAAGCCACAAGCTCCACAAATACCAACTATGCCAGTCTCCCTGTTGGTGGGTTCCCATTGTGACCTGATAAGCAATAAGTATGCTAAGCAGTGTAGGCACAGCAGCTTTCCAGAGTCCAAGCTGCCAAAAGTGTGAGCAAATAAGGGACCAAAAGACAACAAAGAATGCAATAGATCCTCGAGATACACGCTCTCCTAGAAACAGCACAACGGTCTTGCGTCCACGAAGGCGGTCCCCCACCCGGTCTTTCAAATCTTGTACCTGCATGGTTGTAAAAATGACGGCACTAATAATACCGGTCCACATGTGGCCGGACATGTTGATATCGCAACTGGTGTGTGAAGGGTGGCAGCCTGCTGCGATCTTGAGAGATCCACCGTTGAATGCTGCATAGCTGGCTGCAATCAAGAAATCCCGGATGACGATCTCCTCAGATCCCCTCAAGTCGTTGTAAAGCCATGTGATCAGGTGTATCCACACACCCTGATCCCAGACGTTGAGATAATGGTTGAGAGCTAGGCTGAGTGGCACTGCGAGGAGCAGCATGCGCTGTGTCTGCTGGCCGGTAATCTTGCCGCTTGCAATCGGTCGCCATGGTTTGTTGATTCGGTCCTCAGCGATTGATTCCGAATCTCGCTGATTTGACATGTTGAAGAGGAGTGTGTTGGACCAGTTGTACAGTATGACTCTTGGCAGATTGGACAAAACGTGGGAAAAGGAGGCATTCGGGTCTCCATCGACAAGAGAGCTTGTTGCAAGAGCACCCATGATGCCAAATGCGGTATTGGGGACAATGAACGTCACGAAGTCGGTTATGGTGAAGTAGTAAATAATTTGGAAAAATGTGAAGAGAGAGGTATGAGGCTTGTGCGGTCTTGTTGGCTGCGAATGGCTCGTAGTGGCTATGCTTCTCGTCTCCATTTTGAAATACTTTCCGATGTGAACCAGACTTGATGGCAGATTGAGTTGACACTACAGATGTGGGAGCCACAGCCTGTGTAAAAGGTCTTGATATATCTTGAATATGTGGGGAGTGCCAATGTAGCAGGAATTGAAAAATCTGCCTCGGAAGATTTTGCTACTGAGCTGAGACTTTTATAACACTATCAACTGACCTCAAATGATGACATTACTGGCAGTCTCTACTGTCAGCCTTATCTGATTTGTCTTCCATCTGTAAAGTGTCAACAACAAAATCGTGCCACGATCTGAGACGGCACAGTGCTGAACAGCAGAGCAGCAGGGATCAGGTAAGCCGGGAGGAGTGTATGTTCAAGACGGCTCCCGAAGTTGTCCAAACCTTCCGTATCGGCATGTCCCGACAAACGAGACGGTATATCCCGAAAAGCTGCGCGCAGATCTTTCCATATTTCAGCAGAGTTTTCGAGGTGTGACGCTCAGTCTGAGAACCAATTTATCACAAGGCTGCTCCAAAATATAAGATCGACAGGTCACATCACCGGCCACGCACCTGTGTTCACGCAGGCCGCTGGTCATAGCCAGACAAGCCTCCGAAAACCGGGCTGTCTCACGGTTTATTACTTTTATCCTGCCTCCGATTGGTGGGCTTGAGTGACAGGTGGATGCGTCGTCATCTTGGACTCGATGTGTGAGTTATGCTGATCCACTGGACATGGGTGCGTGGGTGTCCTCCGGTTTGATTCCAAAATGGGGACCATCAACCTGATAGCGAGAAAAAAGCTATCACAGACTGAAGGCCAGATTGTCACGTTACATTTCAGCACAATGCATGTCAGCTTGAATGAGATAGCTGATATTGATTCGTGACCGCCCATTGCTCATCCATTCATCACGGTATTTTTTGGGTCTCCAGACCGGGCCCGACCGTGCATACAGAATAACTGGTTCTTTTTGAGTTGCAGGTTCGTATGTTGAAATAATTCATGACTTGAAGTTGGGACGTTCTGAGTAATCTGTCCACCACGTAAGCTGACGTATCCCACAGGCTGGGCTTGGTGGAAGACCGGCCAGCGTAAACCAGGGCAAGGCTTTTTGGGGCTCCAGTGCGCTTAACGCCCCGGTTTTCATACCTCCAATCGAGGAAAATACAGATGCCTAGGAGACCCTTAGGAATAAGCGTTGGGATTGGGCTCTGTTGCAGAAGTATATCACCAGGGTTTATCGTTCCCAATCGGTAGAACAAGAATTGGAAAAGGCCCTGGATACTGCTGGCTCGGCGGGTAGAAACGACCTGGCCAATGGCCCTGTCCACACTTCCTTCTTCCCGGCCACTGTCCAGGTGACCTGGGTCTTGCAACACTTTCAAGGCCGTTAGTCACTGCATAGCCAAGGACCCGTAGCCAAGGATCCTTTTCTTGGCTTCTTGGCGCGTCCAGTGGCTCACTCAGCAACTTGAATTCTATCGATCACATCACTAATGAGAGAAGTTTCTCTACCTCAGTGTGCTGTCACCCGGTGAGGGATCGGAAACACCTTGTTTTCCTTACTATTGCTCACGCCGAGAAGATTGCTCTTGAACGTATGTGTCTGCACCACCTGTGTGCTACCACTAGATCACGTCTACTTGTTATCGAAATCGTAAGGTGCATTCCGCAACATGGTGAGATCACCCATAATCAATACCTCATCTCTCTCGAGATAATCCAAAAGGCATGCTGATCTTCCACAAGTAGTGAAAAAGACCCTCAGTCTGTCGTGTCGCAACGCCGTGAGCAATTGTGCCAGAGGCGTGTCTGTGCCTTCGCCATCCAGCCAATGAAGTCCATCGATGACACAAAAAACTACTCCGCTCAAGACGTTCACTAAGTCCCCAAGTAGCTCGATTGCCTCTGTCCAAGTGTTCATTGAGCCGTCCAATTTTGCAAACCGTGCCTCGGAGAGATCAACAGCCGTGTCCAAACGAGGAGGCAGCTTCTCGACCAGTTGCCTCAACAGTGCGTAGACCAAGCTGATCGCGCCCTCCGCCTCCGGTGTATCATTGCGTCCGCTGGTGCGAGGCACTTCACAGAAATATGAGATAACGTCAAGTTGGTGTGCTGCGACCATGCCCACAAATTTGGCGGCGATGCTTGTCAAAGGGTTCTCGAAATCGTCAACTCCAATGTGGGACCTTCGAACCAGAGCATGGGCGGGTGAAAACCCTGCGACCATTCACTCAGTCTTGTAACGGCTTCCTCTCCCCCTGCAATCGGTCCGAAGTCATCGGGTGACAGGCGAATGCGGCTTCGGCAAAAGTAGTCTTCGAGGTGTCGTGAGTTGATGACAACATCCTCTGTGCCGATAGAGGAGACTGAATCTATGTCAGCAACAGCAAAGAAATGCTTCACTGAGAAACTCACCGTCGGTGTAGGAAATGTGTCTTGATGGAGAATCTGGCCAGTTTCCAGTGCTTTTTAGCAGGACTGGGCTCAGTCGCTGGTTTTCCAACCACTTCGAAGCATCTGTTTCGAGAAGCACCACGACTGCTCCACCAAGCTTCCGCATGTTTTCATCTTGAACCCGCCGACTTTCTTCAGCTTTCAACAATTGTCGCTCAATCCGTTCAGCAAACAGTTGCATGTCTGCCCTGTGTCTTTTGTCTCCGTCCAAACCAAGCCTCATGTCCCGGTCAAGTCCTTCCACAAGAAGCCTGGTGACTCTGGTCTCGGCCGTCAAGCTTTGCGTCGCGAAGGTCCGTATTCGCTCAGCTTTCTTGTTGATTCTGCGGATCTCATTCTCGAACCTTTCGTTGAAGTTGTCCGAAAACGAGTCAAGCAACCGTCTGAATCGTTTCTCCAGGATCCAGTCCATTACGCTAGAGAGGAAAAGGAAGACGTGTTCGTATAGATCCGCCACGAGATGTAACATGTCGTCAGAATTGGAAAGTTTGAGATCCCGGTCCGTATCTTCGATGTGCTCACTAATGGTGCATAGACCCTCTGCCAGACCTTCAGCAATCTTTTCGTGGTTAGCACTGGCCTACACTGCAATTAGCCACAAATCCATGATCAAGTTTGCATGTGCAGCCTTGGGACCATATTCGTACTTTGATGATGGCGTTTAGTGTACCCGCAAAAATAGCCACGTACTCATTTCCTTCCGGAAGGATCTTCATGAGGGAACTATGAGAGTCTAACGTTCCGCAAAATCTGTGGAATAGCTTTTTTGTCTTGCCAACGCGACCCTCTTGTTGTTTTGTTTGCCATTCGGATGTGACTTTAGTCACCATGGTGACCACACCGCTCATCGTTGGCAAAAAATTGCGAAGGTCAAGTCGCTCTCCCTTGGGACTTTTCTGATAGAAGGCCACCCATTTGTCTCGTAGTTTCATAGCCTCATGTTGAACAGTTTCCGTTACCGGGTTTCTGATGTTTTGTCAGCTATCGATACGCAGAGACTCATAAGGGAGACGTTACTTGCCTCAGGGAGCTGCTTGAGCTGCTCTCGAAAAAGGAACGCCAAGGTGATGTAACGTCCTCAAGATGGCCGTCATTTCTCTGCTCTACCAAAGCCTGGCTTAGATGACGAGCACCTATTCCTTCACCAAGGCGCTGTTCCACCTCGAAGCTGTATGAACGGACCACCGCCGTTGCCTCAAAAGAGACTTCGGAGTTCATACCTGACTTGTGTTCTCCCCCCTTTAAAAAGGCAGAAAAGGACATAGACCTATGCGAGACGGAGATGTCAAACCTGCCACCTACAAGCCGGGAAACATGTGTGAAAGATGATGAGTGATCTGTGGTCGAAGTGGCTGTAGTCTGGTGATTCAACAAAGTTCTCTAGCGGAGAAATGTTGCCTGGCCTAGTTCCGTGTGGTGGTGGGAAGTGTCATATTGCAAAGCGCTCGAGATTAGCACCACACCTTCTTCCTACAGCCTGGCCGGTCTCATTGCCAACCAACCAGGTCGGGTCAGACAACATTACACCACATTCAGCTATCAGGGATTGGACAATCTAACCAATAACAAGAGATGTTTTCAGCACATTCGCCCATGTGTAACCCAACCCTACAAACCAATAGTTTCCAAGAAAGGTAAGATTTTAGCGCCTGCTTCCGAATGTAATGCGAAAAGTCCTGCAGATTGATAGCCCCCAATGAAACACGGGCTGATTGTGAGAGGCCGAGCCATCTGCGTAGCGCCGGAGAATGGTCTTCTAACCCACTGAATCTACCAACCTCGATGATTGCCACCCACTTCATCTTTTGACATCCTCCTTTCTCTGCTTATTACCCAAGCGCTGTTTAATTGGCTGCGCCGAAACTATCAAATTTCTTCACTCCGCGTCACACCGACTTATATACCACCCAACTTCCAAACCTACCAGGGGGAGGGGGGGGTTCTGATATCCTGGCGAAAGTATCGCGATTAGCTGTTTAAAGGATGTTAACATAATGTTAAAATTTTGATATGATTTTATTTTGTATATATTGCATTATTTATATATAATGGATATTGTATTAAAAAGAAATCGTGTTAATTTAAAGCATTATATTAATCTTAATATAATTTAATATTAAATTATTGGTAAATAGGAGATTAATTTTAATATAATGTAATATAATATTATCTTTAATATAATTTAATATTAAATATTTATAAATATAAGCTTAATCTTAATATAATTTAATATAATATTATGCTTAATATAAATTAATATAACTTATTAAATAATATAAATTTTAATTTAATATAACATAATATGAAATTAAATTTAATATAAAATTAAATTAAATATTAAATATTATAATATTTATAAAGATATTTTATTTATTATAAAAGTATAGCATATTTTTTTAAGTTTAAGATTTTATTAAATTTATAAATATATTGCCATTATATTAAAATATTTATATAAGCTATTTTAAGTAAGTATCTTTTTAATCTTAAATAGCATATACCTATCTTATTATAGTTATGTTAAAAGGGAATTATGCATAAAATTATATTTTCCTTAAATGCTATTTTAAGTGAATTTATTAAGTATTAGCTATAGGAGGGAAATGCAGTTAAATTATAGCTTATTGCTACTTTTATGCGTTAATTTAAGCCGTTTAAGCCGTTTAAGTTTTATATTATAAGCATAGCTAGCTTTACCTATTTAAATAAGGTAAATGTTTTGCTATTTAAAGGATTTATTATCTTTTATTTTAAGTCCTTATTAAACTTATAAGCAGCTAAACTATAAATAATATTAAGAATTATATTAACTTTATTATATATAGTAATAAAGAGTATATAAAAGCTTAAAACTTAGGGAATAAGGTAAGGAAAGGGGTGTTTAGGGGTGGAGTTAGCTTAATTAAAAGGTTTAAAAGCTATGAATAAGTAATAATCATTTTATAATTAATAATTTGCCTTAATTTTGTGGCTTTTTTTAAATTTAATAAGTCTTTTTTAATAATTAAAAGCTTTTTTATTAATAATAAATATTAGTAAATTTATTATATTAATAAGAAAAGATTATTATTACCCTTACCTTGCATTATAAGATTATTAATTTATTATTAATTTCTTAAGTTTATTATAATATAAAAAAAAATTTCATTATACTTATTAGCTGTTATCCTAAAGTAGGCTAAGTAGCTATATTAATAATAATAAGCATTAAATATTATTAAAAATTAATTATTACTTTAAAAAGATTAGCGTTTAGTTTATATAAAACTTAATAATAAGATTGTGTTTATAAAAGTTATAAGGAAATAAAATTTTAAAAAACTTTTAATTTAAAGAAAATTAACTTATAAAAGCAATGAATAATTTATAAAAATTTAGGTATTATTAACAGTAATAATATAAAAATAGGAAAATTAATACTTAATTAAAAGATAGCAAATTACTTAAAAATATAATTTAATATGATAATAAAGCTAATAAGCAAAAGCTTTAATAAAGAGAAGTTTTAAAGTTATGCTAGTAATAAATTATTAAGTTAGGCAGTAATAATAACTTAAACTTGCGGAACTTAGCTAGCTAATATAAGGATAAGTCTTAGGATAGCAAGCTTAGTTAAGCGTAAAACCTTAATAAAAAGGCATAAAGTTATGAAATGTTAATAATATAATAAACTTAATATAATTTATTATATAAAACCTAGCTTTAATAATATTAGCAAAGGGTTAAATACGGAAAGTTTAAATAATGCTATTAATAACTTAAAAAGGAAAAAACTTAAGCTAAAATTTTAATATTATTATAATAATAAGCAACTTTATTTAAAGGAAAGCCTAATTTTAAAAAGAAAAACTTATATTAAGTAAAGGAATATAACTTAAATAAGCTATTAAATAAAGTTCCAAACTTTTAAATGCTAGCAAGACTTTAATTATTATCCTAAGCAAAGCATTTTTAATAAGCTTTAAGTAACATAATGTAAAGTTTATTAAGATTTAAAGCTTATTAATTATAATGCTATAAAGTTAATAAAAATTAAGAATATTAAAAAATAATATTATTATTATTAATACTTGCTAGCAAAACTTTAGCTATTATCTTAAGCAAAGTATTTTTAATAAATTTTAAAATGCAAGGCATAAAGTATATTAAGATTTAAAGCTCTTTAATTATAATGTTATAAAGATAGCAAAAAGCAAGAATATTAAGCATAATATTATTATTCTTTATGCTTGTTAATAAAGTTAATATTAAAGCTTATAATAACCTTATTATTAGCTATATATTAAGCTATAAGCTTTAGCTATATTATAAGCTATTTTAAAAGATTTTAAGGTATAAAAGCATTAATACTTAAATTTAATCTTTTTAATAGCTTAAATGCTTAATTTCTTAATAAATATTAAGGTTATATAAATTATAAAAGCTGGAAAATTAATCGCTTTCATTTTTATATTAATTCCATTTAGTTTAATTTATATGCATTGCTATATTATAAAATCTTATTAATATTTATGCATAGCATCCTTTTTAAAAAGCAATTTAAGATAAAGTATTGCTTTTTTTTAATATTTTTACCTTAAGGTTTAGCAAGATGCTAAAAATGTAATGCACTTAAGCTTAGGGCTTGCTTAAAACCTTGAAAATTATTATAGGCTATATATATAATAATTATATAAAAACCTCGTGTAATTAATATAATAATTATATATAATTATTAAAGTTGGCTTAGCGTTTAAAGTAAATGCAAACCTTATTAAGAGGATTTTAGCTTAAAGAAATTAAGCTAATAGGATTTAATATAATAATATAATTTAATTAAGTTAAAGAAAAGTTAAGAAACTTAATTTATAAATATAAGATATATTATTATAAGAATAAATTATATAATAATGAAAAATTAAGTTAGGTAATTATTAATAAAGGCTTAAATAAATAAATAATAATGAAAAGGTAAAAAAGTAAAGGAGGTTAAAGTTAATAAAGCGTAATAAGTAATGAATTCTTAAAAAGAATTTAAGGTTTGCTAAATGAAATTTTATATAATGTAATAAAACGCAATTAAGGCTAAGCGGAGGTAAAGCATGCAATATAAGTATAAAGCAATTACATAGCTACCTTAAGCTTTAATTTTACCGCTATATAAAAACCTTATTTATTATAATGTTTTTTAAAAATTAAAATTTAAGCTTTTAAATTTAAATTAAGGAATAATTATAAAGATAAATTAATAATTATTATAATAAAATTAAATTTAAAAATAAAACTTTTTTATATAATAGCTATTATTTTAATTTCCTTTAGCTTATAAGCTAAGGGCTAATTAGCCTTTTAAGCATTATTTAATAAAATATAGCTATGCAGCCCTTAAATATTTATAGTAAGTTTAATTTATCTTAATTTAGCTCCTTTAAGATAGCAATACTTATTAAAATAATGATTTTAAGCTTAGTTTCTAGTATTATAAGCGTGCAAGCATGTATTTTTATTTATAAATACATAGGCTTAGGCTTTTATTATAGCAATAGCAGCAAAATTAAGGGGTTATTTACCTCTTTTTAAATGCTTTTAGGTTTAATAAATAGGTTAATAATAAATTAATAAAATTCTTATTATAAATATTTATTATTAACCTTAATATAAGCTTTTAGCTTTAAGGTATATTTTAAGGTAAATCCGCTATAGCTCTTAGGCGTGTTAAATCTACATGTAATTACTT